AGACATAAGACACTTGCAAATATCATTGCATCCTCATTATTGCCCACAAACGGAACACAGTCTGTGCAAGAGGCGTGACCATTTCTAAGAAACTCATTCTAACTTTACAAGGAATATTGATGATGCTGCTGCTCTTCTGAATACCCTTGCAGGGTAATTCTGTCATGTGCAAACACTAACAGAAAAAGGACTGACAAAAAATAACAAAAAAGAAAGCTAAGAAAATCACTTAACAATTCTCTGGGAGATTTCTCTAAGATATCTGCCCTGGTTTTGGCTGGAATAGTTCATTTTCTTTTTAGTAGCTGGCACAGTGCTGTATTTTGAACGTAGTATGAGATGAGTGTTGATAACACACAGATGTTTTTATTGTTGCTAAGCTGTGCTTACCCTAAGCTAAGACTTTTCAGTTTCCCATCCTCTGCCAGTAAGCAGGTACACAAGAAACTGGGAGGAAGCATGGCCAGGACAGCTGATCTGAACTAAACAAAGGGATATTCCATACCACAGAACATCATTATATAAACTGAGAGGAGTTGGCCAGGAGACACTAATTGCTGCTCAGGTGTGAGCTGGGCGTCAGTGGGTGGTGAGCAATTGTATTGTGCATTGCTTCTTTCTTTTGGGTTCCTGCCACCCCCTTTAATTAAAATTATTATTATTGTCATTATTATAAATATTATTATTGGATTTTATTTTGTTTCACTTGTTAAACTGCTCTTATCTCGAGCCACAAGTTTTCTTTTTTTTCCATTTCTCCTCTTCACTGCAAGGTGAGGGGCAGGCAGTGATTGAGCGGCTGTGTAGTACTTAGCTGCTGGCTAAGTGAACCACAACAGGAGCATTACACCAGGAGAAGCAAAGCCAATGATGGTGGTAGTCAGGTAACTAGCTGTACTATGCCCAGCAATTCAAAACAGCAGTGTGTGGAAAAGCACAGCAAGTAGAAGAGATTAGGGTCTATCCAAACACCTTAACTGATGTTCAGAAATATGAAACATGATTAGCAATGAGCTTCCTTTACACCAAAATGCAACAGGCTTCTCAAAGTGACAAGGGATGCTGTACAGGAAGCAGTTGCTGCAATTAAAATCTTCCAAAAGTAAAAGCAGTGCATTTTTATTTGAAGTACTGCATTGTGAGAAAAATCAGACTGTCTAATTAGAAGTAAATGATTAATTTTGATATGTTATTCCTAACAAGAACTGTCATGTAAAGGGAATTTAAGGGGTAGCTCCATGAAGAGAGGAGTAAATGGAACCTAGATCCTCATATCACTGTGTCTTATTGTTGGTTGGCTTGTGAACTTAAGCGGATGAGAAGTTGCCTGCAGTTCTGTGTTCTTGAGATCTTTCTCCCAAATGGTTTCACCATTCCCTAATAGAGGTTCAGCTCCTGCAACAGTGTTCCTTTCAACAGGAACATTTATTGGATCCTGCATTTTTTTCCATCTACTTTAGTGCAGCTGGTAGCTCCTTAATCTTTCTGAGGCCCCAATCTCTCTAGATTTGGTGATGGCATACTGTGGTCATTGCACAAAGTGCAAACACCTTCCACATGCATACTTGTATATATACATACATGGCATGATCTCACATCTCTGATTTCCTAACCAATCATCCATTTTTGCAGATTTTGTTTTGAAATTATTTTGTTTCTTTGTTTTTACCAACAGCCAGCCAGTTTCTGGCAAGGTTTCCAAACTGATCCCTGTGTAAACAGCAGAGAACAGTGGCCAGTCCTGGCACTACACAGGAGTAAAATTGACCATGAACTGTTCTTCATCTGCAAACCCAGCTCAGCTGCTGTAGGTACGGCTGAACCCTACACAGTCGGAAACTTCACACTCAAGCGAAGAATTACTGGAAGCTGGAGAGCTCCCAGGCTGCCAAAGCAAAATGCAAAGGGTCTTGCATCTCTGCTGAACAATGCTCACCAGGCCTCCAGTGCTCTCCTCCCTCACTTACAGTTGTTTCTGCCCATGCCCACATTTGTCTACAAGCAGGATAATAAATCTATTTTTCACAACTTAGTTCAGAGAGTAGGGCAGCATCTCTCCAAGTTCAGGGCTTAATGTATTTTTCTTGTCTACAGGAGAAAATCCATCCCACTGATCTCCCAATGCAGGGGCCCATCCACATGAAAAATAACAGGAAAGGAATGTCCTTCTCTACAGACTTCCAGTAACACCTCACAGAGCCGTCCCAAGCCCGATACAAGGAAGGAACCATTTGGAACCCATGGGGCAGTCTGGGGTTTGTTTGGTCAGATCCATGGCCTTTTTAATTTGATGGTGCTGGAGAGATATGAATCTTGCTGCTCTTGCTATTAAACACTGAATCCCACTGATGTCAGTAGATCTTACAAAAATAAAGTCACAGTGGCAGTGAGATATCACATAAGGCCCAGTGGAGATGGTGCAAAGTGTTAAAGAAGACAATGAAATATACTCTCTGAGTCTGGAAGACATTTACATATCTAAAAAATCCAGGAAAACATTTAGTTCTAACATTTAGTTAGAACCTGTTCTCCAGGTTCACTTGCTGTGATTTAGAACATGGCCATCATATAGATTTGTTGCTGGTTCTAAAAATGGAAACACCCACACGGGAGGATACAGCCTTTCATGCCATATTGGTCATAATGACATTTGAAAGACAATTTGCTTAACACTTCTGGTAAAAGAACCAAGGATGCCACCTGAAACCAGAGTGATGTGCATTTCCTCATAGCTGCTAGTGTTTCAGTTAAGAAACTATTTGTTTTCTAATGCATGTTATCACTTGCTGTGTTTACATTATGTCAAAAATTATAAAGAAGCATAATCAAAGTTGTATTAATCCTGTGTAATCAATACTTTAAATGCATGTCATTGTTTGAATGGTTTGAGCAACATAATTCCCGAAGGAGTGGAAACAAAGGACACTGAGATGAAGCTCTGAGCAGCACAAGCTTAGGTCTGGACCAGAGCCCATTTATATCCTTCCTGAGAAAAAGGGGTGATGCTTTTTGACAACAAATACTTTCTTTTGGACAACACCTGTTCATTGCACTGAGTGGGGTTCTGCTGGTTTTGACTGAAGTTTTGCTTGGAAAGTTTCTCATCTTTCATGTTGTCAAAGATTTATTAGGACAACCACTTCAGATGATCAATAAATAAATAGCCTAATTGGTAGGTGTAGAGCATAAGTTTCTTTCTTGCTCTTCCTCAACAGGACATCTGGAAGCTCTTACTCAGTGTGTAAGTATTTAGAGAGTAATCGGGCTAGAGATGCCCTAACCTATTGTGGTGAGATTAGGACATGCCACTTGCACACCTTGGCCAGCTTCTGTCTCTTCAGGGACATTCATACTCCCAGATAGGCATCTAGACACCAGACCAACAGACATGATTTCACAGCTCGACTTAATAGTCCTGCCAGACCAGACTTCCACCCGCTCCCCCTTCCTTCCAATATGCTCTCAGAAGTAACTCCAAAAGGCCTGCAATTCCAGAGCTCCCAAGGAGAGAGAAGTGTTTCATCATCTGTGCTTGGCTCTCAGGTGTCTGGTCATTTCAGTCTAAGATACAGAAGGCTGCTGAAAACCATGTCTCAAAATGATCAGATACAGGCAGTTCAGAGCACCTTGAGCTGAGCCTAGAGCACTTGCAGCAGACTACTCCTAGCTTATCCAGCTGTGGATAAGAGCCAGAAGAGGCTGGACAGGAAGGAAAATTATCCTATCTTCCATGAAGGAAAACAGGGTAATTTTTAATCCTCAAGCTGTTTCTGACTTTTACTAGGTAATCACCTCCAGCATAGCACTTTACCTATGTATGGCTAAAGATGGAAAGCTACTGTGCAAAGCTTCTAAACTCTGCTGCAAGGTGTGCTGTGTGTGGCTGTGCTGCTGTCAAGCACACCTTAGTCAGCTTTGGCATCCTTTCATCTTCATTCCCTACCTGGAGTTGCTAATATATGGCAAAGTGGCTAAATGCTGTATTTGCTATGTTAGTCCTGTGTGTACTGCTACCTACAGAAACAGTTGACATGCACACTTGACATGCATGACCCTAAAATCCCATAGGTGTTTTTGATGTATTCCTCTCTGGCTAAGGTGTGTGAAGCGCCATTTGTGATATTCCTGTGCACTTTGACTCTTGAACCTGTGATTAGTTGAAGACTGTTAGTAAAAACTAAAGCACTGTGCAGGTAGTAGGGTTTTCCTATTGCACAACTGCGGTGTTCAGCAACTCACCTTGGGAAGTCTGATTCAGTGAGTTTTCTTCTAGATTGCACAACTCATGGAAATGTATATATTAAACAATATTTTCACCTCCGTTCTCTGGGGAGATGGTGGTATATGTAAATGAGTGAGGGTAGGTTCCCCATCCTGTGGAACTCTCATGTGAAAGGTCTTCCCTCCAAAAGCTGTGGACCGCGACCCAAGTTTGCGGTGTACCGCGTTCAGGCGGGGCTGTGCCGCGGCGCTGTCCCGCAGCCCGGAGGCGCAGGGCGGGCTGCCCGGGCCCGGGATCGCCGCCCCTTCTGGCTCAGCGGGGGCGCCCAGCGCCGCGGGGAGGAGCGGGCACCGGGGCCGTATAAGGCCCGCCCGCCGTCCCGGCTGCGGCACTCGCTCCGCGGCTCCCGGCGCAGCCCGCTCGCACCCCGGCGACACGAGGGGACCTGCCCGGGGCGCTCCGCAGCGCACCTGTCCCGGCGGGGAACACCGCGCCTGTCCCGGCGGGGAACACCGCGCCTGTCCCGGCGGGGAACACCGCGCCTGTCCCGGCAGGGGACACTGGATTGCAGCGCTCCGCACCTGGCCCATCCGCGGACACTGCATCGCACCCTTTTGCTTCTGTCCCGCTGGTGTCACCGCACCTGCCCCAGCCCCGGTGGGGGACACCTCCCCGGGGACCCGTTCCCATCTGCTTCCTCCTGCTTATGCCAGCCCTGCAGCTGTCCCTCTGATTTTGGAGAAGGTTCACGGTTCCAAGGGTGAGTTCCTCCGGTAGAATGGGGCGCTTCACCGTGTGGGACTATGTGGTCTTTGTGGCCATGCTGCTCATCTCAGCCATCATTGGTGTCTATTACGCCTTCGTGGGAGGGGGACAGAAGACATCGAAGGACTTCCTCATGGCAGGCCGGAGCATGAGTGCCCTCCCGGTTGCCCTCTCCCTCACTGCCAGCTTCATGTCAGCCGTCACGGTGCTGGGCACCCCTGCTGAGATCTATCGCTACGGTGCCGTCTTCTGCATCTTTGCCATCACCTATGCCCTGGTGGTGCTGTGCAGTGCTGAGATCTTCCTGCCTGTCTTCTACAGGCTGGGAATTACCAGCACCTATGAGGTAAGGTGGAGTGGAAAGAATCTCTCCCCAGCTGTAAGGAGCTGGGAGGCTTCTCATATCTACTTTCTACATGTCTGCCCTCCATCTTCTCTTCCCCCAAATTCCCTGCACTCTTGGCTGTCCTATATCACTTCTCTCCTGAGAGCAGGCTACAACCCTCTCTGTCCTCAAGTCTGCCCACACTGTCTCTGCAGACAGGTGATGCTCAACCCAGCTGCCTTAGCTCAGGAGCTGTGTGTCATACCAGATTTGTTTCCTCATGCCAGATACTCAGTTCAGTAGGTGGATTAATCCTAGTGCAGCTTGGATGGTGACATGTCATTAATCATCCGTAATTAATATACCAAAACTAGAGCACAAAAGCATCTACTATAGGAACCAGAGTTTGGTTTCTAAGCTTAGGTGCAACCACAAAAGTCCTCCTTTGTCAGAGTATGTATTTGTGCTGTTCCTAGAGATTTTTCAAGAGACCCCTTGTCACCTGAAGTTGTTTACTGAGTGTCTTCTCTATTACGATTATACAGGGAAGTCAGAAAATGCTCTTTCTTCCACCAAAATAAGGCTGAGCTGGTCTTCAGCCCAGCATGCAAATTAAAGCTATAGCAATCAGCACAGAGACAGCTGGGGTACTGGGATAATCACAGGTCGAGTCTGAGAGTTTTGGGGTGGAGAAGCACCTGGCCAGTGCTTTCTTCTGATTCAGAATGTCTACGTAACCTGTTTATCTTCCTGCATGGAGATAGTTCCTAGCTGCAGATTTCGAAGCAAACTGCTCTTTTTGCAGAGGACTTTGGGAAAGGAGCATCAGTGCAGGTGAAAGTCCTTCACTGGCTACTTTGGCCTTTAGCATTTTATTACACTGAACAGAGACATTGCAGCACTGGAGGCTGCAAACAAGATTTGTGTTGGTAGATTCAGATAAGAATTCAACAACATAACTCTCTGGTGTCTTCCAGTATATTTTAATCTACTAATCTTTGGACTGTCATGATGACACTTAAATAGGGCTCTTTTAAATACAGGCTTATGATCATGACGGGAAACTCACTGGTTATCTTATCACTATTATTACTTGAATCGGTAATGTACCTATAAAAGATACATATTCTATTTGTGGACAGAGTTCAGATTTTTAGCAACCTTTTGTGTCTGTCCAGGGGTTCAAGACTGCTTCCCTGTGTGGACATGCTCACAGACCACATTTTAAATGCTCAGCTCGTGAGTGAGCCCTTTGAGGTACTTCAGTGTTTATCTGTGTTGATTGAACAGATTCATCAGACAAATGAATTTTCTTTTGTACAACCACACACCAAGAGGGTTTTTAGGACAGATAGTGGTAAGAAATCTGCTCTACAGCATGACAGACTCATTTAGAAGTTGTGCTTTTCCAGGCTTGATAGAAAGTGAGAGTTCCTGTTTCACAAAAGGCTAAATTTTTACTTACCAGTAGAATATAGCAGGCTGCCTTGGGCAGTGCAGAAGGTGAGATTAACATGGGGAGAAGCTGCTGACCACTGAAAATCTTTTGCCCTCTCTTGCAGCAGTTCAGATGGACACATATAATACCAGAGTTTCCAAACTGACTAAGATGTAGGAATAGTCACAATGTTTTCTTTTTCTCTCTGCTTTCACAAAACTAGCGGGTTCTATTTTTTGGCTGCTATGTCATTGTCAGCTTTTAGGTTACCCTGTGCAGTCAAGAGTTGGACTTGATGGTTCTTTTATATCTTTGTCCCTTTCATCTCAGCATATTTAGTGATTCTGTGATAATATGTCTGGTCTTTTCTGTAGATTCCCTTGTATAGTGACTAGCTTATGTCTACTTCACTTGTTTGTGTGTTATTATGCAGTGGTGAGGTCTGTAAAGAAATATCGAACCAAGTTGAAAGAGATACCAAAGAAGGGGAGTCTAGGAGTTTCGGCCATTCATGAAAATGTAAAAACTACTCTCTGCTCTTTCTGTATTGCTCATCTCATCACTCTAGTCCTAGCAGTAGTGCAAAATTCAATATAAGCATTTGTTTTTTCTTCTTTTTTTGCAGTATTTAGAACTTCGATTTAATAAATATCTACGCTTCTGTGGGACAGTCCTTTTCATAATACAAACGGCAAGTAAACTTCAAAGCTGTTCTGTGGTCCTCAGGGCCACCAGAATTATTTGGTTGGGTGTAACTGGCTCTTTTCTCTTTGATGAGGTTACCACAATGCCTGGGTGGCTGGGAGCAGGAGAAGCAAAGTTGTTTTTGCTCCACAGCAATGAGGTGGGGAAGCAGGTGCTGGGCTATCTGCCTCTTGGGTCTCTGTGGGCACTAGTGAATACCCAGAGCAGTCACTTGACACCAGCACCATGCCAAGAGATGAGCAGCCCTTCACTAGAGGATAGCAGCATGAAGAGGAGTCATTTGCTTGCCTACTGGAGAAACCTGCAATGAGTTCAAAATGTAAACATGTGCCAATTATCTACAGTGGCAGTTTTCATCCTCTGGTGTGAGGATTCTCAGAGTCTGACTAATTATCAAAGGTCAATGAGAGGTGACAAAACAGGTTGTCAGGAGCTGTCATTTACTCACTGCGCAAGGGCTCGCACCACCACCACTGGAAAAACCTTAGGTGTCTTCAAATGATGAAGTAGAAAATTCCTGCCCTGGGGAATGTTAAGCTAAAGCAATCTCTGAAATTATTGTTGGTAGTTTGCTGTATTTGGCCCTTCCAAAGAGTCAGTAAGGGACCACAGCTTTTAAATGTCAGTGACCATATGCCAAATGCGCCAGAACAAAAATGTGTTCTTTTCACAATTTTGAAGTGGATTTTTGGGGTAATTCAAAGTAGGAATGACTATACAATCAGAAAACTTTCTAAGCTACATGCTTGTTCTTTGTCCATTTTTGTATTTCTTAAGGCACACCAAAATTTACAGGGCAGTCACGCTCAGACCAGTAAGATGGTTCCCAATGCAGTGCTCATTACTTATTTGAGCAGTGCTGCTTAGCTTTTACAGGTTTTTACAGATGCACAAGCTCATGGAAAAAGTAGAGTGCTGGCATGTGTGAAACCTGACATTGTTTCACCAGCACATATGAAGACATCACAGTTGCATAAGTTGGAAGAGCTAAGCATAATCTTTGCCTGCAAAGATGATAAAAATAATTCTATACAACTTAAATATGTGCTCAAGAAAGTTAACCAAAGATCTGTATATGTCTTTCTCTGCCAAGCACTTAAAATTTAACCTGAATAAATTAAATACTAGTGAGGAAAGAAAACCTCCCAAGATTTCAATGGTGCAATTTTAACTCTTCTGTGAATATTAATACTTAAAAGAAAGTAAAGAAAATTATATATAATAATGCAACCAAAAAAAATCCTACTGAAGAAGTGGAAAGATTGTTCCAGTTCTGTTTAAATTGACACAAAAATGTGATCATAATTGTGACAAATTTTAATTTCTGATGGTTCAAACTTCTGACACTTACTTGGTGTGTATGAGAAAGCTAGAAGTTCTCATGCTGAAACCCTTGAATTAACAGGCTTGAAGAGGTACGAGTTTGACTGATGGTCTATTAGAAGGAGAAAGAATTAACTTGATGATTGCATCTAAAACGTTGCAGTCAACAGCTAAATATTCCAATGGAAACCAGTAATGAGTGCTGTATGTACTGGAACCAATACTATTTAATAGTATGTCATTAATACCTTCATTAATGACATAGCTAATGAGAATGAGTTCACCCTCAGGAAGTTTGTGGATGACACCATGCTCAGCGGTGCAGCTGATTTGCTAAAGGGAAAGGACACCATCCAGAGGGACTTTGACAGACTTGAGGAGTGGCCCCATAAAGTTCAACAAACACACGTGCAAGGTCCTGCTCATGGATAGGGGCAATCACAAATATCAGTAAGACTGAAGGATGAACTGATTTGGAGCAGCCTTGCAGAGTGGAACTTGGAGATAGTGGTGGATGAAAAATTTGACACAAGCCAAAAAGTCTGGCCACAACCCAGAAAGCCAATTCTATCCTTCACCAAAAGAAGTGTGGCCGGTAGGTTAAGGGAGGCGATTCTCCCTGTCTACTCCACTCTTGTGCGACCCACCTGAAGTACTGCATCTAGCTATGGGGTCCCCAGCACAAGAAAGACATGGACCTCTTGGAGAGGGTCCAGAGGAGGACCACAAAAATGGTCTTGGGGGTAGAACACCCCTCCTGTGAAGAAAAGCTGAGAAAGTTGGGATTAGTTATTAAACTTGGAGAAAAGAAGGCTGTGGGGAGACCTTATTGCAGCCTTTCAAAAGGGTTTATAAGAAAGGTGGAGAGAGACTTTTCACCAAGGCCTGTAGTGAAAGGACAAAGGATAATAGTTTTAAACTGAAAGAAGATAGATTTGGAATGGATATAAAGAAGTTGCAAATAAATTATTTGTAACAAGGATAGTGGGATACTGGACCAGGTATCCTGGAGAAGAAGTGCAATGGCCCATCCCTGGAAGTGTTCAAAGTCAGGCTGGATGGGGCTCTGAGCAATTTGATCTAGTAGAAGGTGTGCCTGTCCATGGCAGGAGCATTGGACTAGATGTTATTTAGAGGACCATTCCCACACAAACCAATCTATGATTTTATGTTTCAGCAGCCCATGCTGACAGTCATTGTGTGGACAGCAAGTTAAACATTGAGTGGGCTAGACAGGTGTCAGGAGCTGGCTGGGAGGTGATGTGAGGAGACATTCACCAGGGACTAGTCAGAACTGGCAGCTTTCATGTCATACAAGTTATATCTCAAAATCAAGAGAGGACTCATGGCACTGAGAGAAACAAACATGCACACACAGTGGCAGGGAGTAGCACACAGGTAGGAATAACTATTTCCCCAATGGCTCCCCTATCCCTTCTGGCATGTGCTTGTAGCAGGTGTGCAGCAGAGGGCAAGGACAATTAGGTTAGGCTGGGTGAAGCAGCTTCTCCATACGAATTTCCTCATACAGCAAGAGAACTGCTCACTCCTGTTACCTCTTGGCTCTGTTCACAGCATAGCCACTGGCCATGTGGTAGAGCTCCACCTCGGGGACTGGTTTTCATTTGCTCAAAAGCCATGGCAAGTAATTCAGTGGTTAGCTGCTCTGGTTTGCCACCTGTGCCTGGTGTGGACGCTTGCAGGAAGGGCAGAAGCTGGCTGAATCTTGGATGACACCTGATTCTGCTGTTTTTCCATACCCAAATCACATCCCTGTAAATCAGAAAGTCGGAAGAGTCCAGCCATGGAAAGCTGATGCACATCACTTCACAACATATTGGTCATCCAGATGCTTTGAATCAAGACCACTGACCTTCACAGAAGCCATCAGCACGTTGGAAACTGTATTCTCCTGAGCCATGTCACAGCTGAACTTGTAGCAGTAATAACAGTGCTAAAAAAGCAAACAGGATTTAAAACCATATACAAAGAAATTAAGGATATCAGTGTGTGGATCCCATTGTGCCCACAAAGGTAGATGGTGTAGGTGCTTGATTTGTCTGTACCTTTACTGTGGTTGAAAATACAGTCACGTATGTCTTCATTTTGAAAGCTGAAGGTTATAATTCCTTGTAACTCTATCTGTAATGACTAATTAATGTCATATTTTGTGTTCTTACTCACAAATTATAGCTGTATACTGAAAGGCATATTGATCTCAAGACTGAGAAAATGATAGTAATTGATTCCTTGACAAACCGTGTGTAAACCTCATTAACTTCCTTTTGCTCTTGTTTCCCTTGCAGTTTTAAAGGAATAGAATAAGTTAATTATAAAAGCCAGAAGATGAAGATGGATTTTATATTTAAGAGTCCCCGGTATTTGTTTTAAGAACACTAGGCTGTGAGATTGCAGAGTTTAATAGCCTCAGATATTTGTATTCTAATTGGAATTATTTGTCAACAGTTATGCATTTAGGAAATATAGACTACATAGATGCTTGAAAAGAAATAATCTCAGAAAGTTATCGCCTTTCCAGGAATTTAAATTTGTTTTGATATTTTTTTTATTTTTTTTTCCCCGCTCTAGACTTTATACACTGGTATTGTCATTTATGCTCCAGCTTTAGCACTAAATCAAGGTAAGATGAATATACTGCCACTGTTCTTCTACTGATAAAATTTCTTCTGTATATAGTATTGGTATGGTGGGGTTTTTTTGGTAATGCAACACCTGAAAATATAGCTCAAGGCTTGACTGTGAAGTCTTTTAATGGGAATTCTGTAATCCTAGTCCCTTAATCCCTGCCTGTAAGGAATTACAGAAGAGATTTATGGGAAAACTGGCTCTCATTTACTTTACCTCTGATGCAATGCCTGTAGATAATGGTTTATTCAGAAAAGTTGAGAAGACTTAAGTAAATTTTGAAGGCAATGCAGGCACTAAAGACAAATTTAATTCCTCTGGTTAAGTGCAAATCTTCAAGATGAGAGCAAGACAAAAGTTCTGTAAATATTATTTTGGGCTGCCTGGAACTGTTTAATATGGTCTGTTGTTTTCCCAGGAAAACCAAGTCAACAGCAAAGAGGTTGTTAACTTAAGATATTTATTGTGATATTTACTAAGTTAAATATGTCCATTTTCTACTTCACAATGACTCTTTGATTTGAAAATGAGCCACATTCATTTCTAAAAGGGCAAAAGCTTTTCTATGGAGCCAACTCAAATGTTTAATCTGACGCCATTAATTTGTTCATTTGGCAAGAAAAGGGAATAACAAAATGCAAATAAAAAAATTAATCATTTTGGCTAGAATCAAGTCATAGTTTTTCTTTTTATTGAACGTTTTTTTCCCTGTTCATTGAACAAAAAGGAAGAAAAACCCCGACACTCTGTGTACTGATTTCCTCCAGAGTATAAGTCCTACAGGTTTTGGGTCTTTGATATTTATATTTGCCTGGCAAATAGATGCTAAACCAAGCTCTGACTTAGTTGGGTTCTAACTAGAATAACTTATATTTTTCACTAGTTTTGTTTCAGTGTTTCTCATTAGCCTGAGAATCTGGCTCTGTCAGGGAGCCCCCTGATGCCCTGCCTGGTAGCAGGTGAGCATGCCAAGCTAGGGCAGTGACAGCCCGTATGTCAACCACAGCTCAGTGCTGTATAGCAGAAACATATGAGCCTTAAGAGAAGGAAGAATAAAAGAAAGGCTTTTATTCTTCTTCCAGACAATGCTTGAACAACCTTTTCTCTATGGGGAACCCCCATACTGTTTACTTGTTTAAATCCCTGCCTAAGGGCTTGGTAGCAACTACACAGGTGTTTCAAGGAAGGACAAGTATTTTAAAATCTTCCTGAGTTGGGACATATTGGACATGTTGTTTGGCAGCTCTCACATTACAGGCAAATAGCTTCCTACATCCTGAAATAAATCTCAGCCTTTCAGTAGTTTCCAAATCTGTAACAACCGTTTCAGTTTTAGAGCTGGTTAGGGTGAATCCCATGGTTTAGACACACAAATCTTTTCATTGCCATTTATACCTCCTACTTTTGCATTTAATTTATTTCTAGCTTTTTCCAGTAACTGACCAATCCAAAGTGTTTTATCCCCAATGCCTCATTCACACTGGTGCTCTTTCCCTCTCTTTCAGTCACTGGCTTCGACTTGTGGGGTGCAGTGGTGGCAACTGGCGTGGTCTGCACATTCTACTGCACACTGGTACATGAGCCCTTCAATTGAGAAAAATCTGTTCCTTTCACCACTCTCATCAAATATTAAATTTATTAAAAAGTAGCCTAATAATCAGGTTACTCCATGGAATTAAATTTTGCAGGTGTAGCCACAGGGTCTTATTCATCCAGGGACCTCTCTGAATGCATAGGCAGCCTGTATGAAAATGAAATCTTTTTTGTTATGATACTTACTTGTTTGTTACTACTCAAACAACTCAACTTGTTGTTGCTGAAAGAATAGCAAAAAAAGATAGATTTCCCTTTTAAAAAATCCTTCTGTGGTTTTTCTTCAGATCTAGTAGGGTTTTGCTGTGCAATTTGTCAAACCTCAATGCAGCTGTAACAGTCTTGTGTGTTGTTGAAGAGAGCCACTGAAAATAAATTGAACATGAACAGATTGGTCTTTAATTTAGTGTTAATTGACCAAGTGTCTAGAAATGATGAAACAGAACCTCAGTAGCAAATTTATTTGCATATGGTGGATTGAATAATGTTTATTTTTATTCAGATGAATGGTATACATTCTGGAGTTAGTGGCACTGTATATAAGTAAGATGAGCACTGTCTGAAAATTTATCTTTTGATACAAACCTCTGAATCAGGGTATGTGGTGAAGGAAATACTGGATTAAACTATGTGTATGGCCAAAGTAAATTCCCATCCACTTCATAAAAGGGCCAGGATGTCCTGAATAGCTTCCATAATACAATTCCTAAAAAGACATTAGTACAGAATTAGTTCCATTGAAGATGAAGATGAAATTAATCTATTACACATTATACAGATGGTATTGTTTCTGTTGGTTGAATGTGAGCACAGAGCAGGAGTGTTGATGCCTTGTTGTACCTGATATGTGCTGTTCCTCTTGCAGGGTGGTCTGAAGGCAGTGGTGTGGACAGACGTTTTTCAGGTTGGAATCATGGTTGCTGGATTTTCATCTGTGATCATACGAGCTGTGGTGGTTCAGGAGGGAATTGGACGTATTGTAAATGATTCTTACCATGGAGGAAGATTAAACTTCTGGGAGTGAGTTTGTACTTGCAGAGGATGTGCCTCTCTAATCCTACAAATAGAGCTCATGAGACTAACTGTGAAATTAAACTGCTACTGAGGGAGGAGGAAGGCTGAAGTTGTGACCCAGTTTCTGTATATTTTTAAACAAGCTTACCTAGTTTGAGGGATATTTTTTAGGTTTTACACTATGCAAAATCTTGAAAAGAGAAAAACCTTTTTACTTTGTCAAGTAGGTGTTTTAAGGATACATTTGGGATTCCACTGAAAGAGAATGGTGAATAAGAGAGCACATTTGTATTATAATTACAATTTGCAAACAGATGATTTGGCATTTCAGCAACAGGACCAAAAGAAATGGGAAAATAATATTTTTTGCCTAATCTGAAAAAGGGAAATGTTTTTCTTTTCCTTGAAACAAAAAAAAATAATTTTAATAGTATTTTACCCTCCATTATTGTAAGTAGTCATAAGCTAAAAATATCACTTCACAAGTTCAAGAATATTCACTCTGACAATGTTGAATCAAAGACCATTTCAAGTAAAAAAGCTATTTAACCTTTGATGAATACGAGATTCTTCTGAGAACCTTCACCCAGTGCTATTAGTGAAAGTTTAGTATGACAAGTATTGTGATTTGTCCTTTGTCTATCAGTTCACAATATTAATCAGGTTGTTTGCAAAATTCTTCACCAAATTCTTCAGTAAGTAATTAATCTGTGGGTATTTTTTTCTTCTTATGAATAATAATTTATTTCAATCTATTTGGCTCATTTGCAGTGGTTGTACTGCATTGATTCTTCTCCCAGTCACAGAGTTCACAGATGGAAAAAGAAAAGGAATAAAGGATGTAATAGGTGAAATAATGATACAATGTTCACCAAGATAAATATAATTTATTGCTATATTAAAGTTTGATTTAAAAATAATAATTGTTCATGACCACCTAAAATCTGCTATTTACTTAAAGCTAAACCAGCAAAATGTTTTATAGAGTCTCTGTCCACAAAGGCTAGGATTGTAAACACACCTTTATACTGGTGTTAGACTGATGTCCCTCTAGATAAGCAGGCACATTACACTTTTTACTGCAGCATCATTTCATCACAACCATCACAGCTATCATACAACCTTACATAAGACTGTAGTTTATAGGCAAATAAAGCCCTCCAGCTTCACCTTTGGACAGTTTAGAGTGCTTCATTGGCTCAGGATATCAGCTCTGAGTTTTAAAATTTGCTTTCTGTGGCTTCACATAAAGTTAGAGTAACTTAATGTTCAAAATCTGGCCAAGTTAAGAACGTTTGTATTAGAACAAGCATGGAGAAATTATTTCCTCTAAGCATTAAGGTCTTTACATATTAAGAATACTTTCATGTTCTGAATTTGTTTTCTCTTTTTCCTCTCATTGTAGCTTTGATCCCAATCCTTTGCAAAGGCACACCTTCTGGACAATTGTTATAGGTGGGACTTTCACGTGGAGCGGTATATATGGGGTTAACCAGTCTCAAGTCCAGAGATACATTGCATGCAAAAGCAGATTCCATGCAAAATTGTAAGTTACTGTTTGGAATAACTGTCTGAGTGTAGCAGTGGCTAATTCTTTATTATTATTTATTATTATTCTTTATTATCTTTATATAAGTTCTTTATAAGAGTGACTCATTTAGAAGGAATGTGGGGGTATTTTTTCTGTATAAATTATATTTATAAAGGCTAACAACTTTTGGCTTCTGTTTTGTGGACCAGGTTGAAGAAATTTGTCACAATAAGTACTGGTATAGGAATTACATATGATTGCTGTTACATTGAACTTTGTGCCTGAATGTTTCACTGTGCCAGTATGCTCATATGGAAATAGCTGCATTAAGTTTATGTGCAACCTAAAGACCAAATATTATAGTACTTAGTATAGACTATATATATAGTATATACTATAGTGTATACTATAGTACTTATTAGAGACTGAAGTCATATCAAGACAGTATCTTGAATTGCCGCTCTATTAAACCTAAATCATTGTTTGGTGATTTTAGTCTTAGTAAAGACTAAAAACTTTTTTCTATAACAATGAATATAGGTGTGAGAAAATCCAGAAATTACTTATTCAGTGATAAAATTACTGAGTAATTGTGTATTTTGTGTTCATAATAATCATCAACATATTTTTTAAGGAATTAACTCTGGAAACTGGCAGAGGGTTATGTTTTCCTTGAATGTAAACATTTGTGATGAGCCTTTACTCTAGAATGGAGTATATTTACTAGCTCTATTATCTTACCTTTATCTTTAGTATCATTCCATTAGTTCACAGCTCAGGATTTACGAATTACTAGTGATCTCATGAAGTTCATTTATAGAAGAAATACAGAAGCACGCATCATAACCATAGTCCCTATACATTCTGCCATCCTATGGTACAGTGACCTACAGAGAAGCTTTATGAAGTCTTTCACTTCATAAAGCTAGCAAAATGCCACAAGATCACACACCATTTACAAGTGGAATATTTTGTTTATATCAGTAAAGAAAATCTGCTTTTCAGCCATTTGTGCCACAGACCGGAATGAGCTGATGCTTGTTATCTTCAGCGTTCCCTGCCACATCTCCAGCACACCAGCTCACTTCTCTGCAGTCTCTGGCACGTGGCTGGTTCTAGGTTCTCAGCACTACAGAGACACATTCCACATCTCTCTGGAATGATTGTGTATGGGAGAACAGACACATACATTGTGCCAGATTTGTGTGCCAGTCAAGCCGTTCTTCCCATCACCTGCTCTGCTTGGGGCTGTGCCCCTCTCTTGCACCCTCCTTACCCTCTCTGAGAGCAGAGACAGCTCCAGAATGTCTCAGAAGCAGAGTGTGACCAAAGGGAATGTGACACCAGGGCAGCCTCAGGGTAGATGTTCTGAGGTTCTGTAGGCGGTTGAATGGAATTTAGGCTCACATGTTGATGGTTGTGGAGCCTTAATCAGTAGAACCCTGTCCTGCTGGCATGCATGGTTGGACTGTGTGGCATCTTACTTGTGCCTCTCTTGTGCAAGATATTTACTCTGCATGAAGAAATCATTTTGCATAATTGCTGCAGCTTGCCACAACTATAAACACTGCTATTCTGTGGTAACTATCTAGTTCATTTTCAAATGTAATTAAACACATTTGGCAGGTCATGTTGTTGGCCTGTACCTCTTATTGTCATTTAATCTGTGCACAGAGGTGCAAAATGTCATCAGGTCCAAGTAATAGGTTTTTCTTACCCCCATGCCCTTTACTATAAGGCTTTTTAAGAGACAGCACAGTATCACATCAGAGCTCAGAAAATAATTCCTTCACAGATCCAAACTTGCAGGTTTTGGGAAGGCTTTTAACAGTGGCACAAGAACAGGAATTTTCTCAGGCTTTGGGAAAGGATTTCACCCCATTCAAGAAACACCAGTAGGTAGGAGCACATTCTGTCATCTTTGAATGTTCATTAGGCAAATTGAACATAATATCTGAATGATAAGAGGCACTCAGAGCAGGAGAGCTACACTGTCAGAAAAATATGGGCTACTAACACATTTTTGCTACTTTCCTTCCAAGATCAGCAGCTGGCATATTTCAGTGCTAAATTCTTAGAGCCAGACTGAAACAAACAATTGAAAATAAGCTTTCTGCAGTCAAAATGCCTACTTCACCCAAACTCCACCCCATGTTACTCATGCAGAATTAATGGAAACACCTTCCTCCAACAATGCTACAATTATTGTTCTCCAGTGCTTAGTCATAGGGTGTTCCATGAGCTGGGATGTAAATGAGAAGGAAAAAAAAACAGCTCTCTGTCAAACACTGACTCAGTTTAAAAACAAGAATTGCTTGAAAACAAGAAAAACAAATTTTGCTTCTGTGTGTTCCTCTTGACGTTCTAATCTTCACTACAGTCTCTAGGCTAATTCTTCTATTACATCTGTTCAAAAGAGTTGGATTGATTTTACTCATTGGTTAGATTTTGTGCTAAATCAGTTTCTGGGTGCTGTATATCAACATAGATTATGCCAGTGCAGTAACGGCTTCAGCTAAGTGGATTCAAGACATCCAATCAATATGTAAGCATCTATGAGAAGAGGACTGCTTCATTTTTACTGAATTAGTTTAGAGAGAAATTTAAAGTCCTGTTGGTTCTGTGTTTAGACCACCCCTAATTGCAAATACAAGGCAAAAGTGCAGAGTTTCCCCTACTATTCATAAATCAGCTTTTATTTGTATAGGTCTTTTCTAAGAGTTTGCATTGTGCTTTCCAACAACTTTTCTATTGTATAAAACTGATAGTTCAGTTAGTTAATCTACATTATGCCTTTCTGAAAATCTCAATTTCAATGTCTAACAAGGCTTATAAAGTTGGGTTTACTTCTTTATTCATCCTGCTGGTCCTCTACAGAAATATGAAGGCTGTAGACCCTTGCTTTCTTGGGGAAGAAAAACACTAAAAGGCCTCCTGAAGGACTGGAAGCATGGATATATTTGCACAGAAACCAAATGTCCTCCCAGAGGAGATCTTACAGATTGGCACAGGCCCAGAGTATGTGATCTGTCAGGAATTTTAATCGCTATCAGTGATACACAGATAACCAGGAGGCAACTGCTGGAAAGGAACGCTGTTTTTCAAGGCCTTGCTGCCAGTGGGTATGTTTGCTTGAAATGACCACTGTAGGCAAGAAGAATTTTGTGACCCTGGAGGTACCATGAGATTTGTGACCCAGGAGATATCAAGAGCTTAGAAACATTTGAGAAAACCAGACTTAAATGGAAAACAAAAGCCCTCACTGAGCAAGGAAAACAATGTGTTTTTTACTGCCAATAGAAGCCACCTGTTGTGTGGCATAGGCAGCATTACTGCCTGATGAAAACACATTTCTGGTCTCACCATTAGCTGAAGCTGAAGCTTGCATCAGGACATGGGGAGGTGGTGGAGTTTCTGGATGATACAAGACTCATCATGAAGGGGAAGCCCTGGCTTATTGAGAATCCCTGCTCTCTGGAAGTAGCAGCCGGAGGTAGCTCCAGACCAGGTCCCAGGCCCCAGTTTCTCACTGCTGCTTCCCACAGAGACTGTCTCAGGAGGAAATGAGAGATTTGTAGCTTTACAAGGGCAGCTCCAGCATTGTGTAAGCATGATCCTACAGCTCCAGAGGCAAAGGAGTGCTGGTGCTGACTATAACCCCACAGTTGGATCTGGGGCACCCTGCCTTACAAATCCGCTTGGGTTTGTCAAGGGGTGTGGCATGGGGGAGAGAGCATCCTCTGGCCTGCTGCCTGCAATGTACAACTTGTACACATGATGAAATGTGGGGATTGCTGTTTCGCTCCCATCAACTCCATTGTCAGGGGACAAGTGCTCAGACTGCGACACCAAAACCAGAAGTGTCATTTGTACATTTGGAAATGTGACCTCACTCCAGGTGGAATGCTGGGAGTCATATGGTGACTGACTGGGGGTCTCCTCGGTGCAGGCGCGGGCGCTTCCTTGCGTGGCCCTGGCAGGGTCTTTGTGGGATGTTGAGTTCTAATATGGCATTTCCATGTGTATTGGTGCAGGTCCCTCTACATCAACCTGGTGGGACTCTGGGCGATCCTGGCCTGTGCCACACTGTGTGGGCTGTCCCTCTACTCCATCTACAAAGACTGTGACCCATGGACGTCCAACCAGGTGTCGGCACTCGACCAGGTAGGGCCCCACATTTCAGGGAAAGGTGGTGGAAGGGTATCCTTTCTCTGCAGCCATAATAACCAGACAAAGGCAGTTCAGGAGTCAGGGGGTTGAAAACAGTGACATGCTGGAATCCTGTGTTGGGCTGAGACCACAGTGTGAGGGAACACCCAGGAGAAAGCAGCAGACCCGTCCTTGGCACTATTCCGTCCCTGCATTCCCCAGCTATCCTGGAGCTGCAAATCCCTCAGCACTTGGTAGGGTGGGCAGCAGGGAGAGCTGCAATGTAGAGAATGCTCAGTCCACCCATCTCTGCAAACGTGTGGGTTTTTCACTCAAAATTGGTTCAGGAATGCCAGCATTGCATGAAACTGCTTTGAAGAGAAGCGAGGGGAAGAAAGCAGCAGTGCCCTTGTGAGTGACTGTGGGTCCTGGTGAGGTGCTTTTTGTCATCCAACCTAAATTCCTCTGGGCTGATGAAGGCAAAATCCTTTTCAGATTCAAAACGTACTTGTGCCTAAAGCATACACCTGGAGAAAGGTTATCAGAGGGCACGTCTGTAATAGTGATGGTGAATCCTTCCCTCCTTCAGAGGAGAGATGGGCAATCAAAATGTGCTGCAGAGAAACCACCTCACCACTGAAGATGACCTCTCTCTAAAAAGACCTTGAGCAGCAGATTTGAGCAGAGTTCTGGCAGCCCATACACTGTCCAGAGTCAGGGCCCAAAGAAATCAAATAAGTTCATTATTTTATTATATAAAAATATTTGTATTTTTAAGTCTAAGATAATCACAAGCTCTGGATAATGGTCCAATGGACAGTAGCTGGAAAGCCAGGAGAAGAGCACAGAGAGTGGAGCACCTGAGGCAGGACCACTTGGTCTTTAAGGGTAGAATAAAATAAGAGCCAAGGTGGAAACCAGAAGGAAATTAAGTTGTAGCTATCAGTGAAATTAATTTGATAGAGACTGAAAGCAAAATACAAAAAATATCATCTTGTCTGTTAAAAAAATAAAAGGTTCATAGGAAGAAAATCTTCAAATTCCTCTCTTTCCAGCACTCAGATCTCGCAAATGCCATAAAATGGCACACAGTTTCCAATAAGGAAATTGATCTCAGGTACCAATATCTGAAATTATTGGACTGTATATAATCCCCTTTTTGTCGAGTCAACAGCAGAAAAAGCATCTGTGGCACCCAGCACCCTCAAGGGAGTGATGTACAGTACAGACTACCTGCTGCCCAGCCCTAGCTTCCTCTACAATTGTCACTGGAAACCAAGGTCCTGATGGCATGGCACCTCAGCTAAGTGGTCTCAACAGACTCTCTGTAACTCTAGTGGATGTTTTAGGATTGTTGTTCTCTGAAAAAAAAATCAATTAATAGGGTAAGATAGGGCATTAAAAATTAGAACAGCTGGACAGAATGCTGGTGAGCAGGCTGTAAAAAAGCAATACAGTGGTAAAATGAAAAATTAGGGCAAGATGGTAATACTACTTAATCTGAATTTTTCAGCTAATGCCATTCCTAGTGCTGGATATCATGCGTGATTTTCCAGGAGTGCCAGGGCTTTTTGTGGCTAGTGCCTACAGTGGGACATTAAGGTAATTTAATAATCTGGAAACTACTTCCTCTTTTTCCCTTTTTTTGTTGGAGCTAAAGTTGCATTTGTACAATATTTGTACTATATTTATACTATATTTATACAATGTTTATACAATATTTATACTATATTTATACTATATTTATACTATAACATATTTATACTATAAAACGTTTGTACTTATTTCTTTGTCTAGCTAATTTCTATTCTTTGAAAAAATTGCTATGACCTCTTTGATGATGTAGCTTAAAAATCCATAGTTTCCAATATTTGGGTCCTAGGACTCAAAGCTGTTTGGAGTTCCCTACTAACAACATGAGGAAACAGCTAGCCACATGTCATATAAAACACTAAAAAATCCTTCTCTGCGCTTTTAAAGCCCTTCTGCTATAGGAATTTTTGAGTATTGTAGATGGTTGGTTACACCAAATAGCTCCAGTTGGGGAAATTTCCTATTGCTCATCTAATTTTCCGGTTTCAAACCCACATAACTTCAAAGCCATCTGCCTTTCCTTACCCCTGATCTTTAGAGACCTCTTTTCCAGGGTTCCTGGGCTTCCAATTGTCTTGAGTGAATCCCATGAAACAGCAATCACCATATATTTTTACTGTAGGAGACAGATTGATACCCTTCTATCCCATACTGGGGAGTGTTTTGTTCAGCTTTTCCAAGGAATATCTTTAAGAAACATTGTCTTTCTCAATGAAGGCTCTGAGCAATAGCAAGCAGATAGAAATGAAGAAACTTACAAATGTGACACCAGAATATTTTTTTTTTTTCCTGAATACTTGTAGCTACATAAATAGAAGGAACAGCCAAAATATTTGCTGAATAAAAGCTGGTGGCTTGCAAGAGCAAGAGGTACACACAGACAAAAGATCACCTGGTTTTTGCCCTAGGAGTGCTGGTTTCTCTGATCCCACAGGGAACCTACAGTAGTTCAGTTTGGACTAGATGCCTAATTTTTAGGTGACCATAATTAGATTATCTGAATCCTCCTCTGAGAGGGCATTAAAAGTAAACAGTGATGTGGGAATTTTTCCTACCCAGATATATACTGTAGATCATTTGTAAAGGTATCATGTATACCAGTAGTGTTTACAGCCTAGCTATATCTAATAGATATTTCTATTCAGTTCTCCAGGCCCAGCCCAACTTTTCATCAGTATGGGCCTTGAGTTTACCAAGGATAATTACTTCAAACATTTTTTCTAAGCTGTTAACTGCATTCTCTGGAATAATAAGTTATTTAGACCTATGCAGCAGTTAGATTAGTTTTCTGACACTGTTCTAGACAGTGGCAGTTTCTCTGTATCAGTAACCTACCTGTTATGTATTATTTCAGTTTTTAAGATATAAAAAATTGTATAAATCTTGCTTTATGTAGTACGGTGTCCTCCAGCATCAATGCTCTGGCTGCTGTGACTGTCGAAGACCTCATTAAGCCCTACTTCAAATCTCTTTCTGAAAAGAAGCTGTCATGGATTTCCATGGGGATGAGTATGGAAAATATATTTTCTGCTTTTGCTTTACAAAGTGAAGGTTTGATTCAGATCTTGCTTATGATGGTGTATGTCAGGAGAAGTAATTCACACCAGAGGGACTATGTTGGTGGAACATTTGGGGGAGACAAGATCAGCTGTGTAGGTTTCACACAAACTGGGGGCAAGTGAGTTTAAGGAAAAAATGAAACCATCTTGTTTGGTCTTTAATAAGGAAAGATGCATCTGTGTTTGGTATCGACTCACAAATCTACAAAGCCAAATACCTCTGACTTAAACACCTGCTATTTACCTTTTATCTGTCAAAAATGAGAAGCAAAGGAAGCTTTTTTGTAACAAGTTTTTTTAATTGATATGTAAGCAATAGCATTGTATCCCAAAAATAGTCCAGAGAACAAGAAATTTCACATCTCCTGTGACATACTCTCAGACTGTCATTCTGTTTAGCTCCTCTGCTTACTCAAAGAGAATCAGAACTAGACTGAGCAGATGGTTTAAATCTGTGAAGTGCACTTGCCATGTTTGCTACTTGTACTGTCTGTGACCAGCTGCAAGTGTAGCCCAAGAAAGTGTTTGTAGTAAGAATGAAAATACCTCAGTCCCAACATGGTGTCATAGCCCATACCAGGGAGCATGGCAGACTGGTGGGAGGGTAACAAGTATTAAATATTTTCACCTGAGAGGAGTTTCTTAAACATTGCAAACAATGCTTATGCCAGAAATGTTGTTTGTGGTATCATGAGTTGCCTGATCACAATGAATAGTGAGATTAACCTCTTGCTAGAGGGGTGAAACTCATCAGGGGAGAGCTGGAAAAAAAACAAGTAAGCCAGTGTTACGGCTCCTGGAAAGAGACACTATGTCATGGTGACCTGGGATGTTCTCTGTCACTGTGCCAGCTCCCAGGGATCTGCCAGCATTTACTCTTTTGCTTCCTAGACTTTAGACTAAGAAGTGAAAATCATTTCCTCAAAACAAGGACAATGACACAGGAGATTAGCTGAGAAATAAGAACAATAAGTGGGTTAATGCCACCATGACTAATCCATATGGCTGACATTTATTAGCTAATCTTTAGTAATACAAAGAAAGAAGATTTTGTCAAGTTTGCCTGATCTCTTCTTAATGTAAACAGAAACCTGACCTTTTGACCATTTCAGGCTCTCTGAGAAAACTCCAGATGTTAGCACATTTATTTGGGAGATGTTGGGGCCATGCTGGGTTAGACAGTAACTTTTCCATTAGTGCTTTTCAAACTTTGGCAGATTTATACATTGTTCTGCCTTTCACATGCAGGCCTGTTTTATGGTGGAGTCTGCATTGCTATGGCTGCAGTGGCATCTCTTCTGGGAGCCTTGTTGCAGGTAGGTGTCAGACAGCTTTTTCATGCCCATCTTGGATGACCCAGAATAAATTATGTAAGAAAATAATTGCTGAATACCATTATGAAATTAGTTTTTTATTCTTTGTTGGATATTGATGTGAAACTGCTCATGGCTCAGCCTGTGTTTTAAGCATCCATATATCAAATCCTGGCAGCTGTGTACACACCAGTTAAAAAAGTCTCATAATAGCTTTCTGAAGATCTTCTCATCACTTTGGAGGCTTTACCTTTCTTGCACAGCACCTGATAGCAGACTTTCTTCCTTCCTCAGGCAGCACTCAGCATTTTTGGCATGGTTGGTGGGCCCCTTCTAGGTCTGTTTGCCTTGGGAATCCTCTGCTCCTTTGCAAATGGAACTGTAAGTAGTAATTTAAAGACCGGTTCATCCAAAATTTATTGATAATTTTGGGCATCTCCTTCCCCCTCTCACACCAATAATTTGATGTTGGGCAGCAAGGGAGATGTCTTTGGTACATTTCCCCTTGCTCCCTTTCTTCCTCATCCCAAGGAAATGACAAAGAGAACTGTATAGAAACTTGAATTTCCATCCCATGAAGAGATTTACACATCCAGACGGGGGAAAATAATCTGAATAAAAATGAAGCTTTGACAAGGATTTCTTAAAACCAGTTTTAGAAGCAGGGACAATGCATCTTGAGATGTAGATGAACAACCAGTAGGCTTAGAGAATCCTGGCCTGTCTGAGCAAATGGGGATCAGGTCAGGAAAATGGGGCCTAAGCACTTGCAGACCAAATTGAGGTATTCTCAGAGTGCTTCCATATGTAAAATTATCATTTCTAGAGGAAAAACCTTTTCCATCAAAAAAAGGATTTGACAAATTCGTTGATATGGTTCATGGTTTAGTCTGGCAGGATTACCTAAAAAATTATCTTGCCAGATTTACTAATCACTGATCTTTACCTCTTTGCTATTGCAAATTATATACATATACTAAAGTAAAAAAATAAATTACTAGCTCTCAGCCAAAACCCCACCTACCCCTGACATAAGAGAGACTTTTTTCTAAAAGAGGTCACATGAGAAAATTGAAGAATTGCTTCTGTATTTGTTCAAGGAGGGCCTCAAATAAAGCAGGATTTTCCAATACACCATACAGGCCAAAGTTATCCTTCAACTCTAAAGACAGTGGCCAAATAAAAAGAGGTATGCTCAGGAGGTGGGAGAAAACACTGTATTTCCCCAAAGGGGGATGAAGTAAAGTACCCAGCACTTCCCATCTGTTTATTTAATTTCTGCTCTGGAGATTACAGTTTAGATTATCTTGACTATTTCTTACTCATCTGTTGTTGTTTCTTTCAAATATGTTTTGCTTTTCATGTGAATCTAAGTTTCAATTTTTGTTTTGCAGGGGGCATTTGTGGGTCTTGTCAGTGGCTTCGTTATTTCACTTTGGGTTGGAATTGGATCCCAGATTTATCCTCCACTTCCAGAGAGGACCAAGCCACTCGATCTCTCGATTGCAGGCTGTAATATATCCTCAGGAAATTTAACATCAACAGAAATTCCATTAACAACAGTTTTCAGCACACCAGGTGCAGAAAGGTATATGAGTTCATCAAGTGCAGTAACAAAGCATGTATGTTTTCTAAAGAAACACATACATCTGCAGAGTATTTTGGTTAATATAAGTATCCTTCTCTGCTTTATCTACCACGCTGTTTGAGATGCAGCAGTTTTCTCCATTTTTATTTTTTTTCCTATCAGACTGAAGTTTGTCTGAGTTATCTCACAACAGAAGTCAAAGTGAATCTTCATACTGATCTGAAAAGCTTCTGTTCCAATGAGTCCAAAAGCTTGGACATGCCTTACTGTGGACCACAGTTTTGAACAAAGATATCATTTATAGTCATTGGATTAACTTCCACAATCTGTCACATGAATTCAAGTAATTGGCAGTTAAAGGGCAAAATGCCAGTTAGCAGCTCTACCTACAGCAGCTTGTCTGTGCAGAATAGTTCTATTCAGTACATTCAGAATGGGCACAATATAAGGGATTTCCTCCTCTCTGACACTGACAAATGTCTTACTCTGGGTGATCACAATTAAATTTAATGTGAATGACAATATAGAGAAGAGCAGGAACAGAAAGAAGCTGAAAAACCTCATTTCTAGGGTTTCCAGATCCTTACACCTCAGAGCACTGTACAATCAAGAGATACCCTGACACCCACCTGGGTTCCCAGCATCCAGTTTTATAGACTATACCTCTCGCATGAGCCCTCCAGCATTGCTCCTGGCTGCTGGGAAACACCTCTTGCAGCAGAGCACATACTCAGGGAGAACAGAATGAGGTGTAAAGACAGTTGCTCTATTGTTTCTGGCTATTTAGAGCTTCATGGGGTTGATTTCTTTGTTGGTTTTTTTTTGGTGTCCCTTCCTTTAAATAACATCATCCTTGCTAAAGAAATTAATCCCTTCATCCGGATAACCAGGGTGTTCAGTTGTGCACTAGATTCGTAGCAGAGACAGGACTGTCCTGTTTTACCTGCTCTGTCTCATGCATCGCCTCACTGTACTGACTGGCCTTGTCTCATACAAAGGAACTTGTTCTGCAAATTTTGGAACAAATTTTCAGTGCACATATGATTGTATGGAGGTAGCTCAAGATTACCAGGTTGCTTGGTTCAGAAGTATCTCTGTATTTATACACTGTCTGGAAACAAACATTTTCAAGTTATTTGGAAGAGAAAAGGAGAGATTAATACTTTTTTTGCTTTATTTCAGGCCTGCCCTGGCAGACAACTGGTATTCCTTGTCTTACCTCTACTTCAGCACACTTGGGACACTTGTCACAGTAGTTGTGGGAATAATTATCAGTCTCCTAACAGGTACTAGTTTCAGAGTATTTAATGAAAGCTTCAGAGATTGAATGTATCTCAGATCTCTTTCAAGCAGAGATGTCCTGAGTGCCACAGGGAGTGCCAGTAACCTATTGTAAACACTGTGTAAAGGTTACTATCCTAAATTGAATTTCCTCCCCTCGGTGCTTCTGCATCCCAATCCTGATCTTTGCTCACAGCAAGTTACTACAAGTCTCTAAGGAGGAAGAAGTTACAGCGTATTTTAAAACCTAAGGGGCCAAAAAAAAAAGAAGAAAAAGAAAAAAAGACATCTGTCTTTCCTGTTTTATTAGATGCCTGCAGGGGCTGGAGGTTTAAGACTGGTCCCTGAACATGGCAACAACTCCAAGCAAAGATATACACCTATGCTTCTAGAGGACAAAAGCAGTTTTACTTTGAGTGAGTTCAGAGCACTCAGGGGCTGATGTCTGCATCCACAGAGTGCATGCTTTTCACCACATTCCTCAAGAACATGCCTAAGAGCTGCAGATCTCCTGCATGGCTATTTTAGCTTCTTTCTCAGTTTCCCGGTACTTTTGTGCAAAGGGAAAAAGCAGCTTGCCATGGGTAAGAGTGGGGAGTTCAGTTCCAGCCCATGGTTTCACCACTTTTGCATCCAGGTCATTCACCTCATGCATGGCAGAAACAGCAAAAAAAGCAGCTGTTCTCACAGCTTTACCCCATATCCCCAGCCAGGTTCATATAACAGCCCTCATCTTTGAGGCTGTTAGATTTCAAATTTTTAAACTGATCCACAACAGCTCCAGGACTGTGAAACTCCAAACTCAGTAGACAAACTCACTTCCATTAACTTCCCCATGCCTTGCAACTAATAAGCACAAGTTACATTTATCTCATTTTCTTTTACTTCTCAGTTTTTAGAAGATTTGCTCCACACTTTCTTTCAAGCATATGCTCTTCCCATTGCTATAGTGATGCTTGAACCCAAACATTGCTTTTACCAGGTAGGGATCAGGTTACCTATAGGCCATGAAACAAAGCGTGAAAACCAGAAAACTCAGTAAATCCAGATGAGAAATACTCAGCCCAAGAACAGAAGCACAAAAGAATTAACCCAGCCACAATGTCACCCTGCTTCTCATGGAGCAAGATTTCATTTAAGCCTCAGGTGGCAAGCAGAGCTAACTCCCAGCACCTATATCTCTTGTTTCCCTCCCAAGAAAAGCTAATCTTCCATGCCTTAAAAATGCCCAGATATTCCATTAACCCTTATCTCCTCATCTTGGGCATGCCCTTAAATAATTCGCTATATAAATTGCTGGTGATGTTGGAGACAGGAGTCTTGCTGACAGGAGCTGAGAACTGGAGCTCAGGGTTCAGGGTAGCACTTGGTGCTACAGCTCCTGGACTGGCAGAGTAGTCTCAGACCTCACTGTATGTGATTAATTCTTTTCTGCTGATTTCCAGATTCAATTTTTTACAAAATAGGAAATCTGAGGAGGATCTAGGAAACTGGGAAATAGCTAAGGCATTTCAAATAGACTTTGAGGGATCATTTTATATATTGAGAAGAGCAGGATATACATCTTTGTAAAGAAATGATCCCTAAGGTCTGTGATTGCTTGACAGCTTTTGCTGCATGACTGTGTCCTGCTTGCCTGGCCTGGTGCCCATAGCTGGGGTCTGACACATGGTTTGCATGTGTAAAGCTGGCTGAATGAAACTTGCCTTTTTTGTAGGAGGACTAAAGCAGAACACGGATCGTAAATACCTGCTGACCAAGGAAGATTTCCTGTCCAACTTCTCACGGTCTGAAACTGAGCAAGTAAGTGTAATCGTGCATCTCTGATTTAAATCAATCTTTCCTCTTGGGGACAAATGCAAACAAATTTCCTGGCTTACGTTTTGCCAATTAGGATGAATAGCACCTGATGCTGCCTGATAGGACTATCTGCTTTAAGGCAGTAGCAGAGCACAAGGCAGGTGGGAGTAAGGCAGCTGCCACAGGCAAGGAAGCAGTTTTGCCAGAGCTTAACTTCAGTCAATAACAGAGAAGCAGCTGAGAAAAGGGATAGGTTTCTCCATGTTTCTGCTAAAATATTCCCTAACTGGCCTCTGAGAAGGCACACCTTGGACTCAGCAAAGCTTCCTTTGTGAACATGTGTTCTCTAAGGTCTGATTTTTTGTAACTTTGGCTACTGTTTGAAAGAAAAACTTTCTAGTCAGTGCATCTGTTTCCTAGCTCTCATCCTAATAAAAAAGGGGAAATATTATTGGGTAATAACATCCATTAGAAGGGAGAATACAGGGAATTTTTATTTTTTTTTTAAATAAACTACAGAATACTTTTCAATCAATATCATCAGCTGAACATTCAAGCTCAGCTTTGTTCAGTAGTTCAGACAATAATCATATCTTTAAGATGGTCTAGCTTGTAAAATGTTTTTCCTCAATACTGACAACTTCTTCTAGAATGATCCTATGTATTTCAGATTCTGGATAAGAACACCAGTGAAAAAAGGGATCTTTTACCATACCATTTGCTACTAATGCTGTTTGCCCATATGAGTACTGGAGATCAACTATCCAGTTACTGTCATTCTCTAATGGGTCAACATCTATTTCCACTATCTTGGGATTTAATCCCTGAAGTCTTTTAAAAAAAACCAAAACAATCCACCACCCACATGGAACTTAATGTCCACAGCCATACTTATTTTATACCTGGAATCAGAAACAAGTATCTAAGAGCTGAATAACAAGTGGTTGGCATCACAAATGATGCAGAAAGTTGGTGAGATAAAAAATCGGGGCTAACTAAGCAAGTTTCTGCAAATGAAGAGCTCAATATCTCATTCTATTTAACAGAAATGCAACATCAAGGCAATGACACATGTTCATCTGCTTTTCCTGTCACAGATGGGGCAAGGATGAAGGGTTGGGAGTCCATAGCTCAAAGACCTAGTGGTGACATATCACTACACATAAAAACAGCACTTAGAACTTTGCACACACAAAACCACTTTAGACAATTTGCAGGACAAGAATATTTTGTGTGACAAGGACATTTTACACAATTAGTACCTTATGCAATACAAAACTTTCCATGCCCCTAGAAAAATACCATCTACTCATCTGCAATGAGTATTTGTGCTCTGTCAGCAAGCACCTGTTTTCCTGCAAGGCACCCTGTACGTCAGGCCTGACTCTGCTGGCCAAAAAGAGGTCAAAGAGTCCTCTTTGACAAAGAGTTCTTCTGTTTCACAGCATAGCTTTTGTCTTTTGTTTTTTAGCCAGAGAAAGTGGAAGTGTTGAACTGGAAACCATTTACCATGGCAGACGAAGGAACTGACAACCCTGCCTTCAGCCACATTGAAATGGATGTTGCAAGTGACAAGAACAAAGTCAATGGTCTTCATATATGACGCAAGGCCATGTCAGCCTGTAAGGACAGTTTTGTTCATGTAAAGCACTGTTGACATTCCTGTTCTGGGTCAGTTACCAGCTCTGCTGGGGTCATGGGCAGGCATCTGCTGAGCTTTGTGGCACTATCACCTTTGCATGACCTTGACATTAGTCAAGAAAGGAATCAGGTTTTTCTTGCACTTGCTCACTCTCTCACTCTGGCTCTTAGTGACAGAACCTAAAGCAATGTTTCTATGTGAAATATTTGCCTGATGTTTTTGAGCCTCCTGGAAAAGGTCTGCTTTTAATCTCATTTCACCGTCAGAGTGAATTTTTTATTTGGGAAGAGTACTTTTCACCCAGACATGGCTGTTTTTTCTGGCTTGTTTTTTTTTCTTTTAAGGCATTGAAAGTATGAAGAGATTAGGGTGTGGGACCTTATCAGATTGCAAGAAACAGTGGGTCTTTTATTTGTATGGGAGGTATATTTAGTGCTACGTGATTCCTCTATAGAACTGACTGAGAGCATATTTATTTTGTTGGTTTTCTTGTCTGTGGTTTTTTTAACCCACTTGTTTCTCAGTTACCTGTACCTCTCCTCTGTGCACACTGCTGGGAGCTGCAAGAGTGACTTTGGTGGTGGTGATAGAGGCAAGAGTCAGAGCTGTCTTTCCCTTCATGCCCCATCTCCCTCTTGTCCCCTGTCTTGCCCTTACAGAGCTGGTCCTCATGAAGGAAATAATCTATTTAAACTTTTTATTCAGTGCCATAGTCCAGAACCACAGTAGCCTTCTACTGCATGCCCAGCTTGCTGGCCTGGGCTTGCTCTTGCACTGGGCTGGGCACAGTGCAGCAGAGATATCAGTAAGGAAGATTCCCTTTTGGGTATACTGGACAAGAGTGAAGGCTGCATCTGCAGTTGCCACAGCAGTTCTCTCCAGAGCTATGAGCTGAAACCTTCTTAGCCCTCTGTGTTCTTGCTGTCCTTGTTTTCACTCTGGGGATTCATGTTCAAGGTTGGTTCAGACTGGGCAAGTGCACACTGTGTTTTGGCAGGCGTGCAGAGCCCCCTGAACAATTCTCCAGGAGGAGAAGGGATCACGGAGGATGTCATATGCCGAAGGCTTCTCCAGGGCTGCAGGGCTTATGGAATGGCTAATCCTCTGGTGGGGTTGCCAAGAGAAGGTTAACAGCCCATCCATGTGAGACAATGCACTGTGCATTGCACTGTGTGTTTGGGAGGGTGAAAACCGCCATTACTTCTCCTGCCTCCTTTCGGGTACAGTGGGAAACAGACTCTGACCCACTGTGTTGTTTTTGTACTTCAGACTTTTACTATGGCTATACAAGAGTGTTTAAAACTCTTCTGTAGCAGCAGAATCAAGTTGGAAAATTAAAGCCATTGCAGGAAAGCTGAGCTATGAAGCTTAGAAGGCAGTCATGCTTGGGAATCAAGTGAAAAACTGACTGCATGCCTTAAATGCTTTCTGAAAGTTACAATGCGTTTGTGCCAAGTACTGAGCTGCTGTAACTTGGAATATGACACAGTGATAGCTTAGCTACCTTGACTGAAGCCCTGTAGCATCTAAATCAATTTTTTTCTGTGCCTTTGTGACAGAGGGCACTTGATGATCTACTGCATAAGATGAACTATTAAGATCAGAAAACAAAGGTGAAAAAATGGACTCCAAGGATCAGACAGGAGAACAGGCCAGCCAGACACTGGTGGGTGCCACCAAGGCCATGACTCTATTGGCTAATCCAGAGCAAAAAACTATTGTGATGGAGGCAGGTTTCATCCATGCCTCCTGAAGCACTTTTTTGCATTATTCAGTGCAGAGTTTAGGTCCAGCCCCTTTTGTCACTCTCCTCTGCTGCAGGTTCAGGTCAGTGCCTGAAGAAGCCACTGTGTGGAAGGGATATGATCAAGTGGGATAGATCCCATGAGTTAGGTCTTGTGTCCCTATATCTAAGATCTGAGTCAAACAATAGCATCCTGAATAAAGTCTTCTAGGATTCAGGACAGGAATATCTCTGTTTTGGGACTGAGTTACTCTGAGACAATTAGGTCATTGACTGAATCAGCTGGCTGTGCTTCTCATGTCTCAGAAGGTAAGTGCAGCTCATTTACTCTTGTGCTTTGTCTTCATGACCCAGAAGCAGATACTGCATTCTGTGCTATGGAATACTTCTTCAGCCTTGGAGTATAATAATTCATACTTAGCAGATACTTTCAGCCCACATATCTGGAAGAGGGTAAGTACTGCTATCTCCACGCTGCTCAGAGTGCTGAAGTGGACTGGTGTGCCTCTGCATACCTGTTCTTTGTGAGAGTAAGCTGTAACACAGAACAGAAGCCTGCAGCAAGCCCTTGAGCTGTGTGCCTGCTGCTATGGCTACAGCCCTCCCAATCCAAATGCTGAATTCCCATAAGGATGTGCTTCTCCAGAGGGTGACTGGTCACTGCTGTGTGATACAGCATCAGCATGTCCTTTCTGCATCACTCTGCTGAAATTACTGTGCTGTAGTTGATGCTGCCTTAGACTGTCTTAGATCATCTGTAACTTCTACCTGCTTTGTTAACGAAGACTAATCTTCCTGGTTATCATACTTTAAAAATGTAGTTTTCTCCTCCGAGCTTTGAATTCACTTAGTTGTTTAAAACAGAGGAAATGTGTAAATTACCATCTTACCTCACCTTTATTGCTGAAGTCACTATTTAAGCACTGAGCAGTCGTTTAGCTCAAATTATGGCTTGGAGTAAAGGTTTATATGAAGTGAAAGTGTGGTATGAAGTGAAAGTGAAATATTTATTGGTCCACAATCATAACATCAAGATGGGTTTTCACTGGGAAGTATATCTTGCTGTAAGCAGTTTAGAGACAGACACCCTTACTCTTTGCAGGTGACCTCTGCAACTATCCCATTTCTTGCTATCTGCCTGTGACTGCTGCAGAGCTATAAAGTAACTCTTTTGGCTTTATTTTTTTCTATATTCTTCTTAATTTGCTTCATTAATTAAAACAATTCACCGATTTTCAGTAATATATTCTCTGGGAAAGTCTACTGTCCTCTGCTAGCTGAACGCTAAGCCAAGGCCTTCCTTGTCTGTGTTAGAGCAAGATAATTCTTGGACTCTCCACCATACTCCTGCTCCCTGATCCTTCATCTCTCCCAGCTAAAAGCTAACCGATTAAGAAATGTGGGATGCTCAAAACTGATTCATTTCACAGGAGTGGGAGCACTCCACAGTGCTCCAAATTACATGCAGCATCTCGCAGGGTCACGAAACAAAACAATTAGGAACCTGTTTAAATAAAAACACTAAAAAATTCCAGCCCTAAAAAAAACCCCACAACAGTAACATTTGACTCTGTGAATACACAACCACAGAGAGAAAACAGCGAAAGATTTTGTCTCTTTTTGGTCTGTATTTAAATTTTACTTCTTTCTGACTAGTCATTTTGCTTGCTGAACAAATAAGGTAAACAGGAAGAAACACATGAATTACAAGCAGTAAATATTTCATGTGCATAATTTATTTTTAAAGTTTATTACATCACATTATACAAGCATTAAACATGGCTTTATGTTGATGATTGTTTTTTAAAGTGTGAAAACTTGACATTCTTCTCCATAGAATTTTTCTATTTACAAATAAACAATCTCTCTATATACTTTATATATATATATATATATATAATATATATGGTAAATAATGTAACTCCCCTCAGAAAGATTTAAAATAAAAAAGAACTGATTTGTAAACACGGTTTCTGTCATAGTATTTGGTGGCTTGAATGTAGACAATGTTCTAATCCTAGATTTTTCTTTTGTCAGAGTATCCAGGTTGTTCATTTACATTTTTATTCTAAGATCTGTAAAACCAGCATGGGACAGAATGCAAAAAACTTAACAAACGGGCTGAAAAACAGTCCCAATATACTTTTTTTTCCCTTGGTTTTAAAAACTGGTGTGTAACTGCTCATGAAGTACATGCTGCTGTCAAGAATGGCCTATAGAGAACAATCCTATGCTGATTGCAAGATGATTTCACAGTAAATCCTCTGTTGTGTGCTGTCCTGCTTGCTATGTCAAATGTCTGTGCCATGCATTGAGGTTGCTTTTCTTTCTCATTCCCTTGAAGGTAGTGCTCTTGTGAAGCTGGAATAAGTAAACAACATACAGGACTGTCACATGGAGATCTAAACAAAACCCATCATCAGATCAGGAAGAGAATGGCATAAATTAGTTCTCTAGAGACTATTAAAATTCCATTTATTATTATACTATTATTTATATTTTATTTTTCTAATAAATAAAATGGGGACATCTTTCCTGAGTGTTCTGCTATGTAGCTCTGAAGGACTCCAGGGAAATCTATTCATCAGACCAGCAGCAGAGAAACTTTGACAGGTTGACTGGTCAAGCTCTAGACAGAGATATACTCAGGGTCTGCCACGGAGGTCAGAGCCCCTTGCAGCATCATACTGAGCACAAGCTTGGCAAGCAGACAACCTGTGGTCTCATTTAGAGCAGAGCAAGACACAACTTCCAGCAATGTGTTGTCAGGAAAATTCATCATAATGGAGCTATCTTGAAAACTACTGTCAAAAACAATTATTATCTATTGCATTTCTGCTGCGTCTTATTTGTTTTGGCACATTTTATTGCAGTGGTTTCTCTGGAGTGGAAATTAGTTTCTATTCTACTCTGTTTCAGTTCAGTTCTCAGAAGTTACTGAGACCTAAATGGACAAAGCAGCATCTTACTGCAGGAATTTGCAAAGGTCCATTTTGCTCATATGGGTGACACTGATTTTACGCATGGCTCATGTTTCACTTTACTACTTAGCAGTTTCTAAGCTCTGGTCATCTGTTGGCTTAGACATTAAACAGAGGGTATCCAAAATAATCCAGTTATTCATGAGAATTTGGTCTGGATATGATTTTGCCCAGCGATCCTGCCCCAAAGTCCCCAGGCTGCAACTGTAGGTGGTGGATGGTAAATACTAACCCATCTGGCATGTGTGTATTGGGGGTCAACACTGCCTGATCCCCACCCCCTATTTACAGAGATAGAAACACTCCTATTTCCCACTGTCCCGTGAGATGTGTCCACAGCTGCTGTAAGCAGAAGCAAAGATGAACAAGTTCACTTCCCCATTAATCAGGAATTTACCCCACAACTCCTAGTGGTGCTCCCCACTCAGTTTGGCACAGAGCCAACACAGAAAAGACTAATCCTAAAATTCCTTCAGTGCTCATGTTGTCTCACGGGACTTTCAGGCTTGGGTCAGGAACAGCTGATAAAAGGGAACTGCTGTGTCCTTTATCCTCTTCAGGTGGGATAGTGGGTTGCTACTGGAGGAGATTCCTTGCTTTTTTGTGTAGGCAGGCAGTGTCTACAGAGAGGAGGGTGCTCACATTTTCTTTCATCCCTCTCTTTACTCTAGTCATGTTGCTTTTCATTAAAGCTTCCCCCTCTCATGCAAATAGCACAGTTCTCCTTAGTAGTGGAAAAAGTTAATAGATCTAATTTGGTGATATTTGTCACCGTGCAAATGGTCCTGTTGTCATGTGGAGCTTGAGGTATCCATCCATAGAAGCTTGCTTTGTGTGATCTGTCCAGAAGGGCGAATTCTACTCCTTCTATCAAATTACTTCCAGAATAACTTTTGGAAACAACTGATTTCCAAACTGAAACAGCTTTCACAACACTCAGTATTTTGATTCATGTTGTTCCATCCAACGGTTATGATGTCTTCAAAGCTACAAGTCCGCTCTTTTGGGTTAATAGTCTGGAATTTTTTAATTTCTTAATTAAATCAGAAATTTAAAATTTCTCAATAGTAAGGAATTTGCTAAAGGATATTGACAGTGGCTTATTTCACCCAAGTCTAATTTGCAGCCTGTGTAGAATTGCTCAGCATTAAGGATTTCAAGCTGTTTCATGTCTGTTGTTTTGGTTTTTCCCTCCACCCCTTCATAGGTAATGGAATGATGAAAGCAGAAAGTGCTACAAGCGTAGATATTCTGGATGACGGTGTTTGATTCTGCTGACCTTGTTCATCTGTCTTTTTTTTTGTCTGTTTTACTTAGGCAGACAGGTCTTTAAGACACCATCTGACATCTGTTATGTGTGTAAGTACACCCTAATTCCTGACTAGGCCTCAATGTGATCTGGCAACACAAATACATGGGCAGTTCTGGGCAAGATGCCCTAACCTGATTTGATTCCTTCAGACACCAGACAGTCCTATAGCTGAAAAGGCACTGTTCAGATCTTTAACATATATTACCAACTTTTCACAGTGTCATTTCCAAATAAATGACCCTACAGCTAGATAACTCTGGCCATATTTAGGTGCTCGGCTACCTGTCTGCACTTCTGATGCCTACATTTTTCAGCATTGTTAGAGCAGTTGATCAGACTTGTGATCATGCATTTCCTTCTAGATAATGCTTCATTGTTGTTGAGCAATGGAAATGGTCCACCTATGTGACCTTAACTGGTGGCGAATGCAAACTAACGCATTGGGTCCACTGTGGAAGAGAGCAACGCTGCCATGCACGTGCTGCAGGTGGTGGCCACACACACGGACAAACACTGCCACGTTGCCAAGGCGCAGTCACTGCTTGTGAAGTAGCAACTTCATGAGAATGAGCCATAAGATCACCAAGTTCTGTAAAGCACTGTAAGTTGGATAACTGCTTTGAAGTTCAGGGCCTCGAGTTTTAGTCAGGGCCTTGGAGCTTCCTGGCAAGAGTGCAGTGACTTAGTATTGGTCTGATGTGCTCATGTTGACATCAGCTCTGGAGAAGACTAAGCCTTGGAAACACCTCTAATTTCAAAAGGCTTATGACAAAATCCACCCTATTGAACAGGGGCACACATGCGCAAAATGCACACAGCATTACTGACTATTCCTTTCAGTGCACTTTCTGCTGTAGAAAACCAGGATTTTTTTATAAACAGGAGTTCTTCTTTTAAGCAGTTTCTTCCTCATCCTGTCACGGCCACTCATTGTGATAAGATTTTCCATTCTTTTTCCTTTCCTTTCGCTCTTTTTGCAGACGTTCTAGTTCAGCTTCATACATCATTTCCTGAATCAGATACTTTTCTCGCCTCATTCTATCTCTCAGATCTTTTGGAAGATCTGGAATTAAGTAGGAGATCAGATTCTTTATGCAAAAGACAAGATGCTGTGAACACAAAAAAAGGAATGACAAATTTAAAACCCCAAGAAGAAAACAAGTACTTTTCATATCTTCTGAAAACCTTCTCTTTCCAATTTGCAGACAGATGCTGTGTTTTCCATTACTAAATTTTAAGAAAGCAAACCATGAAGTTTTTTCCCCCACAAAAACTCTAGCCAAAGTCAGTGGAATATGGGTCACAGCAGAAATTATGAGCAGGTGGGTTCAAATAAGGCTTCAAAACTGTTCTATGAGCTGTGTGCTCAAAGCCCAGAGGTCATGATTTTCTGTAAGGTTGTTTGGACAGAGCCTGGTATTAGTAGTGGCATTAGTTCCTGCTCAGCAGGAAGAGGAGGCTCACATGATGTAACACTTTCCTGCTGCCATAAACACATCGAAATTTGAAGTAATGTATCTATACAAAAGTAGTAATGAATCTATATAAAATGAAATCTAAACATTTTTTCTTACACTGTGTCTCTTATCCAAAGATATATATTCCTGTTTAGCAAACACCACAATTAAATACAGGTTGACTGATCCTTTGGCCTTCCTATTCTGTGCATGACACAGCAAAGCGTAAGTTTGATGCCTGAGGGTTGCTTGAGTGTCCTTTTCTGTTTGAACAAAAGTGCTGCTTGGACATTTACTCACTTCACTTGAAAGGAGGAACATATAAACGGAAAAGTCCTCAATCTCAGAAAGGACATACATTCCAGATTGGGGAAATAAAGGTATTTCTTCTTCTTCTTCAAGCAGAACCCTTCAGAAAACCCTTCAGAAACCCTTCACTGAAAAGAGAATGTAAAATGTTTTCCCATGTATTCTTCCCTCATGATAAATAAACTCACAATACGGTAATTGTTGGGGTTTGTTTGCCAAACCTAAAAAGAGAAAAAAGCCTCTTCTGTGAGTTTAACCTGGACAAATAATTCCTTTTGTGCTGACAAAGGGGGTTAAGCTCTGAAACAAACCACACTCAGAGTACCAAAAAGGGGTCTGAGCTTAGGTAGTTACTTAACCTATGAAAAACCCTATCTTGAATCCTCTATCTCTTAGAGCAATATTTATTGTAAGGACTGCAGCATTCACAATACACTCATTGGTGTTTTCAAAAAAAAAGGTCGTGGTTTCTGCTGCAATTACCTTTTTGATTTCATAGATATAGTTAAGGAGACAGTTTGCAGTGTCAGTAAACAGAGTAGCTCATGTTGAGGGAGGCAAATATGAGCCAGCCTATGGCTTTGGTTGAGATAAAGCAAAGTCAAATCAGATGTGCCGGTAACAGGCAGACACCAAAAGTTATTCCACAGCTGGTCACAAATTTGTCTGGACACTGAAACTTGAACAGGGCTCATTTTTCTTGCCTCACTTCTCCTTATGTCTAAGTTGTACTGCCTTTATGTCAAGTGTGCATCGAGAGGCCAGACTCTCTTCAGTCTTTAAGATTCTTAGGCTGACCTGTCAAAACCGTTCTCGTAGTCCTTTCTGGAGAAGCATACTCTGACCTTCAGTCCTGACAGTTTATGAAACTAGAAGACATTAAGCCCAGCAGGCCTCTATCAAATCTTTCTTTCTTTCCCTTAATGTTTCCCTGAGTGCGGAACAGATGATGGAAGAAATTATCTCCTTGGGAACCAATTGCTAATAAGTTACCTAGTGTAAAGGAAGAAGAGCACCCAACCTGCAGTGCCATATTCCTTCACCTGGGAAGGTATGAAAATTACAATCATGGGGAATTTGCTGAAGTCCTCAGCCTTCTGCTGAGCCACGAAGAATAGAAATAATAATCTAGAAAATGCTTCTGCTGCGTTATCCAAAGAGGTGCGTTGAAAGCTCTGTTCAGAATGAATTTACACTGTTCTGTGAGTCAGAATGCAAGAGGTGCTCATCAGGATTATGCCATATGCCTGTATGGTGACTACAGTTTCCATTTCTGTGTTGAATTCCCTGTTGCTATGAATTCAGAGCAGAGGATTGAGTGAAGAGTCTTTTAAAATCATGTGTTGCTTCTTTGGTTTCTTCACAGTGTAAAAGGCATTTCAAACTTCTTGTGCTGGAGAGATATTGAGCTCCTGGATTATGGTGGGTATATTCAGGCACTTGAAATTAGGCCTTCAGGTTTTTTTGGGTTTTTTTTGGTAAATCATCTCATCCTATTTTCCTACTCTTCTAGTTCACTTTTTCAAAATCAGCATGGGAATACCAGTCATATGAAGTTGATATTACCTCCTTTGGTTTGCCTTAAAGACATCTGAGGTACTGACAGTAAATACTAATATTATGAACGTAGATAAGGATATTGAATCCTTTTCATTGTCATCATCTTTGTGGTGCCAATCATTCTGAAGGAATGAAAGGCATAAAAAAAAAAACAAACAAGAAAAATAGCTAGATGTGTAAATAGTGTAACTTTAACTATCATTGTTTCTCCATTGCTCAGATTTAATATTTCTTCTCATGTTCCTTCACTCCTACCCTTACACAACAGTCAGCATATGGCTTCCCAACCTAGACAAGTTACTCAGAAAGTAAATAAAAGATTAATTTATTTCCTCCCCTTTGCAAATCACTGCTATAGTTTTCAGTGTTATATTCCCTTTTCTGTGAGAACCTACATGGCTGTGACTGTTCAGAAAACAAAGCTGAGAATACAAAGCACAATATAAGTAGAAGAAACTAAGACAAAAAACACCTCAGCAGCTGCCATCATAGATCAGCCCAATGCAAAGCTTCAGAGGGAAATTCGTTTTCTTTTTGGCTTTGTTCTGCCACCTGAATGGTCACTGACCTCAAAGACAATGATGAAAGCCAAGCGCGCTGCTAAGACGTGCCAGAACTGCAGTGTGTAACCGTAGGGCACTGGGGAGTGAGGAGGGTCTCGGTAGTCCCTGTACCTGAAAGACAAGCACAGAGTGGTACTTAGCAAGCTCTGCACTGCTGCCTGGGCAAAGGCAAAACCAAAACTCGCCTTCTCTTGATCATTACATTTTCTGCACCAAAAATGAGCTCAGTTCAAACTGTACAGTTTAACCTGCTACTGCTTGCTTCTAAGGCTGGGCCTGTGCTAGCGTTTGATTGCAGGTCAGGCACCTGCTTTTGAAGCAAGACTCCTAATCACCTGCACTTACCATGCTTTTCTTCATGCAAATGGATTTACTTTCAGCTGAAACCCACTGGTAAAATGCACTCCAGGAGTGCTAATGGAAATTGGGTACAAAGGACACAAACCAGTGTCTGTCTGAAGAAAATCCCTGAAGCAAACACACAGGATGGTGGGTGCTATGACCCTACATCTTTTTGGCAGCATGACATGTGCCTTTCAGGCATCTCCTCAGAGCCTGGAGAAGGGTGGGATGCTCTGCTCTTTTAAGGGAATGATTTATTCCCACTTCAAGGACATTTTAAACCTATAAGTGTCCCCAGCTTTGTCAGCCTGATAGTTCTCCCAAAATCCATATAAAAATGCCCCATGGACTCCACCTGGCCCTTGATCAATTAGCTGGCCATCCCTGGTGTAAAACATGTCTCATCCTGACTTCAGCAGATCCAGCGCTGCACCTCTTGGTATATCAATAGGGTGAGGACCATGTGAGAAAGTGATCTAGTGTCTTTTCTCATAGAGTGTTTCTTGAAAGACTTTAGGTCTCCAAAATTTAACTGTAGATATCTATCGGGAAAGTTGGATCCAGGAATACTCCAAGATTGTATTTACAAACCATGAATCTGTTTAAGTCACACATTCTGGAGTCCATTTTTACTAGCATTTTGTTAATTCTAAAATAATACTTATTTAAAAGTAGTGTAAAAATTGTTTGCTTCTTACTCTGTTTCCTAGATGGGACAGAAAATGCACTGTAAAAAAATATTGAAAAGACCATAGTAAATAATACAGGCTGAGCACTAAGATAGTTTTAAGAAACTAATGAAAATGCAGATGAATAAAAGAAATAAACAGTTATTTAATCTCTATGATAATTCATATTTCTCCATGAGGCTTCACCTTATTAGATTGCAGAGAGTGCTATACAGCCTGAAATAAACTGTCTTGACATCTTAGTCAGCATCAAATCTCTCAGAAATTGCAGTATTTCTAGAATAAGTTCTTAAAACTGACATGATCTTTCCTTGTGTAAGTAGCATTCTGAATTCATAGTTTAGGATGTTTTACAATATTCTGAGCATCCCAAAAAAGAGAAATCCCTGGACCAAGTCCCAGTAGAGTATATCTCTTTTTTTCCCTTGCTAGGAATCCATTGTAACACATGAAAAAAATTAAATTGTTCAGACAAACTGCCTTCCTGGAAAAATGCCTACACTATTACACAGTAGAAGATAATATTTCTTTACCTCCCTGTCAATATCTGCCTTGAAGTGCAATTAAAATGACTGATGTTTTAGCCCAATGCAGGTGGGTAAGAACCTGAGAGATAAGCTCAGCTAAAGAAAGATGTTAATTTTCTTTCAAGGGTAGATATACATAACAATTCTGTGTCTCCCAAAGGAGCATATATCTCTTTTGGAGATTTATCACACAATTTTAAAAGTGTTCTGTTTAGGGGATATTGAGCAGACAATTTTTTTAAAATTTTTTTTTAATTGTGGGATTTCCATCATCAGATTTAAGGAGTGGCAACTTCATGCTAAGAAGTTGGGGAAGAAAGGAATTAAAGGCAGGGGGAAGAGAATGGTCAGAATGACAAAAAATTATTAAATAATGCTATAGTAAACAATGTGGGATGGAATGTAGATTCTCACTGTAGTTCTGCTCCACAGGTGAATTCAACATTAGGATACTCTTTCTTCCAAGTAAATTGCAACAGTTCTAAATATAAGTTAGTTAAATGAAAGTGTTAATTCCACCCCTCCCCCCATTTATTATGCTATACCACTCAAAATTCTCCCTATTCATAAAAACATTGCAATATTGCAAATATCACTGATTTTTTCTGTATCACAGACCTTTGTGGTACCACAGAGTATCTTTTGTTCTTTTGAGGCACTCATGAAAGGATATTTTAATTCTTCACAGTGAAAAATACTGGGACTAAGCGTATCTGCTAAAGGACTATCAGGTCTCATGCTTGTAAGGTAACATTGCAATTAAAAACTGGTAGCTGTATTTGTTTAATATTTTTGTTTGAGACACCATTTAAGACCTTTATTGAGATCCTTGAGGTTTTTGGTCATTAAAATCACTCAGGTGCAAATATGCCATTACAGACTTTACTCATACTGCAATTTCTCCAATCTGTTGTTGAGGACAAAGACATGCAGATAATTAACTGCTCATCTTCTTTGGATTCAAACCACAAGTATATGATTATTACTAATAATTACACCAGTAAGAAACAATGTAAACATATTAACAATTCAACAATTCGGAAATGCTGGATTTGAGGTTACGTAAAGATAGCTTAGGACAGAGCCTGTTTATCCCTGTCAGACCTGTGAAATACCTCAGTGTGGCTGCTCCTGTGCAACCTTGACTTCCCTGTGCATGTCCTCTGATACAATTTCATCACAATTGGGTGTCACTGGCACCTAAGTAATCAGGCATTTTTTACTGGCCCTTTGACACGACATTTATCCATGATGATTGTGTCTGAGTCAAGCTATGATGCCATAAAAAATCCTGCATTAGGAGCACCCTCCAGACACCAACTTCTCAACTTCTCTTTTATCTGAGTAAGGAATCATGCAGGTAACAGCCAAGCAGTACCAAGAAGACCATGACCCTGAACAGCACAGTTAAAACTTTCCATGTTTAACTTCTAAACATTAGCTTCAACTCCAGATTTATTATGGTGCTTCTCCATTTCAATGTTCTAAAGCAGAGAAGTACGTTGACAAGAAACTTACCTGCAGTATTTTAATGGTGAACCAGAGAATTCACTTCCATTTGATGTTGGCTCTGAACGATTTTCAAAGTCAGACACCAGAAATACTGATAAACTGGCATTAACGTAGCCAACCATACACCTAGAGGGGACAAAATGCTGTCAGCAGGACACAACAAGGTTTTTCCATTAACTGTTGTATCCAAGAGGATGCTCTTTGAGTTTCATAAAAACCCAAGGTACAATTTTGGCGCTTATTAATATTTGAAAGGGATGTTGAGGCAATATAAAAGAAAGGCTAAAGTAGGTCAGATGAACAATGAAAGTGAAGCAATGGTAGAATTCTATGGGAGAAGGAATGGTGAAGATTGGGACTGGTTACTTTTAAATAGTCTCCTAAATGGTGACACAATAGGGGCAGCGAAAATAATGAGGAGAGTTATGAAGATAATCAAAATATTCCCACTGTTACACTCATGGTACTAGCACAAAGGGAGACTAAATCAGATGGAAAGATAATACACCTAAAACAACTTTTTAGAAAAAGTTAATCAGAGGAACTCCATTCTAGAAGATCCCAGGGTGACTAAGCACCCTGAGGTGAGGGCTGGGCAAAATTTAGAGAGCACTGAGTAGAAGTTAAGTCCCCTGTTGAAGGGCTGTGGGTGTCAATAGAAGGGTCAAGTTTGGTGTTAGTAAAGATGAAGAGATCCGGCCAAAATGTGTTGTGCAGTTCATGCTTCACTGCCCAAACACAGGCAAGTGTAGGCACACTACTCAGGTTGGTGTAGAATATAATGAAGTAAGGCTTGGGGGATTTTTGGTTTAGGTTTTTATAAATATGGACTTTACAGTCTTTGATAAATTATATTCAAATATTATCTGGCTTTGCCTCCATCCTGATTAGATTAATTCCAGTATTTTTCTAGTATCATCGTGTGTCATATGGATCTAATACCTACAGATGTTTTTGAAAGAAAAGAGTACCTCTCTTTTAAGCTATTCAGATGGTCTTCACACCTTAATTTGAGAAATAACAGATGATAACAGATGGTCTTCAGACCTTAATTTGAGAAAACTCACTATTCCTGTGGATTTTTTAATACCTTCTTTCTTTAATAACATATAACATTACTAATAACATTATTCAGAATGCTGACATAAACAGTTTTAATACAGATTATGTCCTTCAAAGTATTACTACCTGATGGTTTTGTCTAGAAATTCACTCAAAAAAAGCATCAGAAGTGTGAAAACATTGTACTAGAGGTTTGTGAAAAGAAGAGCCAAACTGTGAACCAAACTACTTCCCCTATGCAGATCTAGTTTCAAAGCCACTGAGTCATATTTGAATCTTAAGAGAAATATTTCTAAAGGTGTTGTTTTTTCATGCACAGTGGTGCTGAGAAAATCCTTCCTTGCTTTCCTTAGCAATGAGAGTTGCTTACAGTGCCACAATATCCTGTAGATGTTTATAATGGCGTGAACAGAGGCACATGCTCAGGAACAACTGGCACCAGACCACTTTACCCTGATAGGATTTTAACTCTTCATGAAGTAAACAGACCATCTTCCCTAGCCCCAGCTAAAAATGCCCAACTCCTTGCAGGATAGCAATTTTCTAATCAGGAGCTGCCACAGCAGATGCCCTTCTTCCATCATACGATTAAATGTATTGACAGTCAAAAGATGCCAAAAAAAGCGGCAACAGATGAACTCAGTTTCTGCAGCAGGGAGTAAAGAAATCAATCTGCCATATGCCCAGTGGCAGAATGCATGCTCTCTGTCACTGTCTACTGTTTAGCCTGGGTTTCTTTGAACAGCAGCTTCCTTGCCAATGGCACTGCTAGAGCATTTGCAAACTGTGTCTGTGTTTGGCTGCGTTCACTGACCTTCCCAGAGCCCAATAGCTGAGATTTCAGAAGTGGCCACACATCAACTATCTCATACTTGTTGGGAGTGTGTGCATGCTAACATAATCTCAACACTGAAAGAAACACTGAAAGAAAATCCACTTAGGCAGCAGGGATTCAGATCACAAATGTCTCCTGCAAGATTTAATCTAAGAACTCTCGTTGTAGAAGAAAAACAAATTACTTTTCTCTGTAAGTATATCTTGATGTATTAGTTGGAAATTTCTTCCTCTTGCTGGACACCACTTTTTTGAGTAATACATACTGAATATTACATCAGGAAAAAAACCCAGTTTACAAGTTTAAAATGCTCAACAAATTTTTTACTGATTAGCATCAGCATTGCTTCAGGAAAAAAAAAAGAAAAAGAGGATTATATCCATGTACTACCAGTTGGAAAGTACAGCATTGGCAGCATCGTGTCACACACACTAAACCTCTGATATAGCTCTGCCATGTTTGCCTTGAATCACAGCAACTCATTCTGTGACTGTGCAAAGCATCAGTACCCATGGCTGGTATCTGTTACCCAAACACAAACAATACTTTTGGTTCAGTGGAATCAGAACATACACAGACAGTAATACTGCATCTATTAAGTTATTTTCGTGTACATCTGTTTCCCACCACCCCTCTAAAAAAAAAAAATAAAAACTTACTTTTGTCCTGCTTCTCCTTGGCCAGCACAAGGTCCGTATTTGTAAGCATAAACAAGGCGAGGGATGAAATCTGACGTCACTGCTATAACAAATGCGTTTGTGATAACAGAAAGGATTCCAATTCCTTCCAGGATCCCGTACCAGATGCCTGTTCAACAAGGACAGTATGTTTGCTCCAGGAAAAACAAGAACCAAAATGCCTGAAATACTGCATGATCTGAAGTAGTTTTCCCCACTGCACAAAGTGTTCTTATGCAGTTTTTATCCAAGAGTCACTGAGTAAAAATTAATTTTCTTATTGAACAGTGAGACCTAATCACTGTGAATCACACCAAATGAAGGTTAGACATACTCATTGATTTAATGAGGCATCAAACTGCCCCTGAAAACTTTGCTGAATGCAATTTATTTTGAGAAATCACATCTGAATCAACATTAAAAAAATGCATTTTCCTATGCTTTGATTAATTACATTATATAACTGGTTTTTTTAGAAATTATGTCTTCAGTGTACGCTGTGTCCAGGCTTGTGCCAAAACCCACAGATTCACACTGCTTGCATTCAAAGCTTTAATCAGACACAGGCATTAGGCACATGGTGGAAAGCTGTAAGAGCACAAAGCCTGAGCTTCTGCTATTTCTTGGTGTGGGCTACAGATTTTTGCAATGCACTTGGTTAGTGAGGTTTCCTATTTACCCCTCTGAAAACACCAGGGATTCAATGCTGGGCAGATTATTTTATTTTAGAGTTCTTCCTAAAGGTGTTCTGCTTTTGAATACTGCAAGGACAGAAGAGATTTGTAGTCAAAATAAGTTCAGAGATCCTTTGCAACAGTGTGTGGCTGGATGACCTCAGAGTTACATGGACCTTGTGTTTAGCAATGCAGGTGTGACTCACTGAGAGCAAGTTGTCTGCTGGGATCCAGACCCACCCTGTCTGACCCACCAGAGACCTGGTGGGCATGGCCCGAGTCACAGGGGAGCTTGGTTTTGGTCAGGTAAATATAAAAATACAGGTCCCTTATAGGATGGTGGCCACTTTAACTTGGCTTTCATGTTTCTCCTGATCTGTCTGGTTATTATATTCAAGTTGAGCAGCAGCATGTTTTGCACAGTGTGTCTGCCACAACACAGCACCTGCAGGGAACACTGATCACTTGACACCTTGGCTGTTAAGTCCCCCAGAAAATCATTAAAAGACATTTTCCAATATAGACTATTAATTGCATAAGTAGGTTCAATAAGTAGGCATCAGATATTTTAAGGTTTTTTTGAACAATCAAGGGGTGCATTATTAATTGAGAAGATGACTGAAAATGTCTTAATCTGCTTTTACTTGAAGTGGTCAAAGCTTTGACAAAAAAAACCATATACATAACAAACACCATACAAAGAGCTCACCTATATCTTTGGCTCTTGATGCTAAAGGTCTTCTCCACTGAGTAACAAATTTGTAAGCATCAAGCCGAATTTCAATAATATTGTTTAGTAAGGCCAGAAGTGGTGCCAGTGGAAAAGCTGCCACAAAAATGGTTGTGAACCCAAACTGAAGAACTGGGGGAAAAAAGGAAATATCACAGTATAATTGTTAGGATCTAATTCCAAGGTCTAAGATACCAAAGTGCATGCAAATAAACACTACGTACAAAGTATACAGATACTTCTTAATATGCCATACTATATAATGGTCTGGTGGCAGTTGTATAGAAAGTCCTTGTCAAAAGCTAGAAGAAAGAATGAAAAGAGCAAATGCACATCTGACCCTGGAATGGACAATATGTTCTAAATTTTGTAATTTGGAGTGAAGTTCAGTGGTGGACAAACTTTTAGAAAGGGACATTTTTACTCCAGCATCAACTAGGATCTCTCAATACTTGCAAAGTTTAGGGATGAATACATTCCTTTTAAGAGTTCAGATGGGAAGAAGTTTGAAATTCTGTTTAAGTTTCCAGAGGCAGGTCTTCAGACTATCAGATTTCCCCAGATTTTAATTTGGGAAGAATTGTGTGACGGAGAAAAGAAAAAAAAACAGTCATGACAAAAGCAGTTCAGTCACATAGGGCAAAAGTTTGTGGTTTTTTAGTATTTTTTTGAGCAGTTATCCTCCACTCTCCTTTGCATAGAGCAGTGCCTTTTGGCAGAAAGTTACTTTGTAAATGTGAGGTAGTAAATGAGGGAGGATTGTAAACATAAACAAGCATGCAGGTCTGTACCATGCAGTTCAAAGTAAAAGCACACAGCAACTTTCTTTAGAAAATAACGGCAAAGTTCTTCAGAAATGTATGCAGATAAGGAACTGGGCTCTGGTTTGGAAAAATAAATCCAGAATGGGGATGTTTCATAGATGGGAGGTTAGCAAGCCATCAGCAGTGTGCTTAACTACATTGGTTTGGTTCTTAAAAACTTACTCCCATTCCTCACCTGACCTGTGAGAATGAAAACCTTTCTGCAGTCTCCTTAGCTTCATATAATGTTAATTAAAAGAATTCACCAGCCCACATCAACAAAAAAAGCAACAACATTAAAATCTAGTGAAAGAGAGAGAATGAAGGTTAGAGCCATACTCATTTCTAGGTATTCATCAAAGAGTCCATAAGCATTCATAGGCTGCAGATTATAGTCCTTTTCCCACTGTGGGAAGCTTGTTTTTCCCTGTGTGCCGTACTCTTGCCGTAGTTTTCTCCTGGTCCACCAGTTTTGAATTAGCCTACATTTTAAATTAAATTAAAGAAACAAAGCAAAGAATATTATCACAAAATTGGAAGAGGTTAAGTGGGTACAACATATCTTGCAAAATTCATTGCCCAATGTACAAGAAGATAGAGCATTAGTAATACATGTGGCTGATGACACAGAAAACAGATACAGCTGATGAGCTGTAATCCCAGCCTAGATTTGTTAAAATGGTAAAAGGATTTGGACATAGCTTCATTATTTATTTACTTCTTTTTCTCTCCACAGAATGGCAAATCACTTCAGGGTCTGTTTATGTGGCAGAATGCAATGCTGTGTGGAGACAGCTGAGCTCAGTAAATAAAGAGTGCTAATGCTGCTTGATTCTTTCCTCTGTGTGTGACCTGGCATTTCTGCATGGCTCTGCTGGGTAGCAGTCTCTGGGAAATCCTGGAAGGGAAAAAGCAACCCTGAATGGTGTCTGCAGCCAAACACTCAGAGGAGAAAGAGGCAGAAAGAAGTGTCCCTGAACTACAGACAGCACATGGTGGCTGAGAGATGGATGGCTGACATGTGAGCTACCACCATCCCAAGAAATGGGAGACCTGTACTGGACATCAGGGGGAAAATGCTGTTCCCAAAGAAATGCATGTGTAAGACCACTGCAAAAGGCAGTGAGCCAAAAGTTAATGAATTCTCGCCTCTGAAATAAACACCTTTTCAGGGAGGTGCACTGGTTTGGTCAACAAAGGACACTAGTTAAGATTTAGTATAGAGAGCAAAGAAAAAACCCAAACCACAGTGACTGAGATTTTCTCTGAAGCTGAGGTTGGCCACTTTGTCTCAGTAAGAAAAAATGTTATAGATCACCCAAATAATTCAGTCCTTTTTCTTGACCATGCTTCACTTCTTGCCCTCACAGGGGCCTGGTCTGGTCTGTGAATGGTGCAAAGGGATTGCAAATAGTCATTGGATTTGGATAAGAGTTTAGACAGCTGCTTGTTTTCTTGAATCTTAGAGATTATTTTTCCACTTTCATAATTTATCAGAAAGGTTACAGCTTTTCCTGTCCTCCTTAAAGAAGTGTAGGTGCAACTGAGTGCAGTTCCACTACATTCAGCTACAGGTTGCAGGGTTGCCTCCAAGTCCTCTGGCCATCCACATTGTGTTGCCTGCCACCAAGCTCTTAGCAGAAAGGTGTTTTTCACACGAAAGGAAATACACCTGCTTGCAGCATTTCAGGGCTAGAAGGTGGACTGAAGTGTCTGAAGAGCAAACACATCTCTCATCAGAGTAAGTTGAAGCATTTGAGTGTTGTAACTGTGTCTTTTATGTTGAGATTTTCCTTGTGACTCTGAAGTGAAGATTCACTTCACCTGAAGCAGTTTATTCCTATTAAACCACTCGTTCTTAATCTCCTCCTATCTCTATCAATCACCATCCTTTTATTTCTCTTCTGTGCTCTTTGTTAAGTTTCAGGATCTGTATTGCTAGAAAGCAGAGAGTTCTAATGAAAACTGACAAGAGGTAGGGGATGGAAAGAGAAGGATCATTATTGCTGCTACTGTTCCCTCCTGCCCATCCCAACTAATCCCTGCAGCCCTAATAGCTGCAAAACACTGGCAAGGAGTGCTAGGCCCAGGAAAGATGGAGAAATACCAAATCCCTCTGAACTTTGCAAGGGCAAGCCTTCTGACAATGTCAGCTCTCTCTTAGATTTTCACACTTGCTAATTTCCCTTGATGACCATCCACACTGTCTCTAGTAAGATCAACTACACTGATCTTATTAAACCTATATGAAACATATTAAACATGCTCATTAAATACTAATCAATAAGGAATGAACCAGTTGGAAATTAATATTTGCCAACCTTTTAGCTAGGGCACAGCTTCATGTTACCTTGAAGATAACAAGGGAACTTGTCTACTTATTATTCAGTACATTTTTCTGTCTTTCAGAGTGCATGTGCCAGTAGTGCATTTTTTCTAGCTCATACCTGCTTTTTCAGGCATCTTTTATCACCCAAAAAGAAACTGAATGTAGAACTTCCTAGCATAGCTAAGAAATGATACATGTAATATTTTTCATGTAAGCAACACAGTGGTCACACAGTTGTTTTTAAGAAGTTTTAGAACACAAAATAAAATTTAACAATATCAAGTATTTCCCATGTATTACTTATTTGCTAATATTTTAATATTAACTAATATTAATATTTGTTGATATTCTACTATTACACTTTCACTTTTGCAAACTGTGTCCAATGTGGAAAAGAGCCCCCAAACATCATCTATATATCTGGAGTTCTGTATCCTGGGGGGGAATTTTCTGTTGTAATGACTAATGCATCTTACTTTTATTAACTGGTGATAAGGAAAGCATCAGCTTTAGTATTCTGTGACCTACAGAAGCATAGGTATTGTATTTACTTACGGATATCCCAATTCCATGAAATTATTCCATGTCTGCTTTAACACCATTATAATACCCATTTGCATACAGAGGTCAATAAGGCATCCACTAGGGTGGCACTACAGACAAAAAAAAAAGGAACAAAACGTTAAGCAGGAATAATACTGAGTTTTAAAGTGTTTCTTAAAGGCCGTAAATGATGCTGGATCATTCATTTACTAAAAGAAACTGAATGCATTCTCCTTATTTTTTAAAGAAGTGTAAACTCATGGGAACAGATGACACTGTATCATACTGTCAGCATTTTAAGCTAATCACCCGATTTTCTGCAGAGGTCAGAGTCAGCTGAAACCAATGCAGTTTTCACATACGTGCTTCTAACGTGCTGCTCTGCTGTGGGCAAGCAGGGGCAAAGGCTACCAAGTTTTTCTACTGATTTCAATAGCTTTTGGGAACAGTGACTGCAAAGTCAAAGAATCAAGAGAAAATTCCTCCTGGCTGCACATAAAGTAAACACTTTATGCTTAGAGGATAGACCTAGAACTATTAATTGAGTACTGTTTAACGTCTATGACTGAGTAGACCATGCAAAGCTATTCTCTTCTTGAAGACCTAAAAATCTCTAACTGCTGAGTAACAATTCTCAGTGTTTCTTGTTGAGTGCTTGCTTGCTTTAGCAGTGGCTCCAGATGTTGAAGTTGTGGTGCTGCTTTTGGGAGAGATGTTCAGCTAGTAAAAATTTAGGGAATTTTATACCTACTATTGGAAAAAACAGAGAGGGATCTAAAGCTTTCTACTCTCAAACAACACTTTGTGAAATTGGCTTTGCAGATCCAAACAGTGAAGTTCAAGCTATATTTTAAAATCTTGGGTATTACAGATAGGTCAAAAAAATCACTGTCACAGAACTTGAATTATTTCTTTTTAACTTTTAGGGAGAAAAATTAGTTATGACCTGGAATAAAATAAAACATTAATTTCTTATACATATTGCTTTATCCAGCTCTCAGAACTTGGATCACTGCTGAGGTTTCTGTTGACCTAATTTAGCATCTTTTTAGATTAATGGGGTGACAGGTTGTTAGGGGGTTTTTTGCTTGTTTTTGTTTTGTTTTTTTTCTTTTTGTGGTGTGGTTTCTTTGTTTGTTCGTTTGACTTCTCTGTCATTATCACTAGATCATCATCCTCCTGTTTTTAGGAATTGGTCACATGAATGAAAATATCCTGAGAGAGGCAGGTGCCCTGTTAATGAAGTAGCAGCAATGTTACAACCATAAGATCAATAATATGTAAACTGTGGTCTGAGCGTGCCCATGGACACTGGACTAGTGTTACTAAATATCTTAGACTTGGCTAAATTCAACAGGTGAAGAGAGAAATATTGGAAATCTGGACATGGTATTCTAAGGCAGGTTAGTTCTAATAAGACCTAACACAGATACAGTCAATAAAGTCAAGACTTTTTTAATTAGACTTTTAAAAATTATTAGTATTAGTATTAGTATTATTCACTTTTTTCTCTGTGAAAAGCTAAAAAGGGACTACTAAGAGTAGCTTCCACCAGCAACTGACGCGACCTGTAACACCTCATTTTTGCTCTTTCCTCACAAACCTGGTTCTCCTTCCATCACTGCTCCTGCACAGAGATGAGGTTCTTTCCCTGTTCTCTGATCCCTCTGTGAAATGAATCAGCCCACTGAATCGTCAGAAGAACAATTCAGCCAGAAAAAGGAAGTTTATTGCTGATACAAGGAACTGAACAGGCTGCTCACAGGGCTGGACAGGTGAGAACCAATACAGAGGAAAAGGAAGGTACAAGCCTCAGGGGGAGGACTCAAAGGAAGAGCAGAACTGTTTTACTTTGACAGCAGAAAGTTCTGAGGACAGCTCAGTCCCAGCCAGATTTTGGAGGGATGTTAAGCAACGTGCTGTCTTCCCATTTACCAAGTATTCTTCCCTTCAATGAACAGAATTCTCTACAAAATTAAGATGCTTTTATTCGGACTCAAATCCTTTTTTTGTTTGTTTGTTTCTTTCTTTTGCTAATATTTGAATGGTCTTTATTAACCAAAATATTTATTTATCCAGAAGTGTTTGAAAATTCAAGCTGGCAGGCATTTTCTACTTATCATTTGCCATTTATCTGCAAAGTTGTTTCAATTATTCATCTGTGAAGCAGGAAAGAAACCATGGGATTTCAGTGTGCCCATAGCAGCACTGGAAAGTAAAGGACTGGCCCAGAAACTGATGCTGCTCACCTCCCATAACTGTCAAATGGGCTTTGAATTCTGAATGTATTTATTAAAACAAAATAAATAAAATGGCATTGGTCCTTGAGAAACTTGCAAAGCCAAATTCTCATTGCTTTTCATATTAATTTGATTTTATAGACATGGGACATTATGCCAGTAGCTTGCTCGGGAAGTTCATTTGGTTGTTTTGGTCAAATTTCACATACATTTTATGTGTCTGGATTTTTAATTTGTTACTATATTATTTTATCTCTCTAGTCCACAAGGCTAGAAAAGCTGAGAAGAAAGGACTTTCTTGGAAGCAAAAAGTTGTCAGATTAGTATTTGAGTTTGATTCATTCCAAGGATAAAATATTTCCAATGTAAATATGTGAGTAATCTTTAAACCATCTGATACCACTGTTCAAGTGTGTTGCAAACACTGGAACTGCTAGCACTGAAAAGGGAATATATATCTCAGTATGTAGATGCTTTTGTAGCAGACGGCAGTGTCAATAGTGTGGAGTTAGACAGCAACTGAAAACCCAATAACACTCTCAAAAATGCCTCGGCAGATTTATGTGTCTGCCTCTGCTTGCGTTCACGGCGTCTGTGGGCAGCAGATAAATCCGCGTGCAGTTATCGAGCACTCACCTCTTCCAGCCTCCACCGGTTTATCAGCCTTAAGTAGGCACCAGGGTGTCCTGTAAATCTTCAACACAGGAATATGTTTCAGCTATGTTGTGTAAGCAGTCTGTTCACAGTAGTAAAAGAAAGCTCACGCTCTTATTTTAATCTGGTGTTATCTTAATGTGACTGGTATAAAAGATGATATGCTGTAAAAGGTTTTATGGGTATTCCTGGAATAATCCCCATGAAGGACTACAGATATGTTTACTTTCAGTTTTATTTCTATACCAATACTCTGCTGTTGGATATTCAACAAACTGCTCATGTCAGTTTGGAAAATGGCTTTCAACTGCCAGCCCATTTCCTTACACCATAAAATGCTCTGTGATGTCTGCCTTCCTGTGAAATCAGTGAAAATTTTAGTTTTCATTAAAACCCATAATTTTCTAACTATTCTCCCATATTTTCCCCCAAAATTATTTCCATATGAAAATAATCCATACTAATGGATTCTACTATTCAAACCTTCTCTGCTAAAAAGGTCTTTTTTTTTAGGAGACTGACAGAAAAAGATATATAAATAATATATATTTAGATAGATACATAGATATACACAAATACATATATATAAAATACACAATAAACATATATAATAAATATATATGTGGAAACCTCCCGGAAATGATAGTTCATAACTCACTCTTAATAGTTCAGATCATGTAATAAGAGCAGGTCTCTTCCAACTGAACTATCCTATCCTGTCCTGTATTTATATGTACAAATAGCACACATAAAAACAGAGTGAAATGACCTGCAGGTATAGTACTGTGAGATGCATCTGTTTCCAACAGTGAAATTGTTAAGTTAATATTGAGGCCATGTGGTGACAGCAAATGAAAACTGCATCTTTTTCTGGGCTTTTGAAAGGAGTATAAAACTGCAATCTGTTCTGCTTTGCTAGTATGAAATTTGCATTTTGACATGTGTGATAATATGGTCCATTTTGTTTCATTACAAACAATTTTATTTCTTCTCTCTACTTCATTTTGCACATATGAGCGTGCAGACATCAATCCTACCTTCCAAGGAAGAATGCTATATAAAAGGTAGAGCTGTTCAGATTGACAAATTGAAAAAGAAACATTTTCAGAGTGAAGCTGTTCTCCCACTCCGATTCGGTGCGAGGCTGCTCTGTGAAGAAAATGATCAGAGTTTCAGAGGCTTATTCAGATTACCCATTTCCCTTGGCACAAGGGCTGCACACACCTGTAAGAGTTGGCAATGCATTTGCAAATTTGCCTGCTGTTTTCAAATTATAACCTGGCAGAAGAAATTGTATCCAGAAGCAGCACTCAGCAAGTGAGCTTGTAGAGACTTAGAAATCTGTTCTGATGTCCGTGTATGTATGTTCCCACGTGACTGTAAGAAAGTGGTTGAGGTAAACATCTCTCCTGTATTTAAGTGGCCTTTACAGGCTCGGGCTCTTCTCTTGGTTTTTTTTTTTTCTGTACCCTACCATAATGACATTGCCACTCCACCAAAGCTATTTTTCTTAGAGATGCCATGCTGAACTGAAGAAAATCCTTCTGGTAATTCTGTTTCATGGATTTTCCCACATGCCCAGTGGAGTGCCACTGCATGACTCCCCTTCCTTGTCCCAGGGAACTCACCACAGAAAACCAAGAAAAAATAATTTCCAGTGGATGGGCTAAGGCAAACTGGAAAGGGAAAGACATATCATTGCCTTTGGGTACTGTTCCTTTATTTTCCATCTCAAGGAATATCAAGACAGAAGTTAACAAAACAATGTCCATGCCAACACACCAGTACCATATTCTGGAACTACTTTCCAGCTGGCAGGAGCTTGTTGTTAGCTGACCATTGCTGTGAGCAGGAGTAATCAGAGAAGTGCAGCTACTAATGGTGATTCTGTGTATCATAATGATAGTACTCATATACTGCTTCAAAACAGCCTCCAGTAAAGTACTGTAAGAACAGAAAAAGCAATTAACTTGATTCTCTTTACTTGGATGCCAGTCTGCAGGAAGGACATGTTTGACCATAACAAGGCCACTGCAGCTGAAGCTTTGGTCACATGCCCATCAGAGCCAATGGTGATGCTCTGGAGGAGCACAGATGTGAGTTCTGAAGAATGTCATGTAAAAGCTGAAGAAGGACATCCTCAATGCCCTCAATGTAGTTTTGCTGCCAATTCTACTTTGAGCTTATTCCACTGATAAAGATAATTCAGATCAAATCAGTTCCTCAGGCCACCAGAGTAAAAATCACAAAATGGTCTGAACAGGATCGAAAAAACTTGACCCACTGAATTTTCATACAAGTGCTTTCTGCAAAAAGCAGTCCTACCTTGATGGCAACCTAACAGAAAGTAATCAAGCTTCAAGGTCTCTAGAATATATCTTACTGTCCCCAGGCTGTCAGGACATAGCTGGTACAATTCACAAACTTGAAAGTTATATTTCTCAGCTGTGGCTAGCAGATATCTTCTTCATTGATATAGGATAGCAAAAATATTTTAAAACTACAAATACAAATGAGGACTCTCAGTTTACTAAGAATCAAAGGAATAAAATTCTATTGTATGCAGATACATTTTGAACACATTACCAATGGCTTCTGGGATGTAGAAAAGCCCTGAGAATAGCTAAAATCAGTTGTTTGAGCATCCAAACATCAAAATCTGTCCATCTGGTCCAAAATAATGTACTGAACATCATCGATGTACACAGGTTCCCTGGAGCACTAAATAACCTCCTCAAACCACTTGTATAAGTGCAATAATATGGTTTGCTTAATAGGCCTTCAGCCATGGTCTCACTTCAGGCTTACTGACTCTAAGGAGCCCATGCCAATTGCCACCAACTATGACAATCTTCCAAATATACCAGAGATCATCTCTGAGCCATGGATATATGGATGATAGCCTATTGCTACCCCATTGGTGGGAGATACTCTCTTTAGAAAACAGGTTTCCTTGCTCTAGCATAAAGACTGCCTTTATGAGTGAGCTGAAAGGATTACTGAAATTTAGAACATCATATAGTTTAGGTGTAGGTAGAGTTGATGATTCACATAGTCATTTTTCCTCCTTACTGCCCTTCTTAAGGGCAAATGTTTGATAGCAAACCAGCACATTAGTTTCAAGCTATGAATTTGTTTTCCAGAAGTTACTTCCCTTTTCCATGTTTGCAAACCCTGGAGGCTGTGAGTGCTGAGTCTGTTTGAAAACTCATGCCTTTACCTCCAAGGTAAAAAATTCACATTTATTTATTGTAAACAATTTGTTTACATTCTTAGATGGTAGGTGGTTGAAACAAGAACAAGGGTGGATGATTGTTGTCACCACTGGTTGAATGGCACAGTAGTTTAGTTTATATACTTTCTTATTAGAAACTTAAGAAAAACATTTATTCCTATAGATTGCAAATTAGTTAGGATTTTTCATATTTATGCAGACATTTTGAATTTTATCATGGTGCATGGACCAATAAATCAGTACAATATTATTCAATTTTATATTTAACATTACTTACCTAAATTTGTCAGGAAAAGAGCAACCTTTTCATACAGCTGTAACAGAGAAGAAACAGCCTCTTAGTTACATGGCTGGTTCAAAAATATAGAACTGCTTTCTAGGGAGTGAACGTGTTAAATCTGACCCACAGATGATTTCTGTGATGTTCTGATAATGACAATAAAACTACATAATGATACAGTAATGATATAATCAAACAAGAAAAGTTTTCATATCTAATGCTCATCCAGAATATATGGAGAAGAAATGATGTCACTGTCCCTATTTTACACACAGCGTGAAAAAGTGTGAGAGAACTTTTCAAAAAAAAAAAGCAGAAACAATAGAACAACTGAGATTTTGTTTTAGTTACTTATGGAGCAATCACCTCACAAGGGAAAAAATCACCCTAGAAGACTTTGCTATGGTATGTTGGTTATCTGGGGCTTTTAGGTTTGGTTTGGCACTTTGGTGCTGAAATGAAAGACACAGGGGGCACAGGGTTACTTCAGAGAAAATCTTTAGTAATCTCCACCACCAGACATACTTCTTTACTCTGAGCCAGTGTCATTTTTCTAAATCCTAAGTGGTCCTTTCTGCACTTTCAGGTACCATGCTCTCAAACTCTCCAAGAGACTCCAAACTTCATAAAGATTACCAAACTAACTTGGAGGGTTTTCACAATCAGTATTTGCAAGGGAGTTTTGAACCTATTACCTGCATCATCAACACCATCAGTATTAGAATAAATTAATGCTATGATTTCCATTTGCTTTAAATTAGCCTGGAGCCTGTTCCTACAAATTGCTAAATGTACTTAACTCTCACTGATGCCTGCAGGAATACAAAGCTTCTCATATTTCAGGCTCAAGTGTTTACTTACTCCTACAGTGCATATCAGCAGTGTTTCTTTTTATTTGCAGTTATCCTTAGAATCTCTTGCTTAAATTGAATTATGTACTGTTTACAGATCAAACTGCCTGCTTAAGAACTGAAGTCATCCTGATATCTCTCATCCACGTTAACAACCACTTCACGCTTAGAATAGCTTTCCACTGCCTTTGGAGTAAAGGGTTTTGTTTCAAGTAATGAAAAAGGTAGTTTCTTATGGGTTTAAAAGTATCTCTTAAAGGCAACTGTAAATGTGCTAAATGTCTGGGTCATTTATATCTTGATCCCAGCAGGGAGTGTAGTTTTTTTACAAATGTTCACTGCTCTACAGACGGGTTTATCAAAACTTCAATTTGTTGCTATTCCATTTGGAACAGTAGAACTGTCCTAGAGATCCTGTTAACAATGTTTGGATCTAATTATCTGCTACTATAGTTTATCACTGCATTTTCCATGGGAAAATTACTGGAATTAACTGTTTTACATAGCCTAGGTAAAGCTAGTGATTGTTTACAGGTCAGGCTGCAAGATTATCTGGGAGACATTATGCTTGAGGGTCATTTTGTTTTGCCATGAGGGATGTGCCAGAATAGGTACCTAGTGACGCACCTCAGAATGTCTGGTCTGGAATTTACTTGTGGTCTAGACCTTTCCCCTGATGCTTTCAGAGGCTGTCAGCTTGTATCAGAATCACTGCTGGCTTTCAAGGCTTCTAGCAGTGAATTCTCTACTGCTATGCACATCTTGGTCCCTTCTGGTTTTATTACTGTATCTTTTCTTGCTCTTCTGACACTTTCTTTGAGTCATAGTTCATGCAGGATTCAACTACCCGAATTGCTTCTGGGGATTTTAATTCTCCTAAAAGAAATCCCACTATTGCCCTTCAGTAAACTACATTAATCCATCATGGGAAGCAAGGGATTATGTTCCTAAAACCTTCCTTTGAAAAACTCCTGCAGTTTCATATTTTGTGGATCCTTTTCTTCCATGAGCTATATCCAGATCTAAGGTTGTGGTGTTTATTGAATGGTGATGAGTTTGAGGCTTAAGAAATCCATCTTTGCAGTCTTCCACTTATTTAATTATTTTAGGAAATAAAACAAAGTTTCTCAAAAGGCACCTTCAAGCAATCTTCCATTATTTAAAAGAAAAATCTCTGAGCTGTAAAACTCTTTGAGAATGAAAAAATTTAATTTGTGCAGCGTTTCTTTGTTGGTGCTTCACTGCATATACAATGACTTACTCTGAGAGCTTGAAAATGGATGTTGTATTGGCATAGATATATATAGTTTTCTTCTTTTTTTTTTTTAATGTTTATTGTGTGTTCTAGGTGGACTAAAGAAAACGCCCAGAAACTGGAGAAAACACCCAATAAAATAAAAATAACATAAAAGAGGAGAGCCCTCAGTACAATCACAGACAGAAAACCAGCTTCTTCCTTTCTGCCCTTTCTCAGCCTATAGTCCCACCTAAGGGAAAACATAGGAAAAACAACAGTTCTAGACAGATGTCTTAGTCACTGATAGAGTCTTGCCTATGCCAAAGGAAGAAGCAAAGTCCTGCAGCAAAGACTCTTGGAATTTCCTGCCATATAAAAAAGAATTTCAAAAAGAATTCAAAAAGAATTTTTTATGCTTGGACATCGCATAGGAAAGAAAGAAGTCTCCAAGCCAGCCTTGGAAATGAGCAGACCTGAAATAATAGCTCATCTTTTCCCTTGGAAATAAATCAGCATATCTCCTGCAGTGAAGTTTAACAAGCTGTTTGCAGAAGATGCTTGCTATTGAATAGGTAGAGATACTCCACCCTGGCTCCCATACCCAGCTGGTTTGTAGGTTGAGCCCTCCTTCCCCCTAAAAGGCATTCATATAATGTCAGCTGACAAAAATCTGATAGTGAAAGGCCATGCACCTCATGCCAAGAGCAAGAAAGAGCAGACACATTGCTGTCAGAGCAATATACAGGAGTATCAGCATCTCAGTGGAAGGAGGAAACTCATTCCCATCTAATCTATGCTATACTGTCTTACTGGGACTGCTGCCACACAGAAATTCCATTTTTGTCTTTGTCCCAAGTCTGGTTTCAAAGCAGCTCATAACAATAACCTGCCAGCAGCCAGCCCCACTGCAGTGCACCCAGACCATGTCTCTGGTGCATGCTGGCAAAGTCTAGGGGCAGCTCTAGAGCATATTGTGTCTGCTCAAGCCTTGTGAAGCTTTCAGCTCAAGAGAGTCCTGCTTATGGACATTAAGCCTGTATATGCATATCCTCATGATATGAAAACTACCATGAAAACTGAAATTGGAATTGCTGAAAATAGTGTAAATAAGAACTTAGTTTTGTCACTATATTAAAAAATAACATCAAAACAATTAAATTTAACAATTTAACAATTAAAAAGAAGAATATTAATGAAGTGGATTGAAAACTGCAAACATATAAAAGGGAAAGAAGTGGCAGAGGATAAAGCAGGGGTATGATCATGTCTCCCTAAAATATTTTCAGAATATTCAAACATACTTTAAATAATATTTTGGATTTGGAATTGCACTTTATACAAGTAGTGAATGATGTCCCTAACCAATAATTCCACGTCTGCCTTAGGAAGACACTCCATTCCTGCTGAAAAAGGAAGTGAAGGCATTTGGTTGTCTGCTGACTGAGATATCTACTGCTCCTGTGGCTTAGGTATAACTTTGGATATGTTAATTTTACTCACCACATTCAGTAGCATGATGATGCAAAAGTTGATGCACACTGCAGTCCCTGTAGTTGCAACCTGAGAGTTATTCCTGATTAAAGCCCACTTAAAGGCAGCAAAAGTGCTGACAGTCACAACACGGTAAATAACAATGCCAAAAACAGCAGCAATCACCACGCAGATCTAAAGGAAGAAAAAAATCAGTGAGAAGGACCTGAAAACTTCCAGTGGAACAGGAATTACCTTCTCCCTGAAACTCTGAAAATTTATTAAATGAAAGACTTTAAAAGACAATTCCTTTGGATTCCAGAAAAAGGCTTCAACATTATGATTTTTCTTCTTATAAAGTTATTTTAATTCTTAGAATGAAAAATATCATTGAAATAATATTAAAATAATTTTTAGTTTTAAACATTTTCTTGAAAATGGTCCGCTTCCTTAGCATTAATGTGGGAAACAGTATTGCCAGTTCTGGGAATTAGAAATTTTCCTTATCTGTACATGATGTGCAAAGGGCAGTCTCAAGCTGATGTTGCAGCTTGATGGTATCATACTAGGGATGGATTTTGTGCTTTGATGGACTTCATGCTTCCCACAAATATCTCCATTTGTAAGCACTGCCTCAAAAACAGCCCTGCCAAGCTAGCCTAGCTAGCTGTTTCTTCCCACAGTTCTGGAAAGTTTCTGTCTGGAGAAGGTAACCAGTTCAATTGCCCTTGTGGTTTCTTCACTGATGAAACTTTCAGCAAACAGTGACAGAATGAGAAAGCTGCAGCTGAGCCAGGTTGCTTAGTTGCTTAATGTTCCTCAAGCAACGGTTGAGCTGTATTATTTAGTACACTTGGAGAGTCTATGCTGACAAATTTTGAGAACTGTTCTAACTTGAAGTTGGGTAAGTGTATATATCCCTGTTATAGGTGTAATTAAAAAAAATATTGTTATCTAAAAGGTCAAAAAAGTGGAGTTTTTCTGACTTGCTGGAAGCCCATGTTATGCTAACAATAAAACTAATTTCAGTGAAAACAATTTTTGTCCTATTTCAAGGGCTGTGATGGGAACAGTAATTTGTGGTGCATGCAATTTAGAGCAAGGCTACTCTCTCTGGCACTTTGAGTAAGATGTGTCACTAGTCTAAGATTAATGACTGAGTTTGCATAGGGTAAAATACTGCCACCCTTCAAGAAAAAAAAAAAAGGAAAATACACAAAATATGAGAGCTGTAGTATCAATTCTGAGCAGAGACTGCAGTTCAGAGTATGTGTCCTCAAGGGCTGAGTCACGGTGTCCATCCACCTGATGTACCAGAGCACAGTTCATCTCAATAATGCTCTTGCCTTTCTTGACCTAGATGTCTTGGACAATTTTGAAGCCATCAGTTTCTTACTGTCCTCTGCCCTATTGCTGGGTTACTCACCTACCTGGCTCTCCACAGCTCTTGAGGCTGTACTCATCTATCATTTTCTTGTCTCCTGGAAAAGCGCTGGTAAATTCTGTGGCAGTCTGTTGATTCCAGACCAGCACTGTGTTTTCAAGACCAGCACTACCACGCCTGTTGTCATGTGAATAACAGCCCACTACTGCTCCACTGAAATTAAGAGGATGGGGGTGTTTCTGCAGAAGCTCTCTGTTAGGAAAGATTTTGCTACTCCTTTTAGATTTGCACTTTGTAAAGGGTACAAATGCATCATTTTAGTCAAGGAACATTGTTTTTTCCATTTCAACTGCTCTAGGAATATGAACTCTCCTCATCTCTTCAGTACACTGTGAAACTAGGTTGTATTAACATCATTAAACACCCTAGGCATCTTATTTAGGTTCTCTATGAAGCTTACAAAGAACAACTGCTTCTCCTATGGCAACTTTCCCCATTGCTCTGCACTGTCTACACAGGGAAGGTTACCAGTGAGCTAATTCAGTCAACTGAAGTTGGTGCCTGGATGTGATAGTGTCACTCTTCTGGCATGTGTCACTACACACAGTGCCACAGGTGTAGCCTTGAAGGAAGGGATTAGCTATCTGTGAGACTCAGTGAAGAGTGAACCACTGTAGGACTTGACAGAAACTCGGGTGATTTGCTATATAGATTTTCCACATGCACAGAGCTTATTTCACTTTCAAGCAGTCATACCCGATATTTACCTACTCTACTAGCAGAGATAATGATATTTTGTTCTTTTTCAACTAGTAAATAAGTAAAAATGCTCAAACCATAAAAAATATTCCAGATGCAGAAACGATGAGTCTGCTGCATTTATCTGCAAATGCTTGATAAGGCTCTGGCTTCCCAGATATGGGGTTCATTCGTTCTTTCTTGGAGTATTTGGCTTCGAACTGTGGACGTATTTCCTCCTAAAGAGCAGACAGATAAAGTTCACATACAGCACAGCTAGGAAAAACTCTGTAGGAAACTTCAGATCTTTTATCAGATCACTGTTTTGGGGAATTACATCTTTGAATTCAGCAGCTGGCACAGCTACTATAAAAGCTGAGCTGGGAAATCAGATCTCCTTCACGAGAACTAGAATAAATCACTGTACCCATAAAAGTACTGAAAGTATTTAGTAAAATCCCCAATTAGCTATTCCTCTAAATAATGCTCTTTCAAAACTATGTGGCTGCAAGAAAAATCGTTTTAAGGTTGATACCAAAGAATTTTTCAGTTTGTAATTATCCTATTGATACTGGAAACTAAGCAAAAAAAAAACCACCCTAACAACCAAACCTGCTTTTTCCAAACCTAATTGCTGTTTGTTAGGCATTTGGTTACATTTCCATTACCAGAAAAGGCTTCTCAGCATTTGAAGAACAACCCGTGCCATCTAACACCGCTCAGTTACATCTTAACTCGGACAATATTACTAGCAGGAACAGCTTTCAGCAGCAGAAATGTCAAAGGCTGCTTTGCCATTAAAAACCCTCTTGTGAAATGAAACCTGGGGATTACCTGGGAGAGATTTGGTTGCATCTGTTCACAGCATTGCAAGAAGACAGGGTTCACCCTTGGTGCAGGTGACACCTGCAGTAGTGCTACCCTGCCACCCTGACATGCAGACATTCACCAAGAACCACGTGTCCTGTGCCACCCCTTTCCAGTCTGGCATCCAGGACACTGTCAGAGGCAAGATAAAGCACCAGGCTGGGAGGAAGGACTCTCACAAATGTTGGCAGATATTAGAGCACTGTTTGTAGTACTCTACTGTATTCTGGAGAGCTGGTCCATGGTACAGCTGCCTACAAGGGAGCAGACAAGAACTAGCTTGCAGTTGCTTCCACCCCTTCAGCTGCATGTGACTGAACTCTGACTAAAGCTGGAAATGCCCAGACCTCAAATGACTGTATTGAAATAGGTGAATGTTAACTGCTCACACAAGTCTTCAGAATGTGACTAAAGGTGAGATATCCTAAAAGCCTACATGCTTTTTTCAGAATTCCCCTGAAGAGGGGGTTTGGGGGAGGGGTGGAAAGAAGTCATGTCTTATTCTCCTTCTTCCAAGCTTCAAAGATGCTTTCTCAACACAGTTAATTTCCAAATTAACCTGGTAACAAGTTATAAAAACAAATGAAGTGGCATGTATGCCTAGCTGCAATGCCTCTGTAACTAAAAATGTGCTTGAGGGAACCAGCCTTACATCAACTATACAAAAAGGCAAAATATGTTTCTGTGGAGGCAGGGTAATACCTTGCTCTTATTCTATTTCGCTCAGGCTGTTCCTGTCATATCAGGGCCAAAAGAAGTTGAGCAGACCACAATCTGGCAAAAGGAACAATGTAAGTAGTATTCCTGTGTGCCCAGGGGCATGAGAAAGTACAGACTGTAATAGCAGTGAAGCAAGGTTCCTGAGAATTTCACCCTGCAGATTGTTCAAGGACTTTGCCAGCTGGCTTGTCATGGACAAGAAACTTTTACTTCTCTGCATCCCTCTCTGAGCCAGGGTTTGATTATCTTTTACAGTCTGTGGTGTAGGGAAGTTCTTATCATATCCACATGTCCTATGATCTCCAGTTGATGCAAATAATGCAAATGGTATTTTTACAGATATTCTCAAAAAAAATTTGAAATCTGGCATGACACTTTGTACCTGTTTAATGATACTCCACAGTGCTTGGGCAACTAAACTGTATTGTGTCTGGCTGAGGTTAATGATAGAAAGAAGGTGACGCTGAAGAAAAAGAAAAACATGCTACAAATAGCGGCAGAAGGCAGGATTTCATTTGGGAGGAAGCCAGGAACTGCATGCAGTTGGTTTCTTGTGGCATGCCCACCCAAGATGCAGTTGCTCTTCATGTCTCCCACCTTGCACCTGGTTTACATGAATAGGAAATACAGATATGTAGGGCTGAAAGTGCCAAAACACACTCAGTTCATATCCCCAGACTGAGAGGCCTGAACATTGCAGGGGTTGTTGTATGCCTTTCCTGGATGAGAATCTAAAGTGGTGAGGAATTCACAAGGTTGCATATCTGAACAAGTGCAATTCTTCTTTCCATCGTCTTCATTGTTTCTTTTATTTGTCTCTTCATTTAGAACAGGAAGGTGATAACAAAGAGATAGGAAGCCTTATAAATGGTGTCTTTTCAGTGTATTGTTGCGAGGAATTAATAAATTTCACTCTGTAAAAAAACCTTATTTTTCAATTTGACAATGAAAATTAAAGCAAGCAAAGGCTGGACACATATCTTCATTATCAAAAGCTTGAGATTCAAAATGGTAATTAGAACTGTTTAATCGATGTCTGAAATAACTAATACAAGCAATCAGCTGATTTTGACTAGTGATAACTGAATGGAAAGCAGAGAGGAAATTTAATTAGCAGTGATTTTATTAGAAAGTAGCACTTTAAGGGGAAAAATTTTCACCTTTTGGAGTCAAAATTCTCATTGACTTCACACTGACAACTTCCCAATGAAACTCCACAGGATGAATCTTTTCTAATCTACATAAAACAGACTGTTTTCCTTCCTATTTCTCGCACATGGATAATTCCAATCTTTTCATAAGAGAAACCATATTGATTTCTGGAGTACAAAATATGGATTAATGTGAATTGTCTTAGACCAGCCATTTGTGCTCTAGAAGAGTTACTCTAAATTTCTTTGCAAAATATCTCCTTTTTTTCCTCAAGAATTTTTTAATCCTTCAACAGGTAAATTATTAAAATAGTCCCATCCTTCTGAGCCCAAGCATATTGTCCTCTATAGCCCTGATGTAGAAAAAGAATTTGTAGATTGAAAATTTGAATGACCAGTACAAGTATAATATTCCCAGAAGTAAGCCTCCAAGCAAAGCCTGTGGTTTGCAGGTGAAGATAATGGCAAAGTGAAGAGGTGGGCTTTGAACCAGAGCAGGGAAATGATCTCCACACTACTTCATCTGGAGCACCTGCTTCCAAACTGTGTCTTTCACAGGGGAAAGTGCAGTTCCAATGGAAAAGTGCAGCACTAGATACTCCAGCAGAAGTGGCAGTGGCCCATTGGGCTGACCCTGAAGCAGAGACACGCTTGAGCTGTGCTGTAGGTATGGGCACTCGGGGCTGTAGATCTTCAGAGAAGATCCCTCTGGGAGGCAGTCAGCTCCTACTCTTTGGATCCTGCTGAATGCTGAATAAAGGAGGAAGTGATGCCTCAAGTGCCAACAAGCCACTGATGTTCTAATTGCTGGACACACAAACCTTCGAGAAGTAGCCTGCTGAGTTCTCTAATTTGAGAAAGGTACAATTTGGCACACTGCTTCTGAAAAAACTTCTGCTGTAGAGACTTGTAAGATTCCCTCTAGAACAGTAAGGAGGTACACTGAATAGCTCTGGAGCTGGTACAATCCCCACTACTCCTGAGAGGTCTTGTTGACACAGCTTACTGGAAAAACTCTGGTGTGAGAATAAAAGATCAGCTGACATCAACATGTATCCTCTGAAAATTACCAACATGCAAATATCATCCTGCAGGCCAAACTGAAATAATCTGCCAGAAGAATATAACTATATCTTATTAAAAAAAAAAAAGCGAACTGTCGCTTAAGATCAACCTTACCAGGAAATTCAGTATTTGTAAATGAACTGATCATAGAAGATTCAGGTGGATGGCTTTATAAATCAGCATAATCCCAAATCCAGGTAGGTTAGATGGTGAAAGATGAAGTTATATGACATCCCAAACTATAAACATCTGCAAGACCAGGCTTCCTGGGGAAAATATAAAGAGGGTCCCATACTGTACTTACTTTTGTATCCTTTTCATTCCAGAGACTCAGAGGAAGGCATAATTGTCACTTGGAAATTGCAATTTGGTACAGCTTTTTCTTAGCTGTCAGCATCGACAGCATTTTTTGCAACTAGCCATGAGAAGACATGATCCCTGCAGGCCAATCCTGACCACTGTGTGAACCTCAGGCAGGACTATCTCAAACCCTTTGTGGCTTGCCAGCATTGGCAAGAGCAGCTTGCTAATCTCAGAAGAGCTGAATCAGTATTAGAGTATTTCCTATATATATGAAGATAGGCCTGAGGTATCACCCAGAACTGACTGCATATGTGCACAGATAACTCTTACAAAGAGATTGATTTCCAGTTGTGCAAGTGATTTCATGCTACGTTCTTGGATTATTTTTTTAGTAATTAAGCATTTAAAAAAAAAAATCCTATCAGCAATTCCACCATTTCATGGCCTCATTGAACTACTTTGCCTCATACAGACAAAAATCCCATAACTCAGAAGTCTATTTCTCTGCTGGCAAGATTGATAAAAAAGAAAATCTTCCACCAAAACAGCAATGTAGAGGTTCAACTTCACTCAGACCACCACAGCAGCCTCTTACCATCACTCCCACAGCTTCTGTAGAATAAGGAGAGCAGATTTGTAGACACCATATGTCCAAATCCCACTTGAAGAGCACTTTTTCTTCAACACACACTGAATCTTGCTTTTCTCCTGCATAAGAAAACCTTCTAGTTCTATTTAGACCTGAGTTCTCAGTCCCAAGAGCATGTTGTTTCTTTCTGGTGACCACCAGAGGAAAAGATTAAGGATATTTTCTGCAGTTTACTTTCTTCCCTAAGGGGATTTCCTCTACCAACACAGAACCAATTAAGCTTTCTCTCTCAGATGACCAGTGTCTGAATGTTCAGAAGCTGGTACAAGCCTCACAAGACTTTCTTTCCATCAATACTCTCAGTGACAAACTAAAAGAACAGATAAAAGCTCATTTGCCAAAATTCACGGTACCCTGGGTTGTCAAGAATTTCCAGCTTTCAAAATAAAATGCATTTCTCCCACATTGCATTTCTCCCCGAAATCTCTCAATTTCATTTAGATTTGAAAAAGTGTGAAAAAAAGACAACAAATTTGCCTGGAGAAAGTTTCTTTACATTCCAAAGGAAACATCTGAGGAGAAAAATGCTTATTTCATAGTTTATAAAGATTTAAAGAATGATCTGAAATAAATGCAAAATAAAACCTTACATTTTCAACCAAATAATTTTGTATTAAAGATTAAGGAGTACATGCTTTTATACAAACCTCTTCTTCTTCCCAGTCTATCAAGTCCCAATCATAAGCAATTACAGCTCGCCTTCTTTTCCAAAATTCCAGAAAAACAGTGGCTAGAGCAAGTAGAAAAAGAGATGCAAAATTGTTTTTAAGTCAAGAAAATGTTAATGACTATCACAAACTGTTGAATGAAGCTGTTACATTATTTTAAGTTTTTGCATAAATGGGTTCCTTTGAACAGCAAATCATGCTGATGATCAAAGCTGCTTTCAAAAAGCGTTGCTTTCTAAGGATTAGCTTGCTTGCTTCAAGTATGATTGAGGCTTTAGAGATTTCATTTAGTGCTAAATGAGAGTGTTTAATTTCTAACCAACCAAGGGAGGGCTCTCAAAGAATAAAATTGTTCCTGTGAGTCATCACTGCTAGATAAAGCAGATTTCTGATGAAGCTAAAGGTTTCTTGGGGCCATTGCACATAAAGGAGTAACTTTGCTTCTTTGAATACCATTCATGTTACACAGAAACCATCACCCAGAGGAAGCCCAGTCCACTGCATTTGAAAATCTGTGGAGTACTACTGGGGAAATGGGAACTTCCAGTTTACACCTTTTTAATCCAACCGCTTTATTTTTCACACTATGTGAGTTTGTAAAGGGTGTGTGGTATTAAAAAACTGTATAGTACAGCCCTTATTGACAGAGTTCAAGATGGAGTAACAGGCCTGCTCCCGACTGCTATGGGAAGATGACTGGGAGTAAAATTAGAGAAAGCAAGGAGGTTATGTTCATATTCTGAACAGAAGTTTGAACAGTATGGGAATTACAGGGTAAAATACAGTCGCTGCTCCCTGGATGGAATGTGGGTGGCATGCCTGAAGCCTATTCCACCATGACTACCCATATACCCAATCAGCAAATTTAAGTATGTGCTAAGGGGAATGGAATGGAATGGAGGGTGGAGCACAATGGAGACACAGAGATCAGGCTTTCGTGTAAACTTTGCAGGGAGGGGAACTTTGATGGCATTTTGCAGCTGATAAACACATAGCACCCGTCAGCCAGGGAAGATAGGAGAAGGTGTCTTGTTGCTGAGCCAGCAACTATGGTGAAATCGTTGTCCCTGGATGAACTGGGTTCATTAAAACCTAACTGTAATATTAACACACACCTCCATCCCAAAGTCACCTGCACCCCCTCACTGGGCATGCACTCCATATTTCATTTCTTTAAGAGAGAAGTGAGAGAATTTTACACCTATCAATAACAAAGGTGTGTATCACTAGAGCCACTCAAGCTCCACCTAAACGTAAACAAAGAGTATAAAAGTAAGTTAAGAATGGGGAAAATTTAGAGAAGACTCCATCATAACTTCTGGGGTCAGGGCATGGGTTGAACTTGTCTCCTTTTCCCAAGGAGCTGGGTAATAACTGTACTCTGTTCTTGCTGAATGATCTTGAGCTAGGTTTGATTGACGATTAGAGCTTGTCTGGATATTGCTTTGAATACATTTTTTGCAGTCAGCTACTGTCATTGTCAATCTTTGAACTTTCACCTCTCACAATTTCCACTCACAATGTGTATATTAATAAAGAGTGTTGTCCCCTAAACTGTTGGTGTGACTCCTTCAAGGGCATTGGCAGTTGCCAGCAGTGGGAAACACACTTGAATAAAAGTGTGAAGACCTGAGAAGGGTGTTTCTTCTGCTGTTGGTGTGTGTCCCTGAACAAGTCAGTCAAACCATCCTCTGACCCAGAGAACAGCTCAGTGGAGAGTCACCAGGACAGTGGTAAGAGAGTGTTAGCTGATAACAGGACATTGACAGTGCTCAGACACAAAGGTATTGGCTTTCCTGGAGCACTGACAGACCAATAAAATAAAAAGGATTTGAGGAAATCCCCCCTTTAATGTGACAACTGTGCTTCCATTTTTTGATGGAAAGAACAATCAGGAAAACAGTAAAAACATAATATGCTCATAATCCAAAGATTAATACTCAGACTGATTAAAGTTACAGGGGTTGTAGACATTTATTTTGTGTAAACAATGTAGAAACTACCTAAAGCTGACACAAATCAATGGGCAGGCTTCCACTCCCACTGTGAAGTTTATCTCTTTCCTTTATTGCTCACTGAGAAGAAGCAGATTGATAAACAGAGAACATAAACCTCTTTGTTCATGAGCTAGCACAGTATCAGCTGTGTCACAATAGTCTGGCAGTATATTTCAGTCATAAAAGCATCTCCATAAAAGTCTGTTTGCCCTACTGCAGCATATTGATAAAAATGGGACCTGATATTAAGTACTGCTATCAGTTTGGCAAAAGTTAATTTTTAGACAGTAAGAATTACGTTTTATTGTACTATCCAGTGCAGGGAAAGTGTGCTGAGGAAATGAACACTACAAGCAGACAAGGTAAGGTATCAAAATCACATGTAAGGAAGCAGATATTTTGTTTGAAGACATTTTCATGTATCATGTAATTATTTTTCTGGAAGCTGGAATTATGTTAAACCAAGAAACAATCACTTTGATTTTAGTCTAATAGAGAGTCATGAGCCCAATGTTTCTATAAATGTTTGTAATAATTGCAGTATGATTGGTTGTGATCAGCAAAACTAATAAGTGCTAATGAGACTCCACTGCTGCTAAACCACACCATGGTTCATTCCTTGTTTTTTTTCCTGGTAGAACTGCTTCTCTCCTATCAGCTCATATTGAATTATTTTGTTCAAGCTAAACATGTAGTCCTGCACTGTTTGGAAACCTAGGAGAAAGAAGCCTGATTGATTTCTACCACTTTGTTCCCATTCAAAAAGCTGCTGGCAGCAGAACTCCAGTAGATGTTTGAGTCCCAGCCCTGAACCTCTCAGATATGTCTTTGTTGAACAATACTTCTTTTCTTTCTTGTTTTTCCCACACCTGGAGTGAGGAATTTATACATACTATGTTTAGCACATTTAGCACCTGTCAGAGTATGTGAAGTTCCTGAAGCTTCTTTAGAAAGTTGTTTTCTAATAGTTAAGTAGAAAATATGATGTTCTGTACAGTGCTGTTTAAGCTTTCACTGTGTTACACTTTTCTCCCTCTATTCAGGTCAGTATACAGTTTTCCCTTGCTAGATATTTTAAAATGTGCTATAAATAACCATCTTTGATTGATTCACTGTGCTGCTGAGGTCTTCTAAAAGTACTGCCTTTTCAAATTTCTCTGCTTATTTTCTAATTTTAATTTCAACTACAAATACCCTATACAAACTTCAGCATTCTTTTCTGACTTTGACATTCAATAGGACAGAGTTGTATTTTCCCACTTGTGAGTTTTCCCATTTGTGTAAACTAGATGTTGAGTTTTCTCAAAAATTCCTGCTTGGAATTTTGCATTTCTCATTTGCCTTAGCCCCCAGATCTTTTCCTATATTATGTTTGTCCTGCTTCAGAACTCAACCTTGCAGCTGGGTCCTCAATATCCACTTGTACAAAAAGCTGTCTTAACATCATTTCCTCAGATGCTTCTGTAGCAAGTTGTGATCTTGTAATGCAAATAGCCTCTTGTTGGAAATAGCTTTACCCTGACCTTCTCTCAGAAATCCTCTCTCTATTGTATTTCAGAGCACCATTTAATATATCCATCCTGACTCCTAGAATATATTCTATATACCAGCAGTGTTGCTGAAGAACATCCTTAAATTCTGTCTCCTCGGAGAGCAGATCAATGTCAATGTTTTATGCTAGAGGCAAGAATTGTAGGAAAGTAAATTTTTTTTATTAGACTAACAGATACATACAGAAAAATTGTTTTATGTTGGCATTCCTTATTGCTTGAAAAAAGTGTTAAGTTCTTCATGCCAGTCCTTTTTTTCTCCTCCCAGTTTTGCCTTTCAGCGAGTGTTCTAAAGCTATTTCTTTTATCAAAGGAAACATGCTACACAGGAAGAAATTGCAAAAAGGATTTTTCTTGCATCCCTTGGTCCCCCAAAGATGTACAGAGAGAGAGAAATTACTGTCAGCCTATCCTGTCTTCAGCACAGCTTTAAAAATGATAAATTGCTGGACTTCCCTATTGAACAGTTACAGAATTTTGCTATAGAGCTTCAGGAAACATCTTGGCAGTAACAGCTTCGCAATAGGTTTCCCCAGTTCCTCAACTGGAAAAGTAAAATCTACAATTCCATCTGGCTTTACTGAAACATACTGAAGTCAACAGAGTGCCAAATTTACCTAGATTTCTTTAATGAGAATTACTTTTCCCTTCACTTTAAATGTCAACATTTTTTTGAATTAACATCTTTCTCTCATTTTCTGTCTTTGTCTAGTAGTTTAGATTTGTTAATTTTTTTTTTTCTGGCAAAAGTCGTAACACAGTTCTAGCTGCCTTTTTTTGTTTTTGCTTTTGTTCTCTTCTTATGAAAGAACTGCCATAATTATTTAATATGTCAGTGTCTGTCAAACTGGATCATCTGGAAGGCTGAACTTTTCACAGCCAATATTTTATGTGTTTGCCAGTTGTTTCATGTTGACAGAAGAAACATTTCCACAATCCAACTGCTATCATTGATTTTTCTCTTCCTCTATGATTTACTGCGATGATGGCAATGCCTGCAGCTGCCAGTAGGCCTACTGCAGACTGAAAACCCATTTAACACAGGCAGTAAGCCAACTCCTAAATACAGTACCAGAAAATCCCTGGAAAATGTGACTTCCCCTATTTGATGTTACTTTAGCCAATATGCATGGAAAATATCTCCACAATATCACTGTTTCTCTGCAAATCCTTCTTTAAGGAAGTATGGTTTGTGCAGAGTCAGAGGACTGCTCCATTCCCCAAACCAAACCCTACACTCAGAGCTCTTGCTGGTGTTGCCCCTCTGTCCCTCTTGGCAGTCAGCTCACAATCACAGTAAGCCAAAAAAAAGTGATGGGGAGAGCTCTCACCCCAGCTGCTGTCCTATAGTCTCTTCTCCAGTAGCCAAATCATCCAGGGGGCAGCTTCTATTTGTATTTTTTTCTTATCTCACTGTGGACTTAGGTGCTGTAGATGCATGGGTGGGCAGTGCACTGCTCAGTCCTGGCAGGCTGGTGTGGAGATTCCCAGAGGGAACTGTGTCTGCGAGTCTGTCAGTGATGCTGAAGGAAGGGGAGGAAGGAGAGGCTAACCAGAGTGAGATGTGGCTCCTGCCAACTAAAGAGAGGGAAGAGGGAGGGTGTACAACATGTTGTAGGCAGCCGTGATCAGCCTCCTCAGCCTTCTCAAAGGCAGCAACCACAAGGCAGGACTGGGCACAGCCACCTCTGTGAGGGACTCCCCTTATCTAGAGCTGCTTTTCCTACAGCCCTGGATCTAAACTAAGACACAGAAGCCGTGCTGTGAGCACAGCATTTTTCTGAAAGCACTGCTATTGTTAAGGAGGAACAAAAGCACCAGTGGAAAACTCTGCACTCCAAAGACGTGCTCACCAGGAGTTAGGAACGCTGCCATAAATGTTCAGCAATGTTAACCCATCAGTTTTCCTAGCTAGAGAGGTCCCTGCCTTGGAAATAGAGATGTCCTTGTCTTGGAAATTCTCAACTTCAGTGAATACATGGAGAAAGAGTTTGGAAAAACTGAGTAAGCATCTAAAAGTAATCTTTAAGGCATAGAAATTTTTGTTGATTCTTAGCTCTCTGTAGCTCTAAAACAAAGATGAGGTATCAAAGAGAAACATAAAATTTGTATGATTTGGGGATTTTTCTTAAATGGGATTTATAATATTTTAATATTGTCAGTATTACATGAAATGGAATAAATAGGTTTGATTGGTATATCACCTAATTTAATTGGTTAACTAAGACAAAACTGGAGTTTTGGAGGAAGGAACTGAGGTAGACAGGCTAATCTCTGTTGTCCTGCTGTCTCTCATGTCACTTCCTGGATATTTCTTGTGGTTCAGTAAAGAGATTTGCAGTTTAAAATTAAGAATATAAGAATTACTTGGACACCTTTCCAAAGCAGCTGGAGATGTGTGAGTAAGACCAGGAAAACAATGACTAAATCTGGATAGCTCAAGGACTTGGATGCTGTTTTTGAGTCACCTTGTTGAGCCATTTTCTACGTTAACCTTCTCTCAGAATGGCTTGGTAGCAGCTAAGAACCTGGATGTGTTTAGGGTTGTTTGAAATAATCTTTGTGCTGCCAGAAATTACTGATTCCTCTTGCCTTCAATTCTGCCTACATGACATAGTAGGAAAAAGAGTTGACCCAAAAATAGAACATTTCTATGGGCAAAATTCAGCCTCCATGGCAACAGTTAGACCACACTCAGATCAATTTGACATTCAGTGAAATATTTTATTTATTTCATTGGTGTTTGGCTTTAACTGCAACCAGCTTACATAGATTTAAGTTTTACTGCCTTTCTGCAAGGTGGGGAAAAACTACATTACCTCATTTTAATACTGACACTAAACTGAGCTGCCCTAAGCTAGGAGAAGCCCTGAGCAGCAACAGAGAGAAGGCCTTAGTACCAATGGATTTAAAAATGATTAGAAATCCCACAGAATTATATATATCTATAAACTATATAACTGCATTCACAGTTTTGTTTAAATTAAAATTATTATCAAATATTTATATCTATATATAAAAATATATATATATAAAATATATATAAAATTTATTATCAAATAAAAACTAATTCAACTAATTCCATCTTCCTTTTTCAGAAACAGAAAAGTCTCAAGCCTATATTCTTTTTCTTAGTATCAGAAAAAAAGTGTGCTGGAAAACAAAAAGGCCTATGTTGCATCACATTCTTTAAGAAAAAGATGGTGCAATTAAAATATCAAAATGAAAACTTACCCCACACTGCCATGAAAACAGCAAAAAAGACAGTAGCTCCATTGTCAAAAAGGTGGGTTACCTGAGAGAGATATTAAAATTATCAATTTGTGAAAATAAGCCCTTATTTTCTATTTCCACTTATGAAAATTAATGTGATCATGAGTTTAGCTGGTCTGACAATCCTGAATATCCTTCTCTTGACCCATGAAATCCACCTGTGAATTTGCAGGACTGTTTGACAGCCTGGCCTGGGACTGACCCCTGCCAACACCAGATGTGAACATCATTTCAGACCCAAAGAATTAATATTATGGAGCCATGTAGAGAGGATGGATGAGGAGATAAAGGCTGATGTCCAGGATACCACAACACACAGCTCGAGGGCACGACCTCTGAGACTCCTGAATCTCCAAGTGCAGATTGCATTCAAATGTTTTACAACTCAAACTAAGTATTGGTGAACAACAGTGTTAATGTTGGCTGAACTTGATCTGTCCCTTCAAGACTTTATCTACCCAAGCTCACTAAGGACAAATTCAAAAGGCAAAATTCACGCTTTTACCAGGAATCATCTATTTGCATAGCCTAAAACATACCTTGGCATAAATGCAGCTGTCCGACAACCTCATGAAGGGGCAGTATTTATCACATATAGGACACATAATGATATCTGTAGCTTGGCAGACTTCTTTACTGGAAAAATAGAGAAGATGAAAATTAATAGCTTCTTAACTACAACAATCTGCACGACAATCTGTCTGGATTGATAGATAGGCTTTGCTAATATTCATTTACATATTGAACAAAATTGGTCTGTAACCTAAGCCAAGATGATCATAACTGCATGTGCATAATTAATATTTGTTGACTGTCTAAGACTACAGAGTTTGCAGTCATAACTGCAGAGTGCAGTTCTCCAGGGACAGCCTAGCAGTATCTCTTCACCATTTATAGCTTCTCCTTGAGTCACAGTGACCTTTGCTAGGAGGAGGATGAGGGTAACTTCAGACAAAGTTATTCTTGTGACTTAAGTGCCCAAAAACTTAGAGGTGCATCACTCAGGAGAAGGTCCAGTATTCTCTTCACCTGAAGAATGCCTCTCTGTGGTGGATCTTTGGGAAAGGCCTTATGTAGAGTGAAAATTCCCTACTCTTGTGCTGGCCTCTTGAAGAGCAATGAAGGAGTCTACTTTTTCCCTACTTTGTTCTGACTTGCCAGCACCATTAGCAACTGGAACTGGGCAGAAGCATTTCCTTTCATTCCAATTCAGGAGCATAAAACATGGGAAGTCTGTTACCATACCATATCTTATGACAACTAAGCAACCTTTTCTTGGCTGTTCATTCAACAGTTCAAAATAAAATAATTAACAGCTTGTGGGAAGATCTCTTAAATTATTCGTAATAACCCACAACTGCAACTTCTTTATAAAAGTTCCCACATTACCTGACTTGGCAGTGGTTCAAAGTGGTGACTCCATACAAAAAGACAAACAATCCAATGAAGGCAGCTGGGAAGAGCATCCCTGTGTACCAGCCTAACCAGGCAAAGTACAGCCCAATTTTCTCACCAAAGTACCGTCTGTTTTAAAAACAAAACACAGCAAAGTTACCTGCTAATTAGAATAATCTACTTAATCTTGCTCATTAGTAGAAAAAATAAAATTCTATCATATCTAAAAAGTAGATTAAAGAGGAGGAAAAGCCTTAAGCTAAGCTTCTAAATACACACTGAGGGACCTGCCTCAGGAATGAACTTAAAACATTAATTAAAAAATTCAAGAACCCCAGTTTACAGTTAGATAAGTGGAGACCTCATGAAGGAAACACTGAGTTACTTTTAGAAAGCTGATTCTTTGTATTTGGGAAATTGATGGTGTGCTTTGATTTTTGCTGTTGGACTTTACTGCCCAAATAATTGTGTCGAAATAAATTTTATCCCTAAAGCTTGTTTAACAGCAAAAATTATTTGAGCTCAAATTAGTTCTAAGAATTCAATTAACCAGAGCTCATTCTCCAATACAGTTTATTTTCATTTGATTATTTATTTTCTTAGCTCAGCTCCTGGAAAACTAATTTCATGATTCTACTGCAGTGAAAAGTGAAGTGCAAGTGGGGTCCATCATCTTGCAATGGATTGAGGAAAGCAGTCTGAATTGATCCTAATTTATTAGTTATATTGCTCAAAAACATGCAGCAAAATAGCCACAAAGAAATGTGTTGCTACATATTCATTAGCAAATTTCCTCCTCCCAAACACAGCCAAGCCTTTATTTTTGTGTTAGGGAACACATCAGCCACACAAAAACCTGCTGAGCTCATCAGCAAAGGAGCAGGCTCATGTATTGTCCTGTGTCTGATTTGTGCACAGGAGGCTGAGATTTTAGGGGATTATTTACAAGACCGGTTTTAAAGAATGAGGCAAGGTGATATATTTGTGTTTCAGAGACTTTGCAGAATACTTTAACTTGCATGTCCTCTCAGTTTGAAAATAGCTGCTGCTGGAAACTGGCTTTCACCTTAATGATGCAACTTCTGATCTATCCAGAGAGTAAGTGCAGTGACCCAGCACTGCTGTCTCTTCTGTGCTATCAGAAAACATCATTGGCCAAACCTTCTCAGTGAGAATGGAAAGACCTAGGATTGTCTCTAGTTCTGTGTGCCCTGGAGGACACTTGATCTGGACATCTTGCTCAAAATTAGCAGTTTTTAAGTTGTTATTAAAAATTCCCAGTGTGAGAAATACCTCTCTGGCCTGAGCTCATGCTCAGCTGAAAGACACTGACCTGCAGTGACTATTTTCATTTGAGTTTGCCAGCTCTGTATAAGAACACAAACATTGCCATTTTGTTTTTATTCTTTTGTCATTCAACAGAGACTAAAATTCACAGGCTAAAGAGAAGGGAAGCTAATGCTAACACGCTCAGTTCTAACAAGGCAGAGGGTCTGATTGTAAAAAACACACTGCAAACTGCTTTTTAAGACCTGACTTAAGAGTGTAAATGAAACCTTTGGCCTAATTACTTTCCTTACCTAGGATGACAGTCTGTGCCTGCACCTCCAGAAATGCAAACTCACATCTGAGCTTACTTCCACTGAAGATGGATGACCTATTTTTTTCCATGTATATAGTTTGAAGTAGTGAAGCCCACCTAACCCTCATCAAGCTTTATTTTTCACTTCATACTTCCTTGTTCCAATCCTCTAGCTTACAAGCATTAATGACAAAAGTAGTCTCCTAGCCTGTTGGGCCCTTCAATCTAACAGTGCAAATTGTAGTATTCTTTTTGATCTAGAAGTAGAACATCTTCATCCTAGATGAAGACCCAAGCAAAGTTTGGTGTGTGCATAAAGAAGACTGTCCATGATGGGAATCAACCCTTCCCTGAAAAGTAAGGAAAAGGCATCTGAGCCAGGTTTTAAAAATAAATGAAGGATGTTGACATTACTGTGGTATGTATTGGTTTAAACATGGAGAAACAGCCTTGGGATTCCATTATTGCCCTTTGCAGCACAGCTGGTACTCCACAGGCACAGGCTGTACTACTGTAAACTGCATCAATTTAACATATCATGTCTTCTGACCCCATAGTTTGCATATTTCTCCTTTCAGTCCCTGCTCAGATACCACTCAGTCAAATGCTATGGAAACAAACTATGCCAGTAAGAAGGTCTTATGAGGCCTTCCTAGGTGCCATACTCAGAGCAAGTTCCACATTTATTCCAATACATAATTCAGCTAGTCTAGACCACTGTGACCCTCAGGAGGTGAAAAATGCATAGAGATACCTTTGTCATTCCCTTTAATTTGCCCCAAATATCTGTTTGAAGAAGACATTTGTTTCTTCTCTTCTTCTGTCACTATGTAGAGAGCAGAAATTTCATATAGCTTGCCTCAGTGTGGGCAGTTCTCTCTGAGCCAGGGCTCAGCAATGTACACAAAGAATTCTAGAGGATTTTTTCCAGAATGCATCAGTGTGACTTACTTATACCTAAATTTCACCTGTTATCATTCTGTTCATTTCAAGGCCACTTTGAAATTTTCTGGTGTTGATAACATCTTTGTGTTTTAGTTAACTTTGTTAATTTATTACAATCCAATTTTTCAGATTATTAATATGGACAGAAAAAAAATTGTTTGAGTCTTTAATGGTTCTCCCACAGAAAATTTTTCTCCACAAAAAGCAGAGACATAAATGACCCCCAAGCACCTAATAGAATAATCCATCTATCCTATCCTTATATATGCTGTACCATCAAAATAATAATAAAAATGTAATTTCAGCTTCTCAGTTGTAAGCTAGCCTGTATACTGTCCCTTCAATATCAGTTACCTTAATGGTGAGTTTTGTACCCCCTCAACCCATTTCCAGTGGTAGAGCTATGACTTAATTGGGTCAAGATTTCAATATCAATATTTATCAATAAGGCACATTTTTTAAAAGTATTAAGCTACAAAGTCTAATTTCAGACCTATGAAATGTGCTATTGGGTTATCCTATGTTTAATGACCTTCATTATAGAATATTTTGTTTTCAGCATGCCTAGCAGGAAGTTGTGGATCTAGCATATAGACAGATCAGGGCTCAAGCCAAGAACCTATCTATTTTCATTTATTGTTTTGCAGGTAAGAATGAAATTTTATACAGAACTTTCTACATCACAGAAGCTAGAGCTTTCCAGCAGGTGTTTTGGGCATATGAAGTTCTCATGACAGAAGCAATGGGGTGGGTAGGAAGGCTTAACAGAAGACTGAAAGGGAGTAGTCAGCAGTCAAGACATTTAATGGAAATCTGGAGTAAAATGCAGGTTACTCATGCATCAGTTTTTGCTTCCAGGTTCATTTAGATAGCTTCAAATTGGCTTAAAAAACATTGTTTTCTCCCTGTGTTTTTGTCCTGTGAGTTATATGCACAAGCAGCAGCAGGAGCATTTTGTGCACAATAAAGAGGGAAGCTGAAATGCACAGAAGTGTGAAGGAGGTGATCCAAAATCCACAGGAATCACTGAAGCTGCTTCTGTTGATTTACATGGTCCCAGAGCTATAAATATAATAAGCCCTGTTTCTTTCCAATTATAATCAATTCTAAGGGTCATAAATTGTTCTTGTAAAGTATCTATGGACACTAAATTCCAAGAGATGTGTAATTAAAGTCATGGTGCCACATCTGTTGGCTAACAGGAGTAGATTTGTAAGTTATGCCAAGTCTTTGCCATCGCAGTGCCACATGTTTCAAAGCAGAGTGGAAGCAGAATCACACAATTTCCCTCAAATGACTTTTTCCTCATTTATTTTTAGTGACTAGTATCTCCATAACAGCCAGCTGATGAGATGAAATGATATTTGGGAGTTGCCAAATTGGCAGCACAGGAGATGGAAACCTCCTTTTAACATCTAAGGAAAAAATAAAACAGCACAGAAGTATGAACATTTTCACTTATCATTGTGGTAACTTGACTTTAAGGTAGAAATAACACATGTAGTAATGACATAATTGTACTATCTGCATCTAATTTATTTCTTAGCCTTTCTAAAGCATAATATCAACTAGCAGCATAAGTTCTGGCCAGATGTCTGTGGAAGAACCAGTGTCCAGCCACTCCTTTTGTACAGATGACAACACTAAACCCTTCAAGCATGATCCCACATAACCCCTGTTATGGGGGGGAAAAAAAAAATCCTGCTGTAGAAGTGGTGCTGAAAAAAGCTTCTTTTTAAAGTGTGCCCGCTGAGACACTTCCAAGTGAAATGAACAGCAGGTCTTGCTGGTGTCATCAGTTCTTCAAGGAAAAGTCTCCCGTTCAATAGACATGTGAACTGCTGAGAGTGGCAGGAGACATGGAAGATTCATTCACGGGTGCTGGATTACTCACATTTCCTTAGCTCCTCCCAAATCTTCAAATCCTCTGAAAACTCAGCAGGAGTTGAGGAAATGTGAATAATCCAGCATCTGTGAAGTGAGAAGAAAAAGGCATCCCCTTCTCTTTTTTGCCACCCTCCTTCAGTGAATTCATCACAGCTGTGGATGTGTTCCAGGCGACAAATGGCAGGCTGGGCTGGGGCTGCAGCTTTGGAGCTGTAGAGTTTGGTGGCTTGTAACTCAGTCTGCTGCCAGTGCTCAGGGAATCTCACAGCTCCCCCTGCCCCTCTCCTCTTTGGGTAAACATCTACTCTCAACAACAGCAGGACACTTCTGACCTCAGCTAGGGAGTCTATAGCCTTTTTTTTTTTTTTTTAATAGATTTTGAAAACCCTATTTGATGAAAAAATTAAGCTTCTTAAAATATCTTAAACTTTAAACCCAGGCTGTGCAAGACAGCTACTATCAAGGTCTAGAATAATCATATCTCTAACATTGCTTATTCTATAATCATTTATTCTCATATTTAAAAAATCCTTTCAGATGTCTGATCTTCAAATTAAACCAAACACCAGATATTGCCTCAAGAGCACTTTCACGAGCAAGAAGTGATGAAGAACAGTAGCCTTGACCACTCTGGACAAATGTTATAAAACTCTATAAAAACAAGTTGTTTGTAGTGTAATAATAATATCTTTTTGTGTACTAGGAAATTGAAAGCAAAAACCCCTTCAGTATAACTGTTGGCTCCTCCATAAATCAACAATTTCTATCGTGTAATTTGACAGAAATTTCATATTTCTATCCAGAGTATTAAAAAAGAAATAAAAACCTTTTGGGATTAAATGATGAGATTTAATAAATTATTTTGTAAAGCATTAAAAGGATTAAAAGACTCAGTAAAATTTTTTATTGTATTTCTTGGTTAACTTTTTATTCATGGAAATGAAACTCTCTGTTTTACAAAATGGATAGGTTTTATATGGCCTTAATCAATAACACTGTTAGTCTCCAGGGCTACCCTCTACAAATCTTTCATCTGGAAACAATTTTGAGAATAAATAAGAGCAAAGTTTTCTATTAGTTGCAGGACTTATGAAAGAGGAAATTAGTAAGCTGGATCAATTGCATGTTGTGGATGACCCTTCCTGATGGCCAATGTATCTTCAGTGCTTGTGATACATCTGAAGACTTTATTAATAGATTCTTGTAGCTCCATATTCCTCTCTTCAAGTAGAAAAAGCCCATTACTGTCCAATAATAATTCTGCCAACATGATCAGTAAAGGCTCTGGTCTCTTTGTATGTGCAAGAAATATGTAATCCTCTATTAGTGCATGCAAGGCTATTTGAAAACATTATTTAAAAGGATTGTAAGAACTTGGAGTCACATCTCAGCTTTCTCAGTGTTTTTTTCTTTGCAGACTGCATTCCAAGATGAATAAAGATCTGGACAGTGGTGACAGGTCTGAGTTAAAGGGCAGTGGTACAGAGGAGACTTCCACCACTAGTGTTGCTGAGCCAGGTAGCACACTCAGTAACTGTAAGCTCTGCTCTGTCCCAGTTGTAAGCATCATGAAAATTCATCCAGAGCTCATTCTGTGGCTGCTTTTTGGAAAAAGAAGATCTAGCTGGTGAGAGCCTATCTTTAACCAAAGATGTGCTCCGAGAAGGAAGAACTTCCTGTGGGCAGACGTTTAATCAAGTCTATCCAGCCTCCACAGATTTCTCTCTTCCTTTTTTTTCTCTCTTAAATATCCTGTAAACACTTAATTACAAATTACGGTGTCAGGAAACTCTGGAAGGAAACGTCTTTCTCTTACAATTCCTTCTACAAACTCCTCTATAAATATTTCTTTGGATGTAGTGTCACCATGAACTAAATGGTTTCCCATGACTTCAGGATCAGTTTTTAAAAAACACATGAATTAACTGAGCTTTTCATGGTTTTGTCAGAAGTGAAACAACCTATGCTCAAAGCATCTATAATGTGACACAGCAAAATCAGGTCTTACCTTACAAGATCCAATGGCTGGTATTTATACCACACTCCCCAGGAAGCCCAGCACTCATAGAGCAGGTGTCTGTGGTTTTCTGCCCCATGGGTTTTTATTGAATTCTTACTTCTGTAACTTCCCTAAAATACAAATCTGGACATTAATGAATAACAGCAATAAAAAAGAATATTTAAGAAATCTCTCTTACTAGAGGTATGGATAACACAGTTTATGCAAATTCCATGCTTGTGCTCCAAAAACTAAATATGGCATTAAAAAAAAAAAATCAACTGATGTCACTAAGATTTGAGATTATTCTTCCTAAGAAATTTATAATAAATTAAATTCAAGTGATAGCCTATGAAAGCAGAGTAAATATTTGGAGAATATAAAAAAGAAACCATAATGTGATACTTTTCCTCTCTGAAAACACACTGATAAATCAACTCAAACAGTTTTTACAGAATAGATCCAGAACAACTCTCTTTACTCATCTCTTTTTGCAAGAGAACACCCCAAATTTTTCCCCAAGGAAAAAAACATTGCTAAATGGAAGAATATCAGCAGCTAACATTAATAAGATTGAGGATAAATAATTACACAATTAATAATTAATTTTGAGGGAAATGTCTGTTCAAAATGAAAAGAAAAAAAAAAGAGCAAAATACCTCATGAAGAGGAAATGCAGCTTCATAGGAGCCATTACTGAGCAATCGATTCAGACCTAAGAATCAAAAGTATTCAATTATTTACCAATAGGAGCAGAAAGATTGCTAAGTAAAAAGCAAAACACATTTTCATCAACTCGCTAAATGAAGATTGAAGCAAATTAACAGTACACGATACCTGTAGAGATATGAATCTTCTACAGATTTTGATAACTAAGATATAACACAAAGAAAGACTTGTTCAAATATTAATCAGAATCTATAATTTATTGTGCTACAGGCTTAAAGGTTCATTTGCCAAATCTATCTTTAGTGTAACTTCAGTGCAACTGAAGACTTCACACCAGGTTTAAAGTTCAACCTTATAAAATATGGTCTAACAAAACTATTTGGATGAAAGACTGCATATCTTGTGAGCTAAAAACTTCAGGGAAGGTCTTGATACTTTTGAATTTCGGATGAATAAAGCAACAGAAACTCTTAATTTCCATATGATAACAACTTTCTAAAATGTGTTCAACTTATGTCTTATGAAAGTTGCTGGACAGACAGAAAGGAACAAGGCAAGCTGCAGCAGTACAAGACCAGAAAAAAACCTAGGAACCTGAACCAAAATCATTCCTATGTGGCACAAAGAAGTAACCATACAATCCACTCACTCAGGCCTTGTCTCTCTTTAATGAGAGCCTTGAGAAATAATGCTTGCTGAGATACTGGTGCTTTTCTCTTGAAAAGTCATCAAAATAGGACTGAACTGTTACCAGGCAATGCAAAATAAAACATCCACACTAAGAACCTGGAGGTATTTGAAGCCTATTGACCAAAAGGCATAGAGTCTTGGTTCCTTTCCTCATTCAAAGGGGACAGACAGCAGCAAGAACACAGCAGTGAGAAGCATTAAGTCAACATGAATAACACTTTCAGTGGTAACATCAGTATCTGCCTGGCAGAATATGCTTTCTTCCAGTGTCGCTGTCAGAAAAGTAAAATTTGTACAGCTGAGCTGGGCTTTGCTCTGCCCAGTGATCAATGCAAGGTTGTGTTCTTTATAGGTACAGCACAAATTGATATGTGAGGGAAATTGGGATCTTGAGGTAGGCAGGGATTGCTGGTGTTTGGGCTAGATGTAGCATAACCTCTGCTCAGGGCTATTGCTGCCCTCATCCCAGCAGCTGAGAAAGAAAGAAAAAAGTGAAGTTCTGGGATATTTCTCTTCCTCTTCAGGAAAGGTGAGGTTTAAACAGCAGGGAAATGAAATAGACTGCAGAGTTTTATGGAGATTGTCTCTACATTTGTCTCTGTGTGGTACTCCAGCAGTATGTGCTCTGTATGACTGGGCAGAAGGTGGTCACTGTTTCATGTTCTGTCCCTCCTCTGTCACTGACTGCTCTCCTGGACCTGCATGTGGGCCACTCTGAATTTCCCCTCCACTCACAAATTGAAAATGAAGCCACAGCTATGCATAGCATTCTTTGCACTGAGGACATCAATGGTGAACTCCCTTTTAACTTACACCAACAACAGAGATACAGTCTTCCATCTCCCTCAGATATGGTATCCAGGGAGAAGCCCTGTAGCCTGAGATGCAGCGGCTCAGAGCAGCACAAATCTTGCCATCCTTCCAAGCACATTTTTATGAAAGAATAAAGGTTTTCCTGCATGAGTCTCTCTGCTTCTCCACTGCTCGTGATCTGCTCATATTTCATGTTTAAATCAGCCTCTTCCCTTGCAGAGGTGATAAATCCCATGTGGTGACATGTGCCTGTGAAAGCTGACTGATATTACAGGGGGATGATCACATCTTCCAGGCAAAGCCCATACAACAGCAGTGGGTGAGATGTAAACAGCCAAAACTGAGGTTGTTAAAAAGGAAGGAAAATAGTCTGTTATGAGGCCAGGCAGGTTTCTTTATTTTTTTAAACGCACATTTAAAAGCACATTGCTCAGTACTTACCAATTTTGTTTTTCCCTTCTTCATATTTCAGTCTTTGTAAGATATGGTGTACAATTCTACTTCTTGTAGCATTGTTGAAGAAAGTATCTTTGTTGTGTATTATGAAGCTACAAGAAAATAAAAACCAAGGGCATCTCAGAAATATGTAATAGCACGTTTAAGGCAAATATTTAGTTCCATTAGTTTCTGCAGCACTCTAAAAATCTACAGCACGAGGCAAGTGCAAGGAGAATTAAAGACACTTGATTAAGAGATGATTAGACAGGTGAGATGCTGTCAGTAACATTATTCATGTTCTAACAAAGAATTACATGGAGAAGTCTGGAGAAAAATAGGAGATATTTAAGTATTCATTATGATAAGCATCACTTTTAGATAATTCACTGAAAACTACGAAATTCTTCAAGAAAATTTGCAAAAGCGTATCTTTGCAAGTGCAGCAGTAGAAGTTCACATCGGTTCCAGGCTTTTTTGTTATGCTTTACCATTATGAGTCAGTTGGAAACATCTAGTTGGTAAACCATTCTTACTGAAAACTATTACTGAATACTATGTTAGAAATTGAAAGTATCATATACTCCTACATTTGGTCCTGGAAGCTAAAATAGAGTAGAAAATTAGCTCTCAGAATTCCCTTACTGAGTATGAATACAGGTTCTGTGTTTAATAGGTTAGACAGAATTGTGGTGAGTCCAAATAAATTTAAAAAAACCCAACAAACACTGTGGATAGGAGGCAATATTGGTTTCCTCATCTGTGGTTTTGAAGAGCTGTAGAATTGAATAAACTGATAAATAAAATGTTAAGGTCATAGAGGTGCCATAGAGAGATGAGTCTGTAGGACAGCACACTAGACAAATATGACCTTAAATGAGACCATAATCAGGAGCTTGGCGTGGATTCACGACACCTTCTCTTTTGCACAATGTGAAATTCACTGCTCAGTTTTCCCCTCAGGTAATTTTACCCAAATGAAAACTTGTTTTTTTCAGAATGAATCTTTACCCCTGGGAAATAATATACGGCTTTGCACCTCCACAGTAATTTTGAAAAATGAGGAGTCCAACTTCTGGACTTTGAGAACTTCATCTGATCCCTCTTTATTATCAAAATTCTCAGCTGAATTTTCAATACAATACAGTGTGTACATAAGTTCCTTATGTTCTGCTTCCCAACAGTTAAAAAAAAAAAATCCTAAAGGTAAGACAAGTTGCTCCAAGTGTACCAGAAGTAATGAAACCTGGTTTTCTAGAGGTAACTATCTCATGTGTTCTTTGCCACTCCACCCCAGGTACTCACAGGCCATTTCTGTGTCTACAGTCCACTCACTACTGCACTCAGTACTTCTGGCTTCCTCCCATTTCCCTGCAATTCCCAAAGTCCTACCCATGCCCTACAGTATCTACCAAAAGGAATTCAATTTATGCATATTGGCTGACCACCAGTAGGCTGGTACCAAACAGCAAATGCTGTTGGTGTCCACCAGCCACTGCCTTTTCTGTATAGGAACAGTTTTGGGCCACCATCCCATTCCAAGCTGCTATTACACAAAAGATATGTAAGATTGAGCTTATCCTTCAGACACAAAAAGACGTGTGGCTATAAAGATGTATCTTTAATGCTTTCAAATTCAGTTTGAAGTACTCAGTATGTAAAATAATAACTATTAAAAGCATTTTGAGAAAAAAAGAAATACTGTCATCATGTGAAGTTAATGCTGACAATGCTGAAAATTATATATGCTGAAATTATATATAAAAAAATTAAAGTCTGAATCAGTTAGAACAATTGTTTTCAGCTGGAAACTCTGTAACTGGAACTCTGTATTAGGCAGTTTTCATAGCAGCAGAAACAATTTAAAAGGCAGGAGTAAAACAGAAATGAACGATTAGAGATTTTTGCTGTTTATTTAATTTTCTTTTACTGTCTGTCTATCCAAGACCTCACCTCCCAGACAGCACTACATGTTAAAGAACTGTGAAGATAACTTCACAGATATCAAAACAGCATACTCATTTTCATTCTGATTTAGCTACAAGTTCTTGTAGGATTCAACTGTGAATTAAATCACCGCATCTGGGAAAATTGCAACATGGAACCAGATAACACCTTAATCTATTTTCCTTGTAATACAAGGTTATTTTGCCCATCTGTTATCACAACTGTCTCATACTGCAACTAGAGGTAGCCATTTCAACATATTTTCTGAAGAACTTGTTTAATAGTTGTATTTGTATTTAAGCATTTCTATTTTCATGAGTCATGAATGCAAAAAGGCAAAAATCAAGAATTACGCAAACTCTAAAAAACAAAGAAATAATCACTTGTTTAAAGAAACACTTAAGCAATTTGCATTCATTTGCAAATTTAGCAATTGTGTTATTATAGCTTTCACTCTCATATGGGCAAGAAGAAATAACCAGATGTGTCTGTGAAGCAGATGCAAACACCTCAGCATAATAACTGCCATGAAGAACTCTGCCTATTCCAGAAAAGCTGAAGCAGTCCTAAAACACCTGTGAGAATATGAGCTGCAGAGATTCTGCCCTGCCCAATCTTGTGCCAGTAATAGGGCAGGAGGGGAAAGAGGTGAGGAAGAACTCATCATGATCAGAGTGGGCCAAAAACATGCCCTTGGAGTGTTTTCCAAAGTTATTCATGAAGACATGGATGAAGAAGAGATGCTAGAGTTCAGAAAAGGTGAAAAAGGGGTGCCAAAAATGAGTCGTCTGGATGTCCTGGACTATCCCTAACAACATCATTATTTTGGGATAGAATTGCATGTCGTAACACTTAAAAAATAATCCTCACTTATTTTTGAACATAAAAGTCATAGGGCTTTTAAAATTTGCTTAATTCAGATACTCTGGCTTTATTTCTCTGAAATTGTCTGTAGATCCAGAAAGAGCAGCATCACCATAATCAATGGGGCAGAGACCTCTGGCACAGGAAACAAAAAGAGGTAAACATGAGTGGAAAGCCTTGAAAGGTTGACAGTATCTCAGGTGGTTGTATCTGTGTTACAATAGTCCAGTTAGACATTGAAATAAATTAAGACAATGTCAGGGAGGTTTCAATTTATCTCAAAAGTCACAGGAGTTGTTCTTGTCAGGGGAGAATCAGGCAGCTCAGTGTAGGACTTACCCCTTTCAACCACCACCCCTTCTTCCCATGCTTCATGGATGTCTCTTCCCCCCAGATTTTTGTGCTTCAGTTTGTCTTATTTCTGAATGTGGGTGGTATATCCATATTCACAGAATAACCATCAAAGCTATTCCATATTCTACAGCATCCAATGAAGATTTCAGAGGAGAAAGATTTTCTCAGTCTGTGAAGAATCTCACACTTCAAATTTCAGTTCACAGGGGCCAGAGCTGAAGACAATCTCAAACTAGGTACAGATAAACATTTATCAGACATTACTGAGCTATAAACTGTATAAAGCAGAGGTTTTCTAGCAAGTGTTTTAATCCTTGTTGCTTTTAGGTGGAAGAATTTCCTCAGCTGTTCTGTTTCTGCTGCCCTTGTTAGATTTTCAACATGCACAAAGACTTGAATATTCATAAGAGCAGTACAGCTTGTCTTCAGGCTCAATAAGGGTTTAGACTTGATTTATGAGACTCTTCACTGAAGATTTTGATCATTTTGTTGCTTCATTTGTAAGACAAAAAATAAGTAAGGATTAATACATTACAATTTTTATTACCTGTGAAGTTAATGTATAGGTAGATAAAGCCGGTGATTAGTTCCACAACAGCTATAATCATTAATTTGGTCCTCTAAGTCTTATTTGTGTGAGCTGTCCTTATTCAAAAGGAAAATCCCAAAAAAGATAATGGGAGTACTTTTGGAAGGAAAGGTTCCAGAGCTGATCCTTAATTAAAACTCCTTTCAAAAATGTCATTCTGGAAATACTGCTCTTACACTCATGCTGTAAGAGACATAAAGAGTCAGTGAAGGTTAATTGCTTTCAAACTATATTTGCAGCCTTCTTAACTAAACTGTTAACTGGAAATTTCAAACTATCTCTCTGTGGATAAAAGCAAAGCACAGCAAAGCTAACAGTTGTCTAAAGAAAGGCTTCAGATTAATGCAAATTCAACCAAGAAAAAATTTCCTATGGATTCCTGCTCGTACGTTCTCTTTGGTAATTTTGCAGGCTGTACAAACCCTTAAAGGGTAAATAGAGCTCTAGAATCTTTGAATACACATTTGAAAAAAAGTGGGTTCACTTTTCTTGCTTTATTTTAATTTATATATTTTGGGAAAGCAAAAGGCAGGAAAAGGCTATTTTCTGCTTTACTGGCAAGATAAACAAGCTGCAATCTGAACTCCTGTGGTCTGGTGACACAGGTATGAAGGATGGACGCGTGCACAGATCCGTGTGTATCTTTGCACTGTGGGATCCACAGACACTGAAACATTTGACATCTGGCACTCACCATATCTAAAATTACCTTCTGCTGGAAGCAGTACAAACCAAGAGCACAGATGTTTTTGGAAGTAGTGATCATTGTGTGAGCAGTGTATTCTTTAGCACAGGAGAAATGCCCAACCTTCTGTACTCCCAGGTAAATCACTGAGCCAACAGCCAGCCTGCTGTTGGCTGAGATAATAGCGGGGTTTTAGCTCATTTAACATAGATAAAGTAAATCACCAGCTATAGTAGCAGCAACAACGTGAGTCTGCACTATTCCCCTGAGAATAATACCCCACATTTCTCTACTTTATTTGTTTGAAAATAGCTGTTTTATTAGCACTTGCTAATTTTCTTTTTGCTTGACTTTTAAGGCTGCAGCTGACCGTTCTGTTTATGTAAAAGGACCTTTTATTAATGGGGGTTTTCATATCATTTGCCTAAAACAGGGTCACTTTGGGATGAGGAATATTGTAGTGGCTCTCTCTGTTTCCACTTTGGCACCATGACCTCAAAACTGCCAAAGTAAAACAGAAAGTCAGGGAAGTGCTGAATCTCTTCTCCACCTTCCTCTGCCCTTCCCCCAGATCACTTCTTAATTTAAATTAGTTCACTCAGAAATATTCACCTGAGGTAGAAGGAGCCTTTTGTATTTTTCAGGGATGCTCTGTTTTGTTCTATTTGTCAGGTAATTAAAACTTCCAAAATCAGAGGGAATTTAAAAAACCTGTTGCAGGGCATGTCCAAGTTTGGTAGCACAAGGATTTGTTTGAGAGAGAGCTGGATTTACAAAACCATGATTCCTCATTTATAAAAAGCCATTTAAAAATGTGTAGTTATTATACTGTAGATGTATTTAAACATCAGAATGACCATCCTGGTTCAAAACTAGTAAGTGTCCATGCAGCCCTGTGCCATGTCTCCAGTTGCAGCAGCTCCCTGATCTATCCATGATTTTGGGGTAAGGAGGCTCAAGAGAACATGGGCACAGATCATCTTGGTAGAGATGGGGTTTGTTAAGATCAATCTGAACATCAGAAAAAGCTTGAAAACTATCTCCACCCTGAGAGACACATATCTTGGAAATGTGGAGAAAATACGAGACTCGTGTACCACAGGGGGACATAATACAAATGAGAAGAAGTCCATTAACCTCTGGTATGCAGGGTCATTTTTGCTTAATTAATCAAGTTACTATCTTAGTCCTCCTAACTGAGTAAATTTTTTATCTTTTTTTTTTTTCCACTAAGTAATAAATATTTATTTTAAGTGGTTATTCAATTATATATTAGATTAATATTTAATCAGAGAATTTATCGCTTTTGAAAGAAAAAAACAAAGAGGAAAATAGCTCCTGGTATAGAGTTCAAAATCTCTAAACAGCAATTAACATATTTTGCTAGCTTGTGTACAGTTATCTTAAAAATTGCAGCTAATTGCTAGTGTTACTATTCCCAAGTGACTAGCAGCTGACTATATGAAATAGCTAAGATGTAGTAGAACAACTAAGTGTGTCTAATGGTAAACATTTTTCACATATTGTGCATTCTTGTAACTGATAATTTTCAGAAGAAATACTTTGGTGTAAACACGGCCTTTTCCAAGCTGTGGTTGCAGAAAAGAGACACTACTCAGAAACCTATCTTGAAAATTATCATTTTGTATTCCACAAAATTAAAAAGAAGAAAAAGCGTTTTGCAGAACTTCTTTCCTCCAAAAAGATATTTTCTATTACTAAAGAAATAAGATGAATTTTGGTCTTCTCTTGTACTGACAATTTTGTGATATACCCTATGAAGAAGGCCACAATTCCTTCAATAGAAAACCTGAGCCACGCTGCAAAATTTACAGGCACCTCTCACAAATATCATTCTTGTGTTTTCTCCTTTGCCTGTTTTGGAGGAAGGACAGATGGCTAGCTGTGCCTCTTCAAACAAACTTTTTTTTTTTTTTTGAAAACTGAATTTCTCCACATCTGGCTTTTTTCCTTCTGAATGGGAAAGAAAAATGCAAGAAATAAAAAGTCTATTGATATGATCTACTAAAATTTTCCACACTCAATGTAAATCAATATTTTAAAAATACTAATTCCTATGGAAATAAGGTCTGGTTAGGTTTCTTCTTAATTAATTTCCTCCCCAGACATTGAATTGTAAGTATTGTCAATTGTTGTCTTTCCAAGCTTTTAAAAGAAAATATTACAAATGAATCATGCAGATTATGTTATAAAATCTGCATCAGACTGGAGCCCTTTATTTGGAAATTGTGGCTAGATCCCAAAAGATAAACTGCCTGTTCTTTGATGACATGAAAGGCATCTGAAGCTAAGAAGAAAGGAAGAAATAAGCAATTTTAGACCCTAATTGCAATATTTGGACAAAGTCAAATGCAGCGAAGCTCATATAAATATTTAAGGCATAATATCTTAGAAAACAAAAAGCACATAAAACCGGGAAAAAAGGAAGAATTTGGCAGCATCCAGGTAGGGTATATGGCAAAATCTACTGTAAGACCATGGAGATCTTATTTGAAAACTAAGGGTATGGAGTTTTATGCATTCAAGATGGTTGTGAGTGATTTACTTCATGGTAATTAAGCATGTCATGGATAAACAATGATTTATGGCAACACAGAAATCTGAAATATTTTCAACTGCCAAAAGTACATATCTGGCTTTCCAGAAATACTTGTACAATAGCCAGAAAAATACTCATTAGTGTAATTAAAAGACTGATTATATATTTTGGGCTCCTGTGGGTATTGCTCAAAGAACAGTTTGAATATACTTCCCACTCATCTCTTCTTCTCACTTAGGATTCTAGATTTGCGGGAAAATCTAATGGCTTCTACTATAAACTTAAAACCCATAATCTGTACATAAGTTCTGACAAAAAGCAGACACTAGTGGCATTTTTCAGCTACCACCTTAATACACTGCAAAAGGACTAAAAGCCTTGCATTTATTCTGCATTCTCTGAGGACTTCAAGGACTGAATGAGTTACAAATATTTTCTTTGCTCAAAAAATGCCCATATGTTCGATGAAGTCTTAAACAACACTGAGGTCAGCCAGCTGAGCACTGGTGCAGTACTGGGACTCCTCTTGTCCTGTACCAGCTCTCTCTGAATCAGTTTTGGCACAACTATGTGGTGGAAGAGGAGGCAGAGTCACAGCTGAAAGCCCAAGAGTAGGAAAGAGATTGTCACTGCTCTTGTAGCATATAGGATGATGTGCTTGTGGAGGACTGAACTCCATAGGTAACTACCCATTACAATTTTGTAGCCTCCAGTATAATTACATTGCATTGGTAATATGGTATGGTGAGAGTGCTCTAGCAAAACCATAACTGTCCCAAATATCAAAATGAATGGACTTTTCTTACCACTGACAAAACAAAAGCTAAATTAACATAGCATTACTGTAGATGGGAATTCTTCTTTTCAGCATCTCAAGATTTTCAGTGATTATTTATCTTCACATTCCTAAAACAATATTATGGGTCTCTGGATTAAAAAATTGAAATACTTGAATGCAACTCACAAGAAAAATATTGAACAAGTCAAACTGTATTTCAAAATTTTAGTGAAAAAAAAAGCCCAACACAGGAAGCAGGCTGGAGAATGATAGGAACACCACTGCTGTCAGAGCCAGCATCTTTTGTGAGAAGGAGACCAGCTCAGCCAACATTTTATAAGCCCCCACACAAAAGGTAAGGAAGACTATGCACAGAAAGCTGAGCAGAAAATGTCAGGCCTGCCAGGGAGTAAAGTTTCCAAGTCTGCAATGATTCAGACTGAATGATTCAATGATTTCAGACTGAAGTCTGAAAAGAAGCGCCAAACAACAGCAGGAGTGTTAATGAAATTAACACTACTTAATAAACTCTCCTGCCAATTTACCAACATGAACATGAGCAAGGCAGAAGAATGAAAAAAAAATAAATCTAGTTCATATATGTCAATTCCCCTTTCAGCCACAAAAAAAAAATCTCTCAAAAAAAACCACCAACCCCTTTCCTAAGTGCAGTAATTTTAAGGGAAGCTAGCACTTAATATTACTGGTAATAAAAACATTAATGCTGACATCCCAATTTATTATTTTTTTAGTATTATTGGTCTATTCTCAAATTAATTTGCACCTACTCTTCCTCTTGCAGGGCACAATAACAGACCCATCTCTGTATCAAACAGACTTCTATTGAAATTTCCCTGGAGTTTTGCACCTGTTCCTGTTTTTGTGCTGTATTTGGAAAGATGCCATTTGTGGCAGAGGTTTACTTTACTGGTTTTTATTGCAGCTAGTCAATCAAATCCCTGAAAAACTATTCATTCAAAATGAGGCACTTCAGAACTTTATCAACCTGGCTTCTCCCTGAATAAAACCACATATTTCAAAATTTTGAGCAACCTGTAATTAATTCATTCTGTGTCTTCTTTTAGTATGTTCAACAGTGCTGCCTAACCTTCCTGGTTTTGCTCTCAGTCAATGACTGTTTCCCATATCACAAACATTGTAACTACCCTTAAGACATCCAAAATTTGACACTCCTTAAATTCCATATGAGTTGTGAATGTTATCTGGGGCTTTTTCTGCTCTGCATTTTGCAGGTGAATAAAGGCTTTTTGTACCCAAATGATTTCTCTGACATTTGTGCCACTCTGGTGCTATTGGCAGAAAAGGGCCACTGCTAGGTCTAAAAACTGTCTAAACACTGCCATTTTGCAAGAAGTTTTGCTTCCATAATATTGAAAGAGAAATGCAAGTTCACATTGTCTGTTAGAGTTTTGTTTGTTCTACAGTCATAACTAGGAATGAAATGCAAGTATCAGTAGTTCAACCATCAGTGATGAAGGACTAGTTTTGATTGTGCTAAAGACAAAGGAATGCTGAGAAAAGTTTAAATCACATCTTATAGTGACAAAGAACAACGACAATTCTGACCTGAGAGAAAATAGCCATTTGACCTCTTTAAGGATGTAATTGAAATTCCAGTGAATTAAAAGGAACTTTCCCATTGATTTCCTTAGCTTTGACCTGGACCTTTAATTAATAGAAATGTAGATTTGCTATCTCTCCCTCTTAGTGAGTAAGGACTAACATGAAGGCACTGGTCCTTAAGACATGAACAAAGAAATCAATTTTTCCAAGGTTAATCCAGAAGGAAAAGTTTTCACCTTGCAGCTGAGATATGATAGAATACTCACTGATGGATCCTTTGTTGGCTGAATGGAGCAGTATAGCAGTCATTCTCCTCCAGATCTGGCAGTGTTTCCTTATCCAGTTTCATTGGCTTTCTGGGTAACCATCCTCGGAACCTGCTTATCTGTTTCTCGATCCTGCAGCACATGATAAGCATGAGCATTTGTGAAATTGTTTTTTTAACTACATTATGAAGCACAGGTTGTCAAACCAGGACACTTAATATGCGCAGCTAGGAAAGGTGCAATGTCTTTTGACTTTTTTTGAGGTAGACCAAATTACATATGCTGAACTTGATTACTAATAACCAGCTTTCTGCAGAGGAGCATTTATTTTGTCTCAACAGAAAAAGCAATGCTGATGGTACATGATGCCATAAATCTTACTAAGCCCAGTGAGTGCTTGGCATGTCTCTAAACCTTTATTTCTCAGATTTTCAGTTAGTTTAAAATTCAGGCTTAACCAACATTAGATTTTGGCCATCTAAATGTTAGAACATTGGAGATTGTGACAAAGATCTTTGGCAGCTAAACCCCAGCAAGTTACATCCCATTACTGCTCTCTGTAAGGGCTCTTACCTCGCAATTGAAGCTATTAAAAAATAGGCTACTTTGTTAATTTTGTTCAACTGAAGTTTCTTGCAACACTACAACCTCCATGAAACCAGAACTCTGGGTGTTTAGGCTGAGGTGACTGCTATGCAGATTCTTATGTTTGGAAGGTGAAAACAAACAACAATTGAGCTGAAGAAAGGGCAAATTTAACCACAGGTGTGCTCATGCAAAGATACGCAGTGAAACGAAGGGAAGAATCAGAGCTCACTGGAGAAGATAATCTAAACCAAATTGAAATCCATACTAGAATGTTATAATGAAAAACACTTAAGAAAGCTATGTTTAGCACAGTGAGCTCTACTCCAAGTTCTAACCACTGATCCCTGCAAAAATCACGTACTACTGAGTGTGTCCATTCTTCAGACACTGGATGAATGCTTCCAGAAGTGGGAGTAAAGGACAAGAATTTACTTCCTTTGAACTTAAAGCTTAGTTCTGAAAGAAGCTCAAGGACTGGAAATATGGTTGGGGAGGCTGTTTGTTTGGGGATTTTGGGTTTTTTTTTCTGTTTTCATTTGTTTCTGGTTTTTTTATAGTTGTTGTTTTGGTTTTTTGACAAAGCCAACATAAGAACTCTAATGTACAGTAATGTGCAGGTACCTCTGCACAGTCAGTTTGAGAGAGGACAACCCATATCCAGGCAGCTGAATATATGGGGAACTGATGTGAAAATGTTACATATTTTCATTTAAAATGAACATAGTTTTTCCTGGAATATTCAGCCTTCTTCCACCAGAAACTTTTATCTTGGATAAGGAAGCAAATGCTCATTTTTAAACATGGGCACATTTCAAATTTGTGAATAAATCAGCTGTACCTGTTTTGGTCCCATTTGTGCACTTTCAATCTAGAATGTGAGGTGAGGGGTGTCAGATGTTGCATATGTATGCAAATTTATCATCAGGACTATTTGGAAAAACTGGAATATGTATGTAAACTTTATATAATATTTACATTTAATTAATCATAACCTCTCCATGGGCAGTGTTTGTACTGACCCAGCAGTTTGGAGCAAAGGAGAAGGTAGTTTGCAAATGTCTGTGCTGAATGCAGGTGAGATGTCAGATCCCAGGGCACTAAAGGGCCTGACCAGTTGTAACTTTCCAGCTGCAGCATCCAGCATGGCAGCCTTGAGCTAGTCTGTGTAGCCACTGATAGAAATGCCAAGGGAAGGTAAATTCTCTATGGGGGAAATCCCTGTCTTTTGGCCTCTGGTTTTTTCTCTGTAAATTCAGTAAACCCTGTGTTACTCTATATTCGATAGGCTTAGTGTGTCTAGGTATGGAAAAGGGAGGGGGAATTAGGAAGAGGGTTTTTCTAAATACCTTGTTCCATTCTTGTTAATTAAACTCGTTTGAATTCTCTGAGCTATTAGCACCCCTGCCCATCTGCAGTCCTTTCCCATTCATGCTGCAAGTCAATGTGCACATTTGAGATACTGCCTACTGCAGGTTTATCGCACCACACATGCAGAGCACAAAGGGACTGAGTGCTTTCCCCACTTAGCAGCGATGCATTATTCATGCTGGCTTCTCACTGTGTGTACCCAGCATTCGAGCGGTTTGCCATTCCCAAAACTCAGATTACTTGGCATGCTCAGTCAGCCTGCTGGCAAGCGGGTCTGAGAAGGTTGCAAAATCTTACTGCGAAGCACAGAACATGCAGTACAGCCTTCTGCAGGGAAAGCAAGCCCCCCCTAGTTATTTCCTTGGAAAAGAAAAATGACCAAAGGTTTGAATTTCTTCCGGCTCATCCCAACAGTGCCGTCAGTCAGCAGTGCAGGTTTTGTACTCTACAGGAGCATCTCGCAAAAGGAAAAAGCTGAAAGAGTGGTGTTGGTGCTAACAAATACAGATACACAGTGCTAAAAATCTAATTTTTAAAAATCATTTCTTCAAGGCTAATCCACGCCTCATTTTCCCCATACTCAGCGGAATAGGGGAGCGTTGTTTGGGAAGCAGTGTGACCTATCCAGGAGCGATGGGGTGATGGAGTGATAAAGGTAGCTGCTTCACACACTGCCTCAAAGACAGAGGCTCTCCCACTTCAATCCTGTCCCTTCTATCCAAGTCTAGTCTTTACTCGGCACCCTCTTTCTAAAGATACAGATTGTGTTTAACTCACACAAAGACTTTCTCAAATAATTTAAAAGCAACTGCTTTCTCACCATGAAGTGGGGTAGGGATAAAACCGTTTTTCAAAGGAAAGTTAGTAAAATAAGGAAAGGTTTTTGAGACTGATTTTTATGAGTGGGTCAGCTTTCATAGAACTTTATGCATATTGTGGTGCTAGCTATATTATTAGTTTAGTTTTTAACCACGATGCAGATGCTATAAGGTCTCAGATACTCCTCCTTTCCTTTAAAGTAGGGAAGTTTTGAGATCACTAGAATTTTTCAGAGAGAAAATTCGAGTCAGGTTCACAAGTTGCAAGAGACCTGCTCTGGCCTTTGTCTTGTGATGGAACTCCTCCCTAAAATAAATTTCACCCAAACATCAGCATAATGTTTGTATTAACTCAAAAAATGGACAAAGGCTTTGGGTACTTGTAATCTACACTGAACTAGGACTAGAGGAAATAGATACTTTAATTGAAGACATATATCTAAGTTTCACATAAGTGAAAATAAAGCTGAATATTTTTTCTTTTTCCCCTCTGGGGAGATTCAGTTACAGCTTTTCTTCCTCAAGTAACTTTTTATAGACCTGAACATAAAAATTGAATTTATCCAAGTGTTCTCATCACTCAGGAGCTAAATACCAGAAAAAGATCATACCTCTTCCCATACTGACTTCAAATTGCATCCTGACTCACAAGAAAATGAACGTGAAGCAAAACTTCATATAACACACATAAATGATGCAACCTTCACCTTCTTCCGATCTATTGCTTTAGTCAAAGCAGCCATGTCTTCTTTAAAGTTAAGACCAATTCCAAAGCTAACAGCTGCAATAGTATGTGCAACAGCTGTAAGATGGGAATGGAAAGTGCAGCAGCATCAACAAGTTTTAAAATATTTATGTGCATCTTTTACCCTGTGCCAAAGAGGGATAAAATATCTCAACTCCATGAAGTGCTCTTCTGATGAGCACTGCTATGAAAAGGCAAATTCTATAATGTGATATCAATGCTGCTGCTGTCAAGTTACCAACACACTGTGGCATAATTTCATATCCAAAATGCTTTTTAATATGTTCATATTGCAGAGTGATCATCCCATGGATGTAAATGTATCAAAATGGTATGGCTGTTTACTTTGAAATGCAGATTTTTCAAATTTAATTTTTCTGTCTTAGAGGTTCTTGGGAATATTTCTATTGACCTCAATAAAACAGTAGGTCAGGGGCTAGACCCCTTTGAAAGTGCAGTCCCATGGCATCAAATGCCACATACTGTGAGAGAGATAAGGAAAGCAAGCTAAATGTAGATATATAAATGTAGATATATAAATGATCTGGTTTTTGCCAAGCCTGTATAATTTTTAGGCATTTTGGAGATATTTTCATTTAATTTTCCAAGGCATCAAAAAGCAAATGAAAACTGCTGCAGGGAAAGGGTTTCGTTGCATCAAGTCAGACATAAACTGGGCATGAAGCACACATAACCTTAAAGGTATTTAATAATTGAGTGAAAACACTTCAAAAATTCTTGGAAAATACACATCTCTCAAGCTTGGTTCATTGGCTTCCTATCTACCAACAAAGAACTAAGCATCCCCACAGAGGAAGCAATGAATAAATAATGGCATCACAATTACAAGTAAGCAAGGTTCATGGAAATGAAAAAACCCTGTAACTGTGGTACTCTAACCCCAAGAAACTCCCTAATGAGCTACATGGAAAGAAGGAGATACATAATTTGCATGAGCATACTTCTATTTCTTTAAAGACTCCATCAGTTGAAAAATATTTTCTTATTCCTAAAAAAGGCAAAACTGATAAAATTAATTGCTTCTTTCACAATGCAAATGCCTTAAAAATGCAACTTCTGTTTGTTTTTTTTTTGCAGATGTCCTAGTATGTAACCACTCTCTTCATCATTTCTACAGACACAACTGATAAACTTTTCCTTCCAGCGTGACTTTAACTACTATTTTTGTTATTGGGTCCAAATGACCATACACTGGGCTGGCATGAGAATTGTACTCACCTATTCATGAACTTGTATCGGCGATGCAGGTAATAGATTTTTCTCCTGGAAGAACAGCAAAAATGAAGCCAGTCGAGAAGAAAACCCATCGTCAGTTACAGTATGAACTAGCAAGGAAGGAAAGGAGATTGAAGACAGAAGCCTGTAAGAGGTGGAGGAAGAGACTAAAAGAGAGATTAACAGAACTGTCACAGGAAGCCACACAGACACTGGTGGCACTCGAATTGCCAGGTCATCATTTTCCCATTGTTTCCTCCTTTTCTGTTATTTGTCATGTGTGAAAGATGGGGATCCAAAGACGTTTCTATTTCAGATTTCATAAACTGTTGCAGGAATTCTATAGGAGTGACACAAATATGGATAAATTATATGACGTCTACTAGTGATGACTTATTAGAGCTGCGTTTGGTGAAACACAAGGGGGAATCACTTAGAAAAGCCAGGAAAGCTGTACCTTGTGCTGCAATATGCTGTAACACATGCAGTACCAAGCAGGGTCGGTGACTGTGTTGGGATAACATCCCTCGAAACAGAATATAGGCTACACAAGCAAATGCACATGTGCTCAGCACCCCACCAAGTGTGCAGCCGCTCCCTCTGCCCCTCAGACAGGCTGGTTTCTGCTGTCAGTGCAATAAGCTGTGTGAGAGCAAATGAGCAAGTGAGCAGACAAGGGGACACGAGCAGACACATGCTGAACCCACTCCCAGCCTGCCTCCTGCCCAGCCCTGCAGTGCAGAGCAGCCCCTAACCATCATGTGTAGATCCAGGACAGAGAGTCCACCTCCTGTGCCACTCCCCTGCTGGCAGCTCTTGTTCTTCTCATAGATGCCTATCATACCACAGCTGTCAGGATTTGACACATTGCCTTCAGCACAGAGACCGCATCTTCATGAGAGTTAAGAAAATCTGAGGGATTTTGACTATGGATTTGGGATTCATACTCCTTACTGGAAGATGTGGGTGCCTTAGCAAACTCTGATTTCCTCCTCCAGAGGCTGACTTTGTCATCCACTGAAGGTCATTGCTAAATCAAGGGGGTTTCTGTGTATTCTGAGAAGTTCCATTGTGAACAGTACCACTTCTGGAAAATGAAGGCTTACACCACTCATATTCTAAATATTGTAGTAGATGTAGTGTAGGAATGCTGTTAGTGCCTTGGAAGCAAGTCCTCTAAAATAAGACAGCACTAATGCTTTATAAATGATAAAAAAACTGGTAAGTATTCCAGGTTAATTTTCAGAACCTTTGGACATTTGTGTTTTCAGAGTTCATATCACGCTGGTGAAGTAAAATTTTTTAAACTATTTTATATTGGCCAGCCTTCTTTGGAAAGTGATTTTTATCTTGCTCTACTCAATAGGAACAGAGAAAGGTCAAAGCTAAGTGTTTTTGAAGATGCCATCCACTTCTTGATTTTGCTTCCAATATTCAGAGGTATCCATCACTTTTTCGCTCCTGCTTTGAAACAACAAGGATTTCTTTCAGTCATGCATGGACCTTGCACAATTCCAGCCTGAATAATCAGGAGCAATAAGCAATCATCAGCTCTTAAAACAAGGGCTTAGACAAAGGCATCTGGAAACACACCATCTAGACTTGTGGACATTCTGCAAAATTTTTTTTAAATGGTAAACTGTACTGTTGTTTTTAAGATAAAATTGAAGAGCCAGCCCAGTAGTCACTAGTGAATTGCCATGATTTCCTCTTAACAATGCTGTAGTAATTCTCTCTCTGTGGATGTGGAAAGAATGAAGCCATGATCTGAAGCAGGTCAAGAAAACCTCAGTATTTTCAAAGCTTACTATATAATCTGTATGACACCAACTTCGCTATCTTCTGAGGGATCAGGAAAGAACAAGGTGCTCCATGACTAAATTCAGAGTTTCTGGTGTATTTCTGAATCATGAGACCACACTGTATTGCAGGTCCATCTCAAGGAATGCCACAGAAGTCAAAGAAGGCACAGTTTTGGCCTAATCCGTTGTTTCTATGGCTAGAACACTTATAAAAAAGAATATTACTATGCTGCAATGACTTGTGATTACTTTTAGAATTTTCTCTTTAGCAATTAAAGCATAAGAAAGAACAGTTGAAGAGTTGCTGTGAAAATGAAAACAAAATAAATACAAAATAAGCCTGCAATTTTGTCCTTCATACATATCCATTTTTCCTTATGAGTTTTCCACCACTACAGGGTCACTGACACTCAGAGAAATTTTTCATACTTATGTAAGAAAAAAGAGAAGGAATCCTACAAAGGCACCAGCTCACTAGTTGCATATTCTGGGTCTCATTCTTTTCTTGTTCAGGAGTAGTTACATTAAAATCAGTGGAGCTTTATATTGCAAACCCTGCTAATTGAAAGAAGAATCAAGGCCTCTCAGTTCATGGGCTGTGGTCAGTTCCAGTGAAAGTCTTTGTGCTACTTTAAAACTTCTGATAACCAGAAGAGTAAAAGCAATATTTTATGTAGAAAATTTCATAGCCTAACATGCAAATAGTATTTAATAAATTATAAAAATTACCTGAATTTCAATGTGGAATTAATCCGGTTATCAGTAGTGTTTAATATAAGTTCTCTATTTTCTCCACAGAAAAAAGCATTTATAGCTTAAATTGTTTTCCTATTAGATGAGATACTTATTTATACTTATTTATGGGATACTAATTACATACTACACAAGCAATTTACAGGTGCATACCAGATACGTCAAACAGACATGCACTTTCTGTGCTGCCTTACGTACCTGGATCTTCTTGACCTCCCACTGATTTCAATGAAATGTCCATTTAAAAAACAGCACCGCACAAGTATGCAGGGGGCTCCAGCACTGAAGGGGTTAAAGGGCCTAAGGACAGAATACCCCATGAAAACAGCTGCACTGCTACAGCCCATCTTAATCTCAAACCAGTATTGTACTGAAATTGTAGGCTTTAACAAGAAACAGCAATGCATGTGGTATCTAAGGAACTCTATATTTTCTAAAGGTGTGTGGAATCTTATAGAAGAGCTTTTCTATAGGCATTTTGGTGTTATTATCACATTAACTTTACAGTTCAGTGTGGCTTTGGATGTTGAGACAAAATACGACTACACCTACCTGAAAGGCATTCTTACATTCATTAGTTCAGCATATTTGCCCAGGACCTCCCAAGGGGCATGCAGTTTCACAAAGATGATGTCACTGTTTGTTAGGGATGACTGCAAAAGAGAAACAAAACAGCCACCAGAGCTTACTTTCTCAAGTGAAAAACAAAGAAACCATAGTCAGAGGGCAATGTGTCCCCCTGCAATTCCTTATTCTTCTTGAAATGTTGTATCAGTATTTTGTCAACTCATTTTTCTTCTGCTGTCCTGAAAGCCATGCTGTGACTCCCTTCTGGCCAGCATGTGTCCCTCCTTTGCATGGAAAAGAGGGCATGGAGGGCAGACTGGTGCACCTATGGGTTATCTGAGTCTACACAACATGAAGAGAACTTTATGCAGGGCATGCACATCAGCATGGCTGCTCCCTAACAGAAAGTTGTCTGGCAAAGACCAGAGGATGTGCAGCAAAGAGGAGAAGAGGAGGAATTTAGCTCTGTTTGCACTCAGGAGGACACACACTGCTCTACAAGAAAGCTACAGCCTACAGCAGGTTTAGTGGATGCTGATGTGAAAACACAGAGAGCCACATGATAATACTGGAAGATGAAATGTTCAAATTTTAATGAATATTAATTAAATTTTCATGAAGACACACACAACACAATTTTAGACAATCAAGTGGATGGCATTCCAAGAAATATGTAAAGATGTACTTAGCATGAGAAAAGGAAATTAAGATTACAGAAAACTAGGCAAGAAAATTGTTAGTTAGCTTTGGGGATGATTTCCCAGCTTTTTAGACGTTGTCCTATATTCAATGTTTCTTGGTTGACACAACTTACTAGGGGTTCTTAAATCTAGTATTGTTTACTGGAAACTACTGTGACTATATGGGTGGGAGGCTGACATTTATACTTTTTACACTCTCCCTCCACTGTCCTGATAGAGGCTGAAATTATTGAATTTGCATGTCCATGTCCTTAGAGTAGTTAAAACACTATTACTAGTTTGTGACATGATAGAAATGGAAACTCCAACATTTAAGAAACATATATATGACTTTTTCACACGTCAAAAACTCCAACAAACAAACAAACAAACAAGCAACCAAAACAAAAGGAAAAAAAAGCCCAAAATCCACCCAATCCCAAATCCCAACCCAGTCACGATAGACTTAACATTTTATAAACAAATATAATATTTCTTGACACAGAGAAATATTTGTACTCAAAATATTATTGGGGTGCAAATATGGATTTAACATACAAAGGAATGAGTGACTTTCTGGTGCTAAAACCTGCAGAAAAACTTTCATCTTTGCTGATGAATTTCTGAAAAATATTTCAATACAAAATGATACAACAACAACAAAATGCCCCCAAGAGACTTACTTCAGAGACAATGAATTCACTTGCACTCTTTCCCTGACTTTTATGGATTTTAAATCAGGTTTTAATTATGTTTTTCTTTATAGGTACATTTCATAAATTAGCTTTTATTTTCCCATGAGAATCTAGCAAGGAGATGCCACAAAACCAAAACTAAATTCTGCCGCTCTAAAAATCTCCTGCAAACTGCTCTCTCAAAGCTGAGGTTAAGTCAGCAGTGGATTGACAATTTTTGTCATTAACAGCTTGGATTAAAAAACAAAACAGAACAAAATCCACCAAAACTCAAAAGAACCATCTAAGATACAGAAAGAAACTGCAGTACTGCCACACCAATAAAAACTGAGAAATGGAGGAAATTTATTAAAAACAGCTTCTAAACTTAGTGATGGCTGTTAAACAGGAAGTTTATAGGTATTTTCCAGCATAGCGTAATTTAAGCCATACTAGGTGTGGGAGCCAAACATGACCTGTGAAGATGCTGTTTCACAAGTGAACACTATCTAAATTTGGTATCTTATGTGTTACATGTTTTCATGCAGAAACATGAAAACCTTTCAAATAGCTATCACAATACAGATGTTTAAAGGATATTTTTTTACTCCGTATCTTGCAATGTTGGCATATCAAAATTTTTTCATAATGTCAATCAGCTTTGCAAACAGAAGATCTAACCAACAGAAAATCTAATCAAAATACACTTATCAGGTTCAGTTATATTCAGAAAAAAAAGAAACAAAAATGCTAAATTATTAATATAAAAATCCATTTCTCTTGGGTCAGTGTTCATAAAGGAAAGCACTAAGCAAGGCTGAGATAAGCAAGGCTGGAAAAAATAAGACTGGAAAGAGAATAACAAACCCAGATGGAGGACAAATTGAATGAGATGTCACACTCATGTTATCTAAGGAGTAAATAGCTAACCAAATATCTGGAAAAATAATATAATGAAGACCGTCTTTATTACAAAAATACTTTAGTGAATGGAATCTCCTAAACTCTCTTGGTTAGATTAGTATTTAGACTCAGTATCGTTCATCTTATAAATGTCTCAACTGAGAATAGAGGAACATTAATCTGCTGTCATTGACTTTCAAGGGTTGGCTCGTTAAATGGTTTGGAGAAGTAAACTCAATTTCACATTATGGGAACACGCAAACAAAAATCAATGTAACGTTATTCCCCTTGGAAACTTAAATAAGACAATTGTTGACATGAGGAAGCTGCTATGAAGTGATGTCCAGATGATGAAGAAAGAAAAGCAGAGCAATTAAGGGGGCAGACCAATGAGATTAAACACTTAGCAAACACAGAAATGGAAAAAAATCTTTGGAATTTATCTGTAGCACCAGTGGCTATAGTTATCACCATCCAATAAGCTTCAGGCCACCAATGTTCAAATAAATTGGTTGTTTTGAATGAATTTATTGAGGAGGAATATCTATAAAAAACCTGATTTTCTTCTGGTCACTAACAAAAATTCTCGGTGTCCTTCAGAGCAGCGTAAAGCCAGGGTGACAAGAGACTTACCAGAGTCAGACAACTGTAGATTCATCTAGGGTGGAAGTGACCTCTAGGGTTCATCTGGGCTAAGCCTCTGGCTAAAGCAGGGCTAACTTAGATCAGCCTGCTCGGACAGGAGCTTGTCCCATTGAGTACTAAATAGCTCTACAGGCAGAGATTTCACTGCTTTTGGGCAACCCACTGACTGAAACTGGCTGGAGAAAAGAATATTTTCTGTGGAAGAACTGCTCTCTTCCATAGACAAATGTTAGCTTAAAACTACCACTTTACAGACTTGTTTTCCTTTAAAAACACCCTTATTTATCACAAGAACTGTATTTAATTGTTATTCTCATTGAGAAGCAGTAGCAAGGTATATTTAGTTTAATTGACCTGATCTTCAAAATAGGTTTGTATGGTAGAATTCAGATCACCAGAGTCTGGGTTACAAATAGTCAATATACATTTTGGCTTCACTGACAAACATCATTAGTATCGTTTCATTGCTGCCAGTCCCAGTACACAGGCAGTTCTATAGGTCCACATATCATAGACTTGCTCTTCTGGCGAGGCCACCTTTCTATTTGACCCCTAAATTTATAAAGACATTGCTATTTCCCCAAAGAAATCCAATCAACTGCAAACACATTTAAAAACAAAACCACATTTTCTTCTCCAATATCACCATGTAGTAAGTGAAAGAGACTAAAGCCATTTATGAGCCATTTATTTAACTCCAAAAGCAGAAACACCTGCTGTGGTGAGTTACAGTCATCAGCTAGGTAGAGGAAAGCTTGTAAAGGTTATGTTTTCACTCTCCTTCTAAAGCAGGCACTGAGAGGTGCTAACTGCTGGTTAAGTCCTGGCTGCTAACTCCCATGTATTCCTGCAAGCTTTCTAATGTCTTTGGATGGCAGGATTTAAAAATACATGTATTTGCTATTGACCTGACTCTGCTCATTCTGAACTCATCACTGCTAGTCTGAATAGAAGCAGAGTTATGCTGACATGGGTCGTCTCTTGAAAAGCCCATATTTTGCTGTATTTGCAGGCTGCCTTCCAGGATCAAGGCTAAAGATTACTATCTTTTGTTAAATATTCCCTTGAACATTCTCCTCCTCCTTGTTAATTTTAGCTCATTATCAATAATATTTTCAAGTAATTTTAAGACAAAAGTAGCTGTAGGTACTCACCTTGAAACAAGCATTTTTTGAGTCTACAAGTTAAGATAGTGAGAAAACCTACTCACAGCATATAACCTTGGAGAAAGATAAAATTACAGCGTCTCCAACCGAACGCTGTCGTTGTTTATTTGCCTTGAGGCTACTAGGCAGGTTTTCATTCATGTATGCAAAACAATGGGGCAGAAAAAAAGTCAGGATTTACCATTAAGGTGTTTTCTCTACTATCATTTAAGAGAAAATTTCTCAAGGTTGAGTCTCTCTTCACCTTTAAAAGCCTTCCTCATAAAAGTAAAATGAGATAAGTAAGACTTCGAAGCAGATTCAACAATAGAATTGATGTCACCTATTTTAGGAAGATCCTACAAGGCAAGTTAAAAAGCCAGAACAGAAACAGTTATTTACATTTTGGCAAATCTAACTAATTTCTGGTAAGATCATTATGCAAGGAAAAGCATAAAAGGAGACAAAACCAACATACTCCCTCTAGTAACAATTCTCTCTGCAATCTAGCTCTGCATGATGTCTTAGTGCAGAGTAGTAAATAGTAACTACTACATGTTCCACTGTTTTTGAGAATTACTTAACAGCACAGATTGATTTGCCATGTGGAATGAATTAAGTGGAAAAACAAAACCCAGCAAATTTTAGTTGGTTAAACTGTTCTTCCTTGGCAAAACCAAAGTAAATGTAAATTCATGTGGGTAATTCCACAGATCTGGAAAAACAGAAGGTATATTCTGCCAAGACTTTTTCAGTGCATACATTACCACTGGGCAATTATTTAGATACTGTCAATATCTGGTTTCAGGGAAAATATTGCATACTCACAAACATCAGCCTCCACGTTCATGCTTCTGAGGAACCCAATGAATAACAGCGCCAATATCTTTCACACAGGGACTTACAGTCAAAGCACGGGTTTAGTGAAAAAGGGGAATATATTGTTCACATTTTAATTAGGATATTAAGAAGCCTTTAACTTGTCAGAAACTGTAGGGCAAAAGCATTAAGGATGAAAATAAGAATAAAAAAGATAGCC